AGAAGAATGAAAGAAGATTTTCCTTTAATGCATCCGCAGTTGGCAGCTTGAATGTACGCCATGGTATGCACAAGACCAGATATTGCTCATGCTGTTGGTGTTGTTAGCCGATTTCTTTCAAATCCAGGTAAAGAAGCACTGGACCTGCAGTAAAGTCGGATTCCTTCAGGTATCTTAAGGGCACTTCCAAAAATCTGCTTTGTTTTGGGTGATAATAGACCTGTGCTAGATGGTTACACAGATGGCAGATATGGGTGGTGATGTTGATCGCGCAAATCATTCTTGGATATCTGAATGACTTTTGCAGGAGCAGCAGTTTTTTGGCAATCAAAATTGCAAAAATTGCGTTGCAACTCTCATCCACTGCAGCGGAATAGATATCGGCCATTACAGAAGCCTAGCAAAAGAACCTCTTATGGATGAGAAATTCCTAACAAGAATTGGGTTAGAACAAGAGAAGTACATTCTGCTATGTTGATAGTCCAAAGCGCGATACAATCTCAGCAAGAATTGACCTTTCATTCATGGTCAAAAACACATTGATTTGTGAGTATCATTGGAATACGTGATGCGCTGGAGATTTGAAGTTATTTCAGATTGACAAAAGATTCAACACTGATAATAATGGGCGCTGATATGATGACTAAAGCTTTAACCTACGGAGAACTTGCCACTTGCAGAAAGATAGCTTGGTAATGCATCTAAAGTCCCATCTGAGTGTGCAGGGGGAGATTTGTTGTGCGGTGCCCACTCAGTGGGACCCCCACACTTTGTTGAAAATAAATAACTGGTAGGTAATCAACCACACGTAGTTGAAAAGAAAAAAAAAAAAAAAGAAAGAAGAAATTTGGCGAAAGTCTTTGGTAAGGTGATCTGCTGGTTAGGTGGATGCGTTAATCAGCATCCATCTCTCCTCTAATCAAGCTTCCACATCTCCTTATAAATAGGAAGATGGTGCTAGAGTTCAATGCACGCCAATCACGCAGAGCGACACAAGAGTAAGATTTGGAGAGTTTTAATGTTTTAGAATTGGGTTCTAAACTTGGGTAGTTAAATAGGAAGATAATCTTAGGGTGTTTTTGGGTAAAACACCCGTGTGAGTGCCACTATTTGTATATTACTCTCTTTGTAAGCTACTATTTTTTAAATAGTGGAAGAACTTATTCCGGTTTTTTTTGTCCGTTGGACGTAGCCTAAACAGTTAAGGGTGAACCACGTAAATATCTGTGTGTCATATTTATTTTTCTGCTTGTGTTATTATTCTCGTTAATTTTTATTGCCAGGGGCCTAACAGTGGTATCAGAGCTGATGCCCACAACTGTAATCAGAGTCGATATCCTAACAAGAATGATGTGTTATTATTCTCGTAATTTTATTGCCGGGGCCTAACAAGTGGTATCAGAGCTGATGCCCAACAACTGGTATCAGAGTCGATATCCTAACAAGAATGATCACATTTCCTACTTGGCATGGTGGGTTGGCTAATATTTAGGTTTAAAAATCAAGAACGACGTGTGGATGACCAATGATCAATCAATCATAATCAACGGATAAACGTTTTTGATCTAGCAAATGTTGTTATGAGACTAATGGGACCAAGCTTTGTGATTATCCGGTGACCACCATTTGCAAGTACTTTTCAAGAAAAACGTAGCTTCTGTGAAGGAAAATTGAAAACAACAAAGTTGATATTTAAGAAATAAGGCTATACACCTGTGGAAGTGGCAGATTGATAGAGATGGAACCTATGGTATTGGAACTAAAGTTACATCAAATTTTGGCTCACCCACTTGTCATTTAATAGAATCTTCACACAGACAGCTCACATATCATCACTCTCACAGTCTAATTTTACGTGGTCCTTATATAATTTTTTTTTATATATCCTTTTGTCTCTCCCTTGCAGTTTGTAATTTGCTAATCCATACATAACATATTTCATTGTCATCACTTACGTGTCTTAGAAAAAAAGGCCAGCATTTTGATTGTTTGAGAGCTTATAATGACCATTGCATTAGCTTTCTTGAGTCCTGATAATATCTGTCATCTAATGTAAAAAAATCTTCTCATACTAACACCCGAAGCCTTAATTTGATTTTCATTTATAATTTGTTAAATTTCATAATTTAATTTGTTCATCGTGTCTCCAGATTTTTTTTATATAACTCAAATCTCCTATAAATTATAATAATAATTAAAGCAGGGCATAGGAATTAATTGAATGTACCAACAAGAAATCAAAAATGTAAAAATCAGTCAAAAAGGTACTTCTACTATAATAATCCTTTGGCACACACAATAATGGTATTGGTAGTGTTCAGATCTAGAGCATGCAACCCTACCATAATGGCATGCATATATTAATTTCCTGAGTAATTTAATGTTAATTAAAGGTCCTACTTAACTGGCTCACAGACATGTTGTCCTGGTTGAACTGATCTGGTTTAGAGAATGGTTGCTAATTACTGCTAAGGCCTAAGAGGCTTGAGGTTCAATTTTGTTTTGTCTAAAAATGTTGAGTTTATCATAGTAAAAATTAAACATGCGTAGAAGCAGGTAATAATAATTAATGTTGCTTTTGTTCCTCTTTCATCTCCTACGTTATTAGTATTAAGTCAGTTTTAGCTGCTCTAGATGCTAGAGAAGTATAATTACTTAATTAAATGCAATTATCGAAGGGAAGAGGAATGCATTTTACTCTTTCCGTAAGCTTACTTGACGCGAATCCGGATTAACCGAGTCAATAAATTTCAAATTCTGGATGATTTAACACACAAAAAAAAAAAATTGATTGCTAAATAAGTAAATTGTTTTTAAAAATCGAGGGATGGACTGATCTCATTTGAATATTTATCTTGTATAGTAAGATATTATGATTTTTTTAGATCTTTAAGTTTTTTTTTTTTAAATGAAAAATATAAAAAGAAATTAAGGAAAGAAGAAGAAGCTTGCAAGGTGTTGTTCTTCATAGAAAGATAAACATCATAACCCCATATTATGGTACTATGGAGAGATGATTGTGATGGTGGGGTTGGAAGTAAAGTCTTTGTACAATGTTCAATAGGGTTCCACTCTATGATTGATGAAAATGTGATAAAAAGGGTTTCAAATTTATAAACGTGACAAAAAAAAATAAAGGTACAAATCGAAATTGTATTCTTATTTTAAATAATTTTATTTTACTATTTTTATCAATTTGTTACTTTTACTTTTGCTCAATGTAAAACTATTTTTCATATTCTTCTTTTGATTTATTGGCCACTTGTTTTCTAAAAAAATAAAAAAATAGGACCTCAACAATTAATGTCTCTATTTAACCAAGGTGGTGTCTGATGTTAACAGCTAGGCTTTGCATGAAAACAGACTACATCCATGCATTAATTAAGTAATTAAATTTTAATTAATCTTTAATCCAATAATGATGAGTTTGTGGTCCCCTACTTCCTCAACAGGTGGAGTCACACTGCTTTGCCTTGGAGTCCATTCCGGGTCAATCGCTTTTCCTTATTATATTCTGCACACTGCTCTCTACTCCTTTGTTCGTCAAACACCAAATCATGGCATCCTATAATTTTCCAAATTAATTTGTCATTTATTTAAAAAAAAATCTGACATATTTAAAAAGAGGAAATAATTAAAATTTAAATCTCAATTTATTATATTATAAAAAATAAAAAATATTTGATCACTGAATTATTAACGTAATGTTATTTATTTATCTGATGAATTAATTGTATAAATTTAAACTGATGTTTATTTATTATTAATAAAGTTCGTACTAACATTATAATTTCTTTTTTTCGACAAAAAATTACACTGAAATTTAATAATAATTGATTAAATGAAAAGGATAAGGTCTGAGTTTAATTGTCATCATGGAGTCGCAAAAGCTGAAAAAAAACAAAATTAACCGTAATAATACAACATAATTATTAATCCTAATTTAATTTGTTTATCACATGTCGTTTTTGTTGTTATTGGGTCTGTTTAAAGCTTTAACATTATTGTTTCCCTCAATAATAGAACAGCGAAGGGCCACAATGCTTCAGCATATATATATATATAATAACTTAGCATGTATTATAATCAAAAGATTAGTCCTATGTTTATTAGCTGTCTGGATTTAATTAGACCTGTTCAAATCTTAATGGAAGCTTTTTAAGCATTAGGCATGATATCTACCATCTGTAACTTATTCATATCCCTTTAAAGCCCATCTAATTTATATAAAATTGCATGTCATACCTGCAAAGGCCAAGCCCATTCAAGGGTATCTTGGTCTTTTGGTTGTATCTTCATGTATCTTTGATTCAGCTATCACATGGCACGAAATTACTCTCATGTGACCACATGCTAAGGACTCTCTTTCCTTTCCATGTTAGAGTCAATCCTACAGAGCTTAATCTTTGACTGATCCAATACTTAATCATCATTTGTTATACTAAGCTAAACCAAAACCTTGTTTAATTAATTAATTATCAGGTTTGTGTATAATTACGAAAAAAAGAAAAAAAGATCAAGAGTTGATTTTTCTTTTATAATTAAGAAACATATTTAATTATTTTTACATTAATTAGACAAACACTTAATTTATTATTTATTATCATATTAATAATGTATTTATATTGTGATATTCGATGGTCACTGAATAATTAAGAGAAGGTTCTATGTTTAAATAATAATAATAATAATAATAATAATTGGGAGAAGGTTCTGAATATTTAAAAAAATAATTCACTTTCTTTCAGAATTAATGGATTGAGATCCCTCTTTTTATTGGGATTTAGAAACGGAAAGCTAAAAAACAGAAACTAATGTAAACTACTAAGTTAGTAAAAAGTAAAAAGGTTTGTCTTTAGTTTCCAAGATGTCCATGTGCTGTTCCTATATTCTAAACACTCTCGTAGCTCAATTGTTTCGGGTTCACCAGACCATAATCATTTTTTTAAGCTCACCGTCCAAACCAAATTACTAACAATTACAATACAAATTAGCTTTCATTAATTAAATTTTTACAAGACACGACAGAAAGCATCGGCTTCCTTTATGTTTATATATATATATATATACCAGAATTCAGAAATCCAATCAACCTCAAACTCACTCTTCCAGCACTATACCCAACTCCATAACTCTTTCTTTCCTCCTCCTCTTCTTCTTTTTGCAAAAAGAAAGAAAAATAAGAAATGGTCTCCCTAGAAACTATTCAAGCTGCCTCTAGATCCATTGACCAAACTTCAAGCCCTAGAATTTCTTTCTCTGCAGAATTTCTTGACGAAGACAACTTCATTTCCATTAGTCCAAACCCACAAGCAGAAAAATATGAAGAGATGGAACGAGAAAAAGCAAGAACTGCAGAGTTTGAGTTTCTTTCAAATAATAACACGAGTAGTCATACCATGTTAACTGCAGATGAGCTTTTTTTCGAAGGGAAATTACTTCCCTTTTGGCAAACGCAACAATCTGAGAAACTCCATAAAATAAGTCTTAAGTGTAAAGAAAATGAAGAAGACGAAGATCAAGAAGAAGTCAACAAAGAAGATCAACCTAGAGTAAGTTGGTTTGTTGATGATGATCCGTCTCCAAGACCTCCAAAGTGTACCGTTTTATGGAAAGAATTGTTAAGGTTAAAAAAGCAACGTGCTTCTTCTTTATCACCATCATCATCTTCCTCTTCCACGTCGTCTTCTTCTAGCTCTTTAGCTGACATTGTTGTGACAGAAGAAAGAAAGGAAGGTTCTGGAAACAGAGAGAAGCAAGGGAAAAGAATGAAGAAAGGACTGGAGAGAACAAGATCGGCTACTATTCGGATAAGGCCAATGATAAATGTACCTATTTGCACACAGGTGAAGAGCACTGCTTTGCCACCTTTGTTTCCACTCAAGAAAGGGAGATTAGAAAGGTGAAGATTAGAATAATTATTATTGTAATCTGAGTAGTTTAACGCTTATCTTTCTTTCTCTAGGATGGCTAAATATATGTTAATTGATTTCTTTTATTTCATTTTGGAAATTTTCTACTTTTGATTTTTTTTTTTCCTTTACCATTTGTGTCTAGATTAATGTTAATTGTGATGGATCCGATAAATTATAATGTAAATCATGACATTATATATATTGTTGACAAAATAATTTTCCAAATTTTTTTTTTCTGAGCTAAATAATTCAATTCATTGAAAAAGGAACCAAAGCCAAGGTGAGCTTAGTTAAGCCATAGATTCTTCTTTTTCTTAGTACCGAGAAGTAGAACAAGCAGGTGAGAGATCAGAGCACATGCAGGAGGCAGAGCCTGAGAATTAGGACGATCTATATGTGAGGATCTGATGATTAATGGTCTTGATTTTAAAAATAAGATTGGAGTATCATGTGGCAAACTTATGACCATCCATTTTCTTGCTTCTTGTTACTTCCACAGTACATATACTAACCTTTCTCAGTTGTCAAAGGACAAAAGGTAGAGGAAACTTCACAATCAGTAAAATTGGAAAGGTACATTTTAAGGGAAATAGGAAATTGAAAAGATTTTTACCCATCAATGTCAAAGCTTCATAATTGCTTATAGACACTTAAAAAAGGAAAAAAGCAAAAAGATTCCTCATGTTAAGCAAGAAAACAAAAGAATTGGAGTTCAAGCTTGACTGGTAAGTTCAACTGAATGATAGGAGAAATTAAGCCACACAAAACGATCAAATCTGTCATTTTATGAAGTGCAGGAAACATAATGTTGACGTTACATGAAGATAACAATATTGCACAAATAAAGAATGACTGCACATAGACCTGTAATTTACATACAAACCGAGTGAACTTCAGTTGTAGATGCCGCAACTTGAATTGAGCAGCTTGTGTCTGGCCAAACCAGAGAAAGATGATACCGCAAAACTTCTAGATAATCAAAGAATGATTCTAACGGCAAAACCTCCAGCAAAATTTTCAAAAACTCTACATATCTCTAGACAGAATATATATAGATTTAATCAATTGAGATGAGGTTTCTAAATGCATCCTTTTCTCCTTTGCTTTGGTTGCATTGATTTTTTCCCCCTTCAAGAAGCTGGTGGAGGTGTTAACTGATTTCCAGGAGAGGTCCTAACGTATGTCAATTTAGACAATTAGATTAAACTGGAAATTAATAATGCTTATCTTGATTAATAACAACTGATAGATGCAGATACTAAGACTTGTCTAATTAAATTTTACCTAAGATCCAGGCCTTGTTTTCCAGTGAGATTACTTGGAATTTGTCCTGTCAGATTATTGTTCTGCAAGAATCTGAAAAGACGAGAGCTAAGTCAGGTGCATGAATCAAATCAGAATTATCACATTAGCAATCCAGAAAGAACAAAAGATAACATAAGGAGAACACAAGCGGATGTGTAAAGTTTCTGTCATTCAATAGCACCGTTAGGACCGTATTCAAAAACATGGCTTCTGGATCTTTAGCCAAAGTGAAAAAACAAGCAATAAATGCTAGGAGCACAGCAAGCTAATTGACTAAAAAGCTAACAAGATACCAAAAAAAATGCAATGCATAATTTTGATATCCAAAATTGACGAAACAACTCTGTCAATTAAAAAAGGGAAGGACAGCGAGATGCATCAAATAGCATTTCTACCAACTCCCACCAGCAAAGAAGACAGATCACATGGTAATCCTGCAGTACTTGCTACAAACCCTATGAACAAGCGTAGTTTTAGCTGTGATTATTCTTTCTAGTATAGGTAAGAAATCAGGTGCAATAGATCGAGGACATGCGTCACTGCTACAGTAATACCAAGGTTCACCTTCTCAAATATCAATAATAAATTTGAGATCTAAATTTTTTTGTCTGAAGATTTTGAAATAAATAAAATGATCTGAATTTAATATGGGTAGGCAGCAACTGGAAATATACCAATCGTAAAAGAATGGACGCTTCCATACATCTGAATTTACTAGCAACCCCACAACATCCCCACCCCAAAACCTAACACTGAAATGAATGTGGTGAGAGAAATGCCTTTTAGGTGATAAAAAAGTGACTTACGTTGCATCCATGTAAGTAACCATGGTAATGGAGTAAAATGCAGTAAATGAGTCTACGACAGTATTTCTCCAGATTTGCTTGAAAACAAAGTCACCATTATAGTTTTCTTGATAGTCGGCCTCTTTTAAATGCAAATATCTAAAGATCAGGCTGAGATCTGGCTAGAGATCATTAACTTCTTTACTTGCTTGGAATACTTGCAAGTTCTCTAGTATCGATTCCTTCCTGTGCTGGTTTTTTGAGGATACTACATGTTTTCTCTTAGGCTATAGCTATAAGATGCAGCCAAGATTTTATATCAACTGAAAATGACATCTTACTATTGATTTTATCTACAGTAACAGATGCCAATTAATTTGAAATCCCTGATTGTGATATATCAAACAACTCTGAAATAGCATAAAAAATTTTAATTTTTTTTCTAATGCTCGTTGATCATGGAACGATTTTACCACTAGTTGATGCTTGGAGCTTGGAGCTTGAAGCATAAGTTAAGGTGTGAAAATTTACAGAAGCAGAGTTTAAAGGATGTCATTGGATCCACAGCCAAGTGATTAAGTACCTGCCTTGTAATGCAGGACCAAGGGTTCAACCATTAGCAATATTTTCCCGTCAAAGATTTCCAACGTTCCAAAAGAAAAAATGTATAAATGATTTTGCAGGAAGACTATACAAAAAAATTTATAATTTTATCAAGAGTCCTTGCATCCAAATATAAGCTGTATGGGTGATCTTTTCTGACAATTTATCCAGACTAAGCATAACTATTTTGGACTAGAAGAACAGAACGTTCTCAACACACTATTTATATGTATAATATATATATTATATAAAAAATATAGACAATAAACCAATCAGATTGGATATGGTTTTTTACTCCAAAAGCAATGATTTTGCTTAAATTTTTAACCCAAAAAAAAAAAAATCGTAGTGCTGTTTCTCAATTTATAAGGACTACTGAAAAGCTGTCAAAGTTTATGGAAAAGTCATAAAAAAGGTAGCAAACAACATAAATCTCTTTTTCAAATGGCTTAATTGACCTAATCCTAAAAAGAATCATGAGATTTAGTAGACCTAAAAGATGGAAATCATATGTTTCTGCACCACATATTTGTCGGATAAAATTAAATATAACATTGACAAATCCTTACATTGACACGCTTCCTATCTGAAGAGAACAGACAACCAGTTCAGAAAATGTCAAGTGAGTACATCTTTACGTATGACTTGAATATGACTCCTGGAATCCTTATTGTTCAAGAACTACTCTTACAGCAGGAAACAATAAAAAGCATATAGCAGGATATACAACTCAGATGCCAGCCATATTGGCTGCTAAGTTATATGCAACAAGTAGTTGGGGCAAGTAAGCAATGCATGTAAATGGAATGACAGGCAGAGGAAAAAGAAGTATATAGAAATTCTCATGTTAGACTTACAGTTCACGCAGAGGTTTAATGCTTCCAAGTGATGAGGGGATCCCTCCGGTGAGTTGATTATTTTCCAAGTGCCTTTAAAAGGAGAAAGGAAATGTCCGGTAAGAAGTGCGAAAACAAATTGCAAATATATAAGTTAGATAACTTGTCCCAACCTTCTAACAAATTGGTTGGGATAAAGCACATAAAGCAATGTACAATATAAGCAAGCCCATAAAGGATATTATAAGTATTCTATCACAACAAAAGCATAATGCTAGTATGTTCAAGTTGGTGTCAATAATGTCATTGAAATGCATGCTGAGCCAATTGTCCAATTTAAGCAAATGGAAATAAAAGGAAAAATGGGGAATCTTACAATGTCTGCAGCATCTTCAATAAACTGAGATCAGGTATGGAACCTGTCAAACTGTTGTTTCCAAGCCAGCTGTCAAAATAACATATAGTCAATCTAATAATCCCTATTAAGTTCCATTCATATATAGATGAATTTAGTTTTGACAACTTACATGTCCGTCAATGCAGTCAATCTGGCAATACTTCGTGGTAATGATCCTGAAAGGCCCATGCTTGTCAGATTCCTGTAAACAAGGTGGAAAGTTAAAGAGTAGATTATTTCTGAAGCAATAATAATTGATGAATAGATAAAAAATCTCTGTCACATGAGTAAATTCAACTAACAATGTAAGCACACGAATTCGGGGACCCTCAGAGCAAGTGATTCCAGTCCATGAATAGCGACGGGGCATACAGGGATCACCACTCCAATCAAATGGAGGATTCCGGAGAGTGCTTTTCAGACTTTCCAAAGCTATTACTGCAACAAGAAGTATGATACCCATTTAAGAAAAAAAAAATTGAAAGAGAGAAAAAAAAGAAACAAAAGTGTGTTAAACATACCGTCTCTAGTAAGAGTTCTTCCTCCGAGCTCCGTCACATAAAAAATCTCTCCACCATTGATCACTGGACCAAGGCTAGAGCCAGCAACAGGTGCCAAAGTTACAGTCGTAAGACCACCAAGAGGCCACTGCGTAGCGTAGACGACGCAGCCTGCTGGTGTCACACTCAAATTTTTGTAATAAGTTATTCCGTTGATACTTATATTGAGGAATCTTGAAGATCCATTAGATGAACTAAGATCATCAGCGAAGTATAAAGCAATGGAGTAGTTAGAGTTTTGAAGCGGCGCCAGTGGCCACTTCAATTCTAATGGATCAAATCCACCTGATGTCAGTTCTGTTTCGAATACTTTCGAGGGAGGAAGGTTCCAAATACCAGAAAGTGATAGATTCTTGTTGTTCGATACAGTTGGATCTTTCTCCCCAAATGGCTCCCAAAACCGATCGAATTGATCGTCAGGATATCTGTTAAAAAACGAAATTAAAGTTTTAACATGACAATAAGAACCAAATTCATACAGCCAATTTAAATTTTCACCCACCGAATGAGAGATCCATTATATCCAAAACTATGCCTGGCAACTAAGCTAAGGCCATATCGATTGAAATCCGTGGAATTATACAACGAACCTCCCAAAATCACAAACTCCAAGGCCGAAATGAACGGGTCCGAGTCCGTATACGAATTGGCCCCGATACACAAACTCATAAATTTCCCTTGAGCCAGAAAAACCCCTTCATAATACGATGACCTGCCGTTCGCATAATCCTCCGTAGTATTCACAATGCTCCACAAAGTTCCGTCCACAATCTGATCGAACACCGGAGGCGCAGCCTTGCCATTGATCCCTCCGTAGAAGTATGTAGTTCTAATCATGTACTTCGCCCCGCGGAAAACCGGAACCACGTAGCAGGATTTGTGGTTTACATTGTTCGGAAATGATCGGACGGTGGAAAGGATAGAGGCGAGGACTGGAATTGTAAGGTTCTTGGAAGTCCCAGTGGAGATGAAGCCGGCGTCCGGAAGCCACTGGCGACCATCAATTGTAGAAGGAGCGGTGGCACCGCAATCGATTAGAGTACCTAAAAAACAGAGCAATAAAGAAAATGAGGTTTACAGCGAAGAAAACACGAAAAGAAATAGAAGTGAAGTGATTGCGTGATCATTACCTCTAGGAGGTGGTGTTTGAGAAACAGAAAGGGAGAGAAGAGAAAGGATGAAGAAGATGAAAGGAAGAATGGACATGGCGGAGAGATTGGCGCATGCAATGGAAAATTGAGATTTTGAAGACAGAAAGGGGATTAGTCTTGTTTTGTTTAATGCGGTAGTGATTGAAGAGGCTTGAATGAGTCTTGCAAGAAAGGAATAGGGAGTGCGAGGAGTTGGGGAAGAGGGAAGGAATTTTGGTGACGCGGGAAAGGAGAGGCCAGGTCAATACTCAAGAGGCGGCAGTTGGTGTTCGTTTGGCTGAGTTGGATGTGCGTTAGGTAGAAGGTAACTAATTGGGCAGTTAGGCTCAATTTGTTTCAAGCATCAACACTAATTCTTTTTTAAGAATTTTTATTTATTTTAACTAATGAAAATTTAAAACTTTTTTTTTTAAGTTTCCGTTAGTTTTTCTTTTCCTTTTTTTCTTAATTATAGTCTTTTATATAAACAGAATTTTTTTTTTTTACATACATCTTATATAGAATCTTTAAATTTATACGGAAATTTAACATATAAAATTTAAATTTAAATTTAAATTTGTAATCTATATAATTTTAATTAATATTTATATACTCTCTGTCTTTTAATCTTTTAATTTGTATTTAATCTTTTAATATACCCTTATTATTTTCCTAGTCTAATAATATGAAATGTTCATTATTTTTAATAATTTGTTTATTTTAAGATTTGATTAACATGGACATTGATATTTTAAGATTTTATAATCCAATTATGGTGAAATATTTATGGATAAAGATGCATATTAAATAAGAGTAATTAGGAAATGCATGATTATAATACTAATTTTTTTATAAAATGAATTAATTATAGTGTCAATTGCAAAATTAATCATTCTACAGTTAATATCCGTAATCATCATAATTAGAATTTATTGTTTGTTTTCTTTAAGGTTTCGTGTAAACAATTGCTGACAACAGAGTACCAATTAGATAATTAAGGTTATATATCAATTCTAGATGCGTTATCTTATGTTGGATTTCATTTAAATTAATAATAATTTTTACAACTGGATCTATGATTTTTGCATTAGAAATTTGAAACAGAGTGGCTAAGCACTAGAGTAAAATTGACTGAGCGTATGTTGAGTGGTTGGGTTTGGGTTAGGCATTGATTACGTACTACACATATTATTTTGGAACAATTTGTTCGCACATATAATTTTTAAAGACTTATTCCAAGAACGGACCACAGACACATAGAAAAGAACTTCCCTGCACGTCTAGTGTGCGATTGCCAATTTATAAGCATATTATTATGCACATCGTGAACCTTTATGTATTATTTTATTTCAATACTTATGATTTATCCTATTTCTACATCGAGCAAAATAACCACACTGATTTTATTTTAAGAAGTTCTATTTGTTTTTTTTTTTCTAAAAAAGAAAATATAAACATGACATTTATTTATATAAACATGATGTGTGACGCTTATTGTTGAACTAGTTGAACACCCACGTTTTGCAAGGTCTATTATTATATATTGTATTTTATAAATTTATTTAATATATTATTAAGAGATGTTTTCAGTGGATTACTCCATTAAATTTATTTAAATAATTCTTAGATCCTAGTGGTATCCAAGAAAAGCGACCACAGGACACATTAGATAATCAGAACTGGTCATCTGTGCACGTGCTCTAGTGTGCGTAATTTGAGCGAGAGGATTGCCAAATGAGGTGAAGGTCTGAGTAGTCCTATTAATGTGTGCACGATCCGCTCGAACCTCGTGGGATAGCTGCCGACTGGTATATTGTGGTATATGAATTCAGGCTAACTATTACTACTATAAGTATTCAGGTACGCGCGATGAATTTCTTTACATCGTGAGCATAACAGAGATAGAAACGCATACCACACAATGATTTGTTGAGTGAATGTGTAAAGAAAGACTTACTGGTATTTGTAATTTCTTTTTTTTTCCTAAAAAAGAAAATATAAACATTTAGTTGAGCATTATGGTCGATAATTAGAATATATATGAGGTTCCTAAACATTGTGGATGTCTTCATGATCGGCGTTATTGTGCCCATTAATGTAGACCTCAATAAAGACAATTCTTTCCGCGAAACATACGCAAAACACGCTACGCTTCTTGCGGCCACGAGGGGAATCGCTGGAGGGCCACTACGGTAAATGTATTATCAACTCGAGTTGTAATTTATTATAATTTCACATTTAATATCGATTACTATGTATTAATATGGACCGATAGAATTATATCTCTAAGTGGAAGTAATCTTCCACCCATACTAAAAAGTACTCGTGTAAAATATAATATTGAGGTGATATTTAAGAATGCCTAAAATATCATGTCCAAATTTTTAGCTTGAAAAAAGTGCTTCCCGTAGTGAGATTAAGCTAATATTAAACAATTTAAATATAAGTAGGCCCGTAATTATGAATCCAACTCCTAGGCTAAATCCAGGCTATCACGACTAGAAAGTTCTCGACTTGAAGTCTTCAAATCCATGTAACTGGTACACCACTAAATAAGCCCGATAAATATTATTATATTGAATTATTTTATATTAAAAATATAATTGATTTATTATTATCTCCGTACGACCTCATTCTCAGGACTGTGCTATCCACAACAGCACCGTTAGAAAATAAAAAGCCAGAAATTACAATTTCAGACCTTTCGGAGTTCTACTAATAATTTCAAAGATTTAACCTGCCTCCAGACAGTCACCTCTAGCCGACAGTCCTCCTGCCACGCGCCGGCCCGCGTGAAATATCAACTGACTCACACGCTTTTGTAATTAAATATAATAAATGGAAAGAGTAAGATCCGACACGGACAATATGCAGCTAAATAATTAAAATGGCTTACCACAGATTTAATTAAGTAATACAGAGGATAGCAACTAATTACCCAATAAATCAATTCTAAATATTAACACCAGACTTATCTCTATAAGCCACTAATTTCTTTACCTGCTCACTATACTCTCTCGTCTCAATATAGTGGTATTTTAATAATTAATAGCTTGTTATATATAAAATTACTGTTAGCGTTCATGAATGTTGGTGCACACTTAAAATATAAAATTTTTAAAATTACCAATACAAACTTAACGAAGGAGACTAAAATGACCATGTGTAGATTAACAGAATATAATTTCGACTTAGACTATTCACGAAACGAATAATAAATTCAATAAGGTACAATTGGAAATAACACCACCTTATATAATGAAGGAATACATAGAAAAGAAAAAAAGTTATAAAAGAAATGATAAATTTTATCAGATGCAGCATAATAGGGGTCTGAATTAACCTGAGTGAACCTAATAAATATAATCCTTTAACCCAATACCTATGCTCATTCAAAATCTACTACAGAAGAAAGAGCGTGAGAATATTAAAATATAATTGATTTATTATTATTAAATATTAATTCTATAAAACATAGAAAAATAAAAGCAAAATTAAAATTGATTCTATTAATATTTTAAGTTAATCTAACATATGTAGCACAGTCCTTCAGGTAATTCTACCACGTGAATTAAATTAAAATGAAAGTAAATTGAAAGAAAATGACTAAAAAATAAATTTCAAGATTAAAATTACAAATAGACACTAAAAATAAATCAATTAAAATAAAAATATTAAAACTAATTTGCCCACAATCTCTTAATATGTATAAAACTGATAACTACTCGAATGGAGAAATACAAAAAATGAATTAGACAAATATAATTTCATTAACTAAAAATTTAAGGAAAAAAATAGAAATATAGAAAAGTTTAAAAGAAATGATAAAAGAGCATAGTGAAAAGGAAAATAAATCATGATAAATATGAAGAAACGGTAATTTATTCAATAACAACACCACGATGACTCTATCACATACACTTTCCACATAACATAAATTGACCAAACTGAATAAGATTATTATACCCTAGCTCTACAATGACGTTTTTCATATCTCAAAAAAAAAAAAAAATCCTAGATAATTAACTTTTCCTTCATTTATTAATAGTAAAAGGCAACCAAATGAATATGGCATGTAGTTTGGATCTATACCTGCATCACTGCATGTCAAAGCCACCAATAAATGCAGTTACTGATATCTATATAATTACCTGAAAATCAAATTTCAAATATAACTTGCTCTTGATCTAATTTCAAGAGTATAACATACAACAAGATCAAAGCTTTAAATATATCACAGCAAAATGAATTGTCAAAAAAAAAAAAAAGAAAAAAAACAATGCATTATTTATTCACTTAGAGAGTAAATCAACATAAGAGAATAAAAAAACAAAAGAAAAACTTACAAACGTGCACCTCTAAAGAAAAACTCACAAATTTGCACCTTTGAGCCGTGTTCGAGTTTACAAATTTCCTTAAAATAAGCATATAAAGGATAAATAGTTAAAGAGAGATAAAAAGATTCAATTTAAAAGCATTTGAATATAAGATGTAAACAAAGAGTTTTGCTTAAATTTATTAAAGATATATAGAAAAATATTTATTTAAATTTTTAAAATTTATGAATCTATATATCAATATAATTCTCTAAAAATATTTTTATAGAAAAACAAATTAAAGTAAAAAAGAAAAAAGCTGAAAAATCTATAAAAAAAGAAAAAAAGAATTAGTGAGGGAATAAAATGTTATCTCAGTATTTCAAAAATATTTTTTAATTGAGGATTATTATATATTAATATATATTAATATATATAATATATAGGGATTGATTTTTTTTTTTTCTTTGGCACTTGGGCCCAAGACCAATAACCACATATAGGGATGATTTTTTTTTCTTGGCACTTGGGCCCAAGACAATAACCACACTATAAAACAGGTGCCCGAAATAGTCGGCTGGTCCCATGGATACCAGTGGAGTGGCTGTGGTCCTGTGGAGCTCTTGACTCATCCGTTCTGGGATTCTATTTTCTTTTATTTATATAAAAAAATAAATATATAAAGTAGTAATCAGATTAAAAGACGGTATCCACTCCTCAAAATCGAATCGGTTTGGCGTGTGCTATATCGGGGCCCAATAAAGGACCGCTGATCTAGCAGAAGCTATAAACTGTATAACATAACAGCACTCGTGTGAAATCACGGACCTGTAATCTGTCAACTTGTCACGTGCACTAGTCCGTTGGTGGGTTAGTTAGGCTTGCTCGGCGCAAAATTATTATGCCTTGCTCACAAGTCACGAGTAACTTATATGATTAGAATTGGAAATGGTAAAAATAAAAAACAAAAAATAAAAAGAGTTGCTACTTTGTGTGAAAAATAATATTTGATTTTATTTTTTATTATATAATTCATTTATTCCATTAGCCTTTTTCTTTGAAAAATAATATATATTTTATATCATATATTTTAATGCCATTATAAATAAAAAAATAAAATTTTGGTCAATATTATGTGGCGTTAATCCACTTGACAACGAACTTGAGAAAAAAAGTTCCATTGATTTATTGGTAAATAAATTAAATCATTATGTGACTCTAATAATAATTTTAAAAATAAAAATTTTAAAGAGCTCAATTAACCTAAACAAATAATATTACAATAATTGAATTTTAGTTTTTAAAATAAATGTGCTAATTAAATAATTTAATAACATAAACTTTTATTTACTCACCAAAAAAAATCTCCAAGCATTGCACAAATATTAAATTAATAAAATAATATTTTCATTATGTATTTGTTTTATAGTATTATTTATACTTTAAGCATGAAAACTCCAAATCATTATAATATTTGGATTAAAAGATAGTCAATTAGTATTTATTTAATGAAAATAAATAAAGAGCTTCTTAATTATACATATCTCAAATATTATATTTCTAAATTTATAAAAGTACAATATACTTGGTATGAATATAATTTAATATTTAAATGACATTTAAATTTTTATTTATTATTAATTTTTTAAATAATGAAAATATTTTTTTATCTGTAATCCTATTCTTAATTGGAATTAAAGGTGTTGTTATTATAAAATGTTAAAATTGAAATAAAATCGGAAAAATATCAAAATACGAGCAAAGCACAAAGTTCAAGGTTAGCCCAATCTTATTTGTTATAACAAGGTGAAAATCATATTCACCACCGATATGTACAGTTAAAAAGTTATAACTCTCTTTATTACTCAGTTTATCTTATTATTTATTATAGTTTGACTTTTATATAGATTAAAAAAAACATTATTAACATAATTAAGCAATAATTTTTATATACTTTTTCTATAATATCCTCTATTAATATTTCATTCATCTCATAATAATATATTCATTTTTTTTTCACTCGTTCTCAATTATACCACTATCTGTAACTTAAATATATTTTTCACTCGTTTCTTCAATTATACCACTATCTTGTAACTTAAATATATATATAATTATATATATAATATATATATAAAATATTATATATATATATATATATATATATATTATTATAACATTATTTTATTTTTTAAAAAGATGAATTTTGTAATTATTATTTTTTTTCTTTTGATGTGCATTTTTTTGTCAACAAATATATTACTATTAACATTAATTAAATATTGAAATAAATAATAAAGTTGTATTTTTTTTTTTGAGTGTTTAGAAAATAATATTAGAGTATGATACCATTATTTTTATTTTTAAAAGATGAATTTTGTAATTTATTATTTTTTTCTATTTGATGTGCATTTTTTGTCAACAAATATATTACTATTAACATTAATTAAATATTGAAATAAATAAAGTTAGTATTTTTTTTTTGAGTGTTTAGAAAATAATGATTAGAGTATGGATCTATTGTTAAATTATATATACATTTATTACTAAAAATACTTCAACACGTGAAATAAACAAAGTTAGTATTATTGTTGCATATATTAACAAATTTCATAACTTTACATTAATATTAATGTAAAAAGGATTACTAAGAAAAACTCAAACAAAATTACGATTGAACTATATTAAATTTTATTTTTTTAATTTATATAAAATTAAAGTAGTCTTATTATTGAGATTGAAAATACGCAAGAATTAAAACAATTAAAATTACATATTGATTGCAATCTAGAGTATGTAAATGGCTTTTTTCTAGAGTGAACTTTTTATTTTCCAACCACGTACATACTATCACAAATCTTATTTTAGTTTAACTCCCATTTGTGTTAATAAAATCCTATTAATGCGGTTAATTACAATTTTACTTAATTTTTCCAAGTATACAATTGTATTAATCATTAACTTATCTATTTTTTTATATTATAAACCGACACATATAATTTTTTAAAATTAACATTGATAACACATAGTTTTTTTAAATTACCGTTGACAGCAATAATAATCACTTCGTTGATAGAAATACACATTAAATCAGAATAAGATAAAAAACTTAAAATACTAAGAAAAAATAAATAACACTATAATTTAGAAAATAACAAAATAAAGAAACAAAATATTATGGAAGGGGACGGTTAATTTTCCATATTTTCACGGCGGGATTGAACGTTAGCCGTTTTTTACAGAAGCGGAAAGCAGGTGCGCGGTGTTTGCCCTTGCAGAACCGGGAAATAACGCGGCCGTTTTAACTCCGACAATTCAATTTTTCCACCGGAAAAGAAAACAAAAGAAAAAGAAAAAGAAAAAGAAAAGGAAAAGAAAAAGAGAAGGAAAATCACAAAAGTTACACGAAACTTGCGAAATAAAATTTCCTTTGTAAATTTCCAAAATACCCCTGATCCATCCATTTCTCATCCTACTTGAAAATTTTAATGTCTGAATTCTGAGTAGCCTCTCCTTCTGTCGGTCTATCTCAATCTCTGTGCGTGATGGAGCCAGAGAGGAACCAAGATCATGGTCTTCCCGAGAGGAAGGGGCAGAAGCGGAAACTAGAGGAGGAGATCGAAGAGGAGCAGCGAGAGATCTCGGCAGCTGTCCCCTTCGGCGATGCGCGGCAAGCGCTGCTATACGAGGTGGCTGCACAGGTTAATATCCTCAACACGACCTTCTCATGGAACGAGGCCGATCGAGCTGCTGCAAAACGCGCTACTCACGTCCTTGCGGAGTTCGCCAAAAACGGTATCTCCTATCCCTCTCTGCTTCTTGTTTGTTCTCTCTCTTTCATTTTTTTTTTTTTTTTGAATCTACAAACTGTAAGTTTCGACACTGAAATTAAGATCTCTATTTATATGCCAGTGTTTTTTTGCATGTATTGCTTACAAATTGAGATAAGTTATGTTTGGTGGTTATTGTTCTTTAGAGGAATTAGTGAACGTAATTGTTGAAGGAGGTGCAGTTCCAGCTCTCGTTAAGCATCTTCAAGCTCCACCATCTAGCGAAGCTGACCGTAATCAAAAGCCGTTTGAGCACGAGGTTGAGAAGGGGAGTGCTTTTGCGCTAGGTCTGCTTGCTGTGAAGGTCATTTAGCTATATTTTCCTTTCGTGCCTATTATTTTATTTGGCGTTTTGATACTTGTCTGTAGCGTGTCATTTTCCACTTTCTGTCCGGTTAAGTTTAGTTCGACTGGAACTTACCTTCTGTTCAATGATTATGCTATGAGCTCGTGATGTTGGTTGTCTATCAATTAGAGTGTTATGTTAGTTTTTACAAAGAGAATGTTTATATAAGCATGGCATAATGGAGCTGGACTTAGTATTTTTTTGTATGTGGTAGGAAACCTTGTTATTTCAGTGAATGAAACTGTTAATGTTGTTTCACTTGCTTCAAGAAAGTTCTAGTTGCTGATGGCATGCGTTCATTTACTTGCTGTAGTATTTATTTGCCAGAATATTACATGAATAACATCTGCTATTATGATACAGTAATTCCATAACTCAATCCAAGAAACACAAAGCAAAGGTGGCATATCAAATGCATTTTGTAACTCAACTTGATATTTTCTTCAGATATACTCTAAACATGATCTGATTAAAACCTGCCTTCCCCCTATCCTATATCTTATATATTCTTATATCTTTTTTTTTTACAGCCAGAGCATCAGCAACTCATAGTTGACACTGGGGCGTTGTCGCATCTTGTGGACCTGTTGAAGAGGCACAAGGATGGTTTGAGTTCTCGGGCTGTGAATAGTGTAATTAGAAGGGCTGCTGATGCTATTACCAATCTTGCTCATGAGAACAGCAACATTAAGACTCGTGTTAGGTTTGCTTGTTTTAGTGTCATTTTATCTTAACTTTGCATTATCACTATGTTCTTCTTATATTCATTGCTATTGGAGATACAGGATGGAAGGTGGTGTTCCACCTCTAGTTGAATTGCTTGAATTTGCTGATACAAAGGTTCAAAGAGCAGCTGCTGGGGCTCTACGAACTCTGGCTTTTAAGAATGATGAGAATAAAAAGCAGGTCATACATTTTCTGTAAGATGAACTTTTGCACAGTTAGTTTTAGTATTAGTAAATGATATGAAATGTTTGTTTTGCAGATTGTTGAATGCAATGCTCTTCCAACTCTCATTCTAATGCTACGATCTGAGGATGCTGCTATACACTATGAAGCAGTAGGATATTTTCAGAGTTCATATATGTTACTAATTTTGAATTATATATTGTCTTGGAACTTTGTTTTTGTAGTTCAGAATAGCTTTAGCATAAAGTAATTTCTCATTTTCTCAGGTTGGTGTGATTGGAAATCTTGTGCATTCATCCCCAAACATAAAGAAAGAAGTCCTTGCTGCTGGTGCTCTGCAACCTGTTATTGGTTTGCTTAGGTTTGTATAAATCCTGTATTCTCAGCATCCTTGAATTATCTTTCCACTGGTTTTAGCAGAGGATGAACATTCATTTTGTGAAATTTTTGTCCAGATTTTATTTTTCTTGGCAACTTGTTATTTCTTTTTTCTACCATGAAGATTTTTTCCTTAATTTTTCTTCTTGCAATTTCTTACTTATTACTTGGGAACAGCTCCTGCTGCTCTGAGAGCCAGAGAGAAGCTGCTTTGTTGCTTGGACAATTTGCTGCAACGGACTCTGATTGCAAGGTAGACTCAAGCTTGGCCTTAAAATATCATCCATTTTATACATCCAATTGTTTAGAAAACCTGTGAATAAATAAATATCATCCATTTTATACATCCATGAACTTTCACTGTTGTTAAACCCCCATCCCCTAAATTTTTTTCTGCTTTAGATTATAAAAGTGATCTATTCTTAGGTGCACATTGTACAAAGGGGTGCAGTTCAACCTTTGATAGAGATGCTACAGTCCCCTGATGTACAACTGAGGGAAATGTCAGCTTTTGCATTGGGGAGGTTGGCACAGGTTACTATTTCTTTATCTCTGTTGCATGCTTAAACTCTAGAGATCCTAATGACATTATGAAATTGGCATTGCATTCCTAGAGATGGATATTCATTTATTTAATTTAATTTTCCCACTAGTGAATACTTTATTAATACATTTTTACTAAAAAATTCTGGTATGTTTTATTATTATGAAGGCCAAATGAACTTTGCGTGCCTTGCTTTAGAGGCTTCTTGCATACTTCACTCGCTTACTAAATTCAAATTGGACACAATTATCTTCAATAATAAAGTTTATGACTACAGTTGACGACAAAATCGAAAATTTTGTCCGTGATTTTGGGTCATTTGTCCCATTATAAATTATAAATTGACTGTTTTCTTTGTCTATTTAGGTGAATTAAATGATTCTGATTCTAAAACTAAATGATCTTTGCTTGATCTAACATAGTCTTCTTCTAGATACTCTTTGCATTATTATGTGGTTATTATGATCTGAACCAGGAGCATTTTCTTGTGTCTTTTTCTTTTTCCTTAACTGCTCATCAATTTACTTGAATACGAGTTTTTACAAATATTTGAACTGTGCTTCTGAGCTTATAATTTTTTGCGAAGACTTAATCAGGCTCTAGAAAATGCTTAAACGAGTTCAATAGGTAATCTGATGAATTTCAGTTGGTTCCCTTGAATATGTTGGTTGGCATTTCTCAGCAGCTTGCTGTTTTAATTTAATAAAAATGGAGAACTTAAGAGATGATGTTTCAATTGAGCGCACTTCTGATTGGATGGTTCTTTTTTCTTATGTTATTCTTATTCCTCCTTTTTTTTTTTTTTTTTTTGATTTCAGGACTCACACAACCAAGCTGGTATAGCTCACAATGGTGGCTTAGTTCCGTTACTGAAGCTTTTGGACTCAAAAAATGGATCTCTTCAACATAATGCTGCATTTGCTCTATATGGTCTTGCAGATAATGAGGTGAGAGCAGTAGATTATGAGTTCTTATGAACTTAAGGATCCCTGCCAAAATGCTATTTAGATTGACCCTTTTAACTTTTTTAACTTGATACCATCTTATTGTATTCGTTCATTTTTCCTATAGGATAACGTGTCCGATTTTATTAGGGTGGGAGGTGTTCAGAAGCTTCAGGATGGAGAGTTTATTGTTCAAGTATGTTCACTAGACATTTCATTGTTCAACAGCCTGTTACATATACTCACCTTTATATGCCTATATTATAGTACTTAATATACGTGGTAGCTTGAAATCATGAATTCATCTAGAAATTAGATGTTAACCAACTAATTGCTCTTTTTTCTGGACCTACGATGATCAATATACAATTAATAATCACACCTGCAGGCGACAAAAGATTGTGTATCCAAGACTTTGAAAAGATTAGAGGAAAAAATTCATGGACGAGTGCGTTATCTCCTCTCTCTTCCCCTGCACTCTCTCTATTATCTCTGGCATTTCTTGTCTGCAGAAACTGTACTAGTGTTTTTCTTTTCTTCAAATTTAATTTTAATCCTTAAATTTGTAATCAACAAATTTCTTCTGTAGGTTTTAAACCATTTATTATATCTAATGCGTGTAGCAGAGAAGGCTGTCCAACGGCGTGTTGCTTTAGCTCTTGCACATCTTTGTTCCCCAGATGATCAGAGAACCATATTTGTTGACAACAATGGCATGTTATATTCTTTTTAATCTTGCCAGTTCTAAATTTCAAGAAAAAACTATTATTAATTTGGAGTATTTGTTTGCTTTAGATTACCATACTTGTTTGAGATGGCTGATAATTTTTCTAATGCAGGATTGGAGTTACTTCTGGGGCTTCTTGGCTCTACAAACTTAAAACAACAACTTGATGGAGCTGTAGCTCTCTACAAGTTGGCAAATAAAGCAATGACTCTTTCTCCTGTGGATGCTGCCCCCCCTTCTCCAACACAAAAGGTGTGCTTCATGTCTAAAACCAGTTATCTTATTCTACTCAGTTTGTCACTGATAATCATTAGTCTTCAGTGTACCAATTTAATTTTTGTGATTGTAGACATCCCTGAATTTGTTTCCAGTTTTTGTGTTTTGACTTTTGATGGAAAAATTCCAGATAGAAAAAGCAAACATTTGGAGACTTGGCATATAACGGTTCAATTAATTCATTTTTTTCACCTTTGAGGTCCTTCCGTAATTTCATTTGACAAATGCTAGATTTTTTTTTTTTTTTTTTTTTTTTTTGATACGGAGGAAAAATAATCCAGAGTAGAAAGCAAATATTATATGAACTTGGCAATAAATAACGAAGGTTTCATAATGAAAATTCAGAATAATTATTATTCACCTTTGATGGTCCCTGCCGTAAATTGATGATTTGAAAAAATGCAGATTTTTTTTTTTTTTTTTAATATATTATATTATATATATTTATAACTTTTAACAATATATTTCATTTTATTGCTCATGGATCAAAGGTTTGAGAGGTTTTATGTGCGAACTGCATATTTTTGATTTTGTTTTGAAAATACTTAGTGAAATACGGGGTAGATATTATGCTATGTTTACTACTTGATAAATATTTTAAATTACTTAATATATAGACTACATACAATAATATTTTTTTTTTTTTTTTTTTTTTTATTATTTCTATATTTACTTTTAAACAATATATTTCATTTTATTGCTCATGATCAAGTTGAGAGGTTTATGTGCAGAACTGCTTTTTTGATTTTGTTTTGAAATACTGTGAAATAGGCGGTGAAATTTATGCTTGTTTTACTACTTATATCTTTTAAATTATTATTTGAATAACCTCCATATAAAATTTATTTCTGAGCATGTTAAATACATATAGGACATTTTTCACACTTGATTTATTAGACTATTTTTTGGTATTTTCTGCTTGACCATTGATTTAAAATATGATAAGGATGTAAATTCCTAGACTTTTTTTATTTGATATTGGAAATTCATGTCTTTATGATAACATCTCTCTTCTCATGCAGGTATATTTAGGAGAGCAGTACGTGAACAATGCTACATTGTCAGATGTCACCTTTCTAGTTGAAGGTTGTAGATAAAAAGTTTTGGGTATTTAAAGCTGTGGTACTTGTTTAGAATTATAATTTTCTAAATCTTGCTATTTTTGTATGAGATTTATCGACATGAATGAACCCTTACCAAAATAATATTAATCGTATACTGCAGGTAGACGGTTCTATGCACATAGAATTTGCCTACTTGCTTCTTCAGATGCATTTCGTGCAATGTTCGATGGAGGTTACAGGGTGAGCATACTTGTCAGTCTTGTTATATTTGCCATTCACCAAACACTCACTTGGAGCTTTGTAAGGGTTGGGTCCAATAAGGGTGAAAGAGATGTTGGAGCTTTGTGAGGGTTGAGTCCAATAAGGGTGAAAGAGATGGTTGCTTTTTGTCTGCTTAAAGTACTGGTCTGAATTTGTTCAACTGAAAATATATTGACCTCTGTTTCTGATAATATGGAGGTTACTATTTTTTGTTACTATCCTTTATTCTTTCATCGTGAATCTCAGTGTCAGTATTGCTGATAGGGTTTTTCCTTTGAGCAGTTCTTATGTTCTTTGCATGGAATAATTAGGATAGCATGACTTTCATATATGCATTTTATTTATTTTTCTTGGTATGTGTTACAGGAGAAGGATGCAAGGGACATTGAAATTCCAAACATTAGATGGGAGGTTTTTGAGTTAATGATGAGGTTTGATGAGTTAAAAAGTTCGCAATTTCTTCAAAGTAAGTTCTCCAGATTGATTATTTGACGAGTTATATTTTTTGCAGATTTATATACACAGGATCAATAGATATTTCATTAGATATCGCACAAGATCTCCTTAGGGCTGCAGACCAGTATCTGTTGGAGGGGCTCAAGCGACTCTGTGAGTATACCATAGCACAGGTGAGCTATTGAGGTTAATTTATATATTTGTGCATGTGATCCCTGTTCTGCTTCCAAGTTGAAAATGAAAATCTGATTATTGTTCTATTAAATTTTTCCTCCCTTTTTTAGGATATATCCCTGGAAAATGTTGCAAGCATGTATGAACTTTCGGAAGCTTTCCATGCTATTTCATTAAGACACACCTGCATTTTGTTTATCTTGGAGCAGTTTGATAAATTAAATGCTAAGCCCAGGTACATAGCCCCCTTAATCCGCCATTTTCTTGTTTGCCTTAAAACTTGGCTGTGAGCAAGTGTTTTTTCTCTCGGACTTGACATGGTACCATTACGTGAAACAGTCCTCTAACCTGTGAAGGAGAATGGCAAAATTTGTGTGTGTGTGCGCGCGCGTGTTAAGTGCCCTAGCGTAGGATCTGGATCTGGTCATAGGCCTTCCAATGGAGAAATCTTCTAAAGCCGAGGCCTTGGAATTGCCCTTATTCTTGTTTCTGCCTGTGATGGTCTTCCAATGGAGAAATCTTCTTAGGCCAGGCCTTGGAATTGCCTTTATTCTTGTTGAATAAAGAAATAAGAACTCGTTAAGAGGGGTTCTCCATCTCAGGACTCGTTAGGGTAAAGAGAGATTCTTTTATCTCGTTAATTAATAGAAATCTTGCTCGAGTCTTTATTGAATTAAAATGTGCCTCTTATATAAGAGAGGCTTACAGCAGAGAATGAATTATAATAAAAATAGAAGTTTCTACTAATTGGGAATCCTACTACTAAAAGGAATTATAATAAAATTAAGACTTCCTATTAACAAGGATCTTTCTTATAGAAAGAAACAAACTCGAGCAATAATAATAACATAAAAATACTAAATAATAAGGAATTGCTGCATCAATTCTGCACGTCACGTGCCGCGCATGTCTTAAATATTTTCTGTCCACAAATGGGTCTATAACAGTGTGATTTATTTCTTAGGATTAGTGCAGTTGTTTCTTTATTATTATGATCTAACTTCACTCAAACTCCTTATGGTGGTGGAAATTTATTTGTATGTTCAAATTTGCAGGCACTCTCATTTGATCCAGCGGATTATACCTGAGATTCGCAATTACTTTACCAAAGCACTTACCAAATCTAACCCTCATAACTTGCGGCTGTAGATGGCTGGTATTTGATTCTTGATGTCTAACTAGATAATGTTGTACAGAAAGTGGTAGATCTCATTGGTGTCTCTAGCCATTTGACGGACCTTGCAGTCTGGTTAATATGGCTTATAATCATCCCTGGTGCTGGAGTGCTGTTGCGTCATGGTATCCATTGTAACGCCATTTCCATTTTCTTGGATGTTTGACGGGGTATGGTCTTCGCCAACATTATTCTTTTCTTGTATTGTTATGTATCCTATGACTCTTTTAGCGAGTTGGCATTCGGTGAGAAGAGTTGATTTCTTGGAAAATTTGGGGCAGAATTTCAGCCCCATAATCTAATCGTTTTTCTCATGGACTGGGGTCATTGAATATATTTCAGCCCTAGAAAGCATTGCTTTATGTGAAGGGAAATTGCCAAAAAAAAAAAAAAAAAAAAAAATAATCTAATCGTTTTTTCTCATGGACTGGGGTCATTGATATATTTACAGGCCTAGAAAGCATTGCTTTATGTGAAGGGAGAATTAGCAAAAAAAAAAGAAAAAGAAAAAAAAAAGGCTGCCGGAGCGCAAGCAAATTGCGTTTTGATCCATTTTATTTTTTTGTAAATTGTTAATTTAGCTACAGAGGGGTTCATAAATGTAAAAAAAAAAAAAAAAAAAAAAAAAGGCTCCGAGCGCACAAATTGCGTTTTGATCCTTTTTTTTTTTTGTAAATTGTAATTTAGCTACAGAGGTTCATATGTGATTTACTGTTACATTATCTTTCCCCATCTTGCCAACACGAATTTGATAGGAGCCGACCATTCTCAATACTTCATACATTGGACAGGTCCATTTCGTATTGATAAAAAATTGTGCAGGTCAAGATAAAAGGGTGCATGAGTACTAGTTTATCACATTTTCGATTGGTGCTATTTTTGACAAAAATCATTTATATAGTTAATATCAGAATTATCAACTACACAAGAACTGCAATCAAGCTAATATGTGGCGTGCATATTAACGCTTTACTTGAAGGAAGATATGATAGTCTTAATAGCGGATGGTGATGGGTCCGTCAACAAGTGTTTCTTGGCCACTGATAGATCCTTCAAGGATGCATTAAAATTTGGGGTCTCCATTTCGTATCCCGGTTGAGTGGTAATTGATTAGGCCAGAACAAAACGCTGGAGCGTTTAAATAGAAACATTAAATGCAAACAAATAGTGAAGGAAATGCATTATTAAATGGGAATGATGTGACTGGCCGAAAAAAACAAAAGCGACCACTTCTTTCCAGGGTACAGTAAAGATCTTCAAGGTTGTATAGAAATCCTTTTTCACAGAGCATGGTTCAAGAATATTATTGTAGTCTTATCTTCATAAAACAGCAATTATTTTCATGTTTTGAGGCGAAGGTGGATGTGGATGATCGGTGGTTGGGTTCCCTTTTGCTTTCATTAAATTATCCTTCCCTCACCATCCATACGAACCGTAAGTGTATTTAAACAGCCTCGTGAAATCCACCACAAACTCTGCAATCTCCCAACTATAGATTGCTTAGCCACAAATCCATAATCAATCCTTGTATTTGCTCTGTATTTCAAGATTTCTTCACTAGCATAATAAAAGCTTATAAATGGATTCCACCGGCAAGGAACTGAAGGAAGTGGCTGCTGAAGTAGTACCTTTCATTCGGGTTTTCAAGGATGGATCCGTGGAGCGATTAACGGTATCTTCAATCGTGCCTCCATTTCAAGATCTAGAAACCGGAGTCTTATCCAAAGACATCATCATCTCAAAAGACCCGCCAATTTCAGCCAGACTTTACCTTCCAAACCTAACCGAACCAAACCAGAAACAGAAACTCCCTATCTTGGTCTATTTCCACGGCGGAGGCTTTTGCATCGATTCCGCATTCTCTCTAAACGAAACCAAGTACATGAACAGCTTAGTTTCACAAGCCAAAGTCGTTGCTATCTCAGTGGAATACAGGCTAGCCCCTGAACACCCTCTCCCCGTTGCTTATCACGATTGCTGGGCCGCCTTGCGATGGGTAGCATCACACTCTGCAGAAGAAAATACAGAGCCATGGATATCAAATCACGGCGATTTTAGTAGACTCTTTGTTGGAGGAGATAGTGCAGGAGCTAACATTGCTCATAATATAGCGATGCGAGCTAGCAACGAAGCTTTGCCTGGAAATGTTAAGATCTTGGGTTCTTACTTTACGCATCCTTATTTTTGGGGCTCAAAGCCAATAGGATCAGAGTATACTGAAGAACGTGAGAAACGGCCGGCGTATATGATTTGGAATATCGTCTATCCGTCGGCACCAGGTGGCATTGATAATCCGATGATGAATCCGATTGGTCCAGATGCTCCAAGCTTGGCTGGACTAGGGTGTTCGAGATTGTTCATCAGTGTCGCTGAAAATGATACGTTGAGAGATAGGGGTTTTTTGTATTACAATGCAGTGAAGAAAAGTGGATGGGGAGGGGAAATAGAAATTCATGAGGTAGAAGGAGAGGTTCATGCTTTTCATATTCGGAATTGTGACACAGAGAATGCCAAGAATTTGATCAAACACTTGGCTTCTTTTCTTAGTAAGAGAGTGTTATAACTTATATGTGTCAACGAAGGAATAACATTAATTTTCTGTTTTCTTTTTAATTTTATTAATTCTGTTAATTTGGTTGGAATCTGAATCTGATAACTGTCATTGTAAAATCACTGGTTATTACGAAGCATTTGATCTTAGGATAATTTCCTTTACACTTTGTCAAGGAAGGTTTTAAGGAGATGAAAGAAAGAAAGAAAGAAAGAAAATAAATGGAGAATATAAAAGAAGGAAAATATTCTTCAAAGAATTTATTTTCCTTTAATTGTTTGGATAAAATCTTTTCAAGGAGGAAAATAAAATTGTTCTACAAAAAATGAAATTACATTTGTATTAAGAAATATGTTCAAAGGAATAGTTTAATTAGTAAGTTTTTAGAATTGCTTTTCATTTTCATTACAGGAAGAACAAAGTAGAATTTTTTTTTATAAAGAAATTTATATTTATTCTTATTTTTTTTATTGAGACAAATCATAAATCGTGGTAGAAACATTTTGCTTAAATTGGGGGAGATTGATTGCTGGCTACCTTGTAAAAGGGCACATGGAAAAACTTATTTTTCCCTTCATGTTTTTGCGCGCTCTCTAAAACAGGCCAAACAATTTAGTTTTTCCTTTTTTTTTTTTTTTTTTTTACTACCTTGTAAAAGGGCACATGGAAAACTTATTTTTTCCTTCATGTTTTTGCGCGCTCTCCTAAAACAGGCCAAACAATTTAAGTTTTTTCCTTTTTTTTTTTTTTTTTTTTTAAATACAGATAATCACTAATTTTTAATTCCTCTACTCTATATCGGTAATCTGATGTTTTTTTTTTTTTTTTTTTTAAATACAGATAATCTAATTTTTATTCCTCTACTCGGTAAATTGATGAAAATTCTTATAATCAGTGGTCTCGCTTCCCTCAAAGTTCAACTAGATCATATCCGATTGCAAGAATCTAGTTTTTATATCAAATAAAAAAAGGAAATAAAATGATTACCACTTTGGAATTGAAATTTCACAATCTAATTACAACTCTAAGCCCTTTAATCTCATAAAATATGAACAACCTTTCAAGGCACTTAAATTCAGAGCTTTGAAAATTTAGATTTCTCTCTTAAACTATGATATATAGGTGTAGCTGTAATCAGAATTAAAATTTGAACAACCTTTCAAGGCACCAAAATTGCAGTCTACTTAACTGCAGTTCTGTCTGTCTTGTACCTAACATTCAAAACTACAGTATTATATAGAAACTAGATCATCAACTATTGTTCAATCTCTTCCCTACATTCCCATTTAGTTGATAGCTTATTCATATACTCTTTGATGGCCTCCATTAATAAGGAAGTAGCTGGAGAGCTTCTCCCTTTCCTTAGAGTTTTCAAAGATGGATCAGTAGAGCGATTAATGGGAGCTCCAATAGTCCCTCCATCACCTGATCAAGACCCGGAAACTGAAGTCTCATCAAAAGACATCAGCATCTCGCAACACCCACCAATCTCTGCAAGACTTTATCTCCCAAAACTCTCTCAATCTGATGACCAAAAAAAACTCCCCATTTTAGTATACTTCCATGGCGGAGCGTTCTGCATTGAGTCTGCTTTCTCTTTAACCGAAACCAAATACATGAACAACTTAGTTTCTTTAGCCAAAGTCATTGCCATCTCAGTAGAGTACAGATTAGCCCCTGAACATCCTCTTCCTACTGCTTATGAAGATTGCTGGTTTGCTCTTCAATGGGTTACATCGCATGACAATAAAGAGCCATGGATATCTAACCATGGCGATTTTGACAGATTCTTTATTGGAGGAGATAGTGCAGGAGCTAATATTGCTCATAATATGGCAATGCGAATTGGGACTGAAGGCTTGAATAATAATATTAAGCTTTTAGGTACTTATCTCACACATCCTTACTTTTGGGGTTCAAAGCCAGTAGGATCAGAACCTGTTGTGGACCGTGAGCAGCTCGTGCCATATAGGGTGTGGTCATTTCTATATGAATCAGCAGCTGGTGGTATTGATAATCCAATGATGAATCCTGTTGTTGAAGGAGGTCCAAGCTTGGCAAAACTGGGAGGTTCTCGTTTACTGGTTAGTGTTGCTGAAAAGGATGAGTTGAGGGAGAGAGGTGTTTTGTATTATAATTTAATGAAAGAAAGTGGGTGGAAAGGAGAGGTGGAGTTTATCGAAGTGGAAGGAGAAGATCATGCCTTTCATATTTTGAACTTTGAAACAGAGAAGGCCAAGAACTTGATCAAACGCTTGGCTTCGTTTCTACAGAAGTGAATCAGTGAAACTTTTCTTGTAGCCTCTCGTAGTCTACAGATGAACTTCTAACGATGGCTTTGGCCCAATAACAGGGCTAACGCCACAAGATTATCTAACAAAAGGAAGCTTATTTCCATTGTCTAAGTTGGCGAGCAAGTTCACTTTGTGCACCCATTATCTTCTTGATCCTCCAGAAGGAAGTTCTGTTTGGCCTTTACTGATCTTGTTTGGGGGTTTCATACACTGGATTATGTTTATAATCTTTAGAGCTTAGCTCTCTTTTCTTGCCAGAAAAAAAAAAAGCTTGTTTCCTCCAGAAAATTCGAAAAAATGGTGTGAAATAAAAAAGTTTATTTGACAATTTTGACATAGAGTGCGAAAAAAAATATAACAATTGTCGTCTTTTTTTTTTTTTTTTTTAATTTCCCCACGCTTATTATTTGTACGTGAAAATATCTAATTTTAGTTTTTATGGATTGTTATACTTACATTGTTATAATTTCGATAAACTATTTATTTAAATTTTTTTAGCTTTAGTTTGGGTGGTGATAATTAATTAAAATTCTCTTAAACAAAAACTATAGATTCCAATTTAAAATTTAATAAGGATAAATAAAATCAATTTAGACACAATAGAGGGCCGACAATGAAAGCCCAATTTACAGTTGAAGTAAGGTGAGGACTAATATAGGATAGTGAAATGAAATGTTATGCGAGGAGCAAAGTGAGTGGGACTTTTTCGTAATCACACGTTATGTTATAATTAGTTAATTTTCAGTTGAAAGGAATATTTCTGAGGTTGTACACCATAATTTAGATTATGGATTTTATTTTTTCAGATCAGTTCTTTTACTTTTAAAAATAAATGATGATTAATTAAATTTGTGAATCGTTAAAATAGATAAAAACTGAATAATTAGTGTAAGTATTAAAAAAAAAAAAACTAAATGCACTTTTTCCATTATACAATGATAATCACCGCGACGACGCAGTAAAAATAAGTTGGATATTATTAATGGATAATTTTAAAAGCCAAAATACATTATTTTAGGTAGCTATCAATCTATCAATCCTTCAAACCAAATCCAAGCAAGCAAGCTGGCTTTCCATTTTCAGTCGAAAACCTTTTCCCTCCACTCTCTCTTAGTATATAAAGTCTGTCGTCGCTCTTCTCTTCTTTGGTCTGTTTTCTGATTTTAGATATCAGAGAGCTCTGTTTTCAAAGCCACACGGAATCGCAAAGAAGGATATTAAGCAGGTGCTCATTTCATTTTCCCCTCTCTCTTTCTCTCTCCCTGTCGATTATTGGATGTTTCTGAAATTTCTAGGGTTTTGCGCATAATTAAACTGTGAAATGTGAAGTTGTACCCGTAGATCTGCTGCTTTTGGAGCTTTTTTTTAATGATTTTAATATTGCATTTTCTCACTGCATTAGTTCTTGTGCGTTCTAGTTTTCTTTTTCTTTTTTTTTTTTTCTTTTTTTTTTATCGGTTTGTACGATTGTTTAGCTGAACAATAGCATGAAATGAGTTTCAATGCTTGCTTCTGTTTATATGGTTGAATGCGGAGGTAGATGTTTAGCTGAACAATAGCATGAAATGAGTTTCAATGCTTGCTTCTGTTTATATGGTTGAATGCGGAGGTAGATGTTTAGCTGAACAATAGCATGAAATGAGTTTCAATGCTTGCTTCTGTTTATATGGTTGAATGCGGAGGTAGATGTTTATATTATAAGTGGTTATAGCCACTGCTTTCCAAAGGAATACTGAACCACATTGTTCCAGTAGCTGTCTACAAAGGTAACAATGTGTTTTCAAAAAAAAGAAATTTGGTTGGTCGAAAAGGTGAGTTTGCTATATGGTTGAATGCGGAGGTAGATGTTTAGCTGAACAATAGCATGAAATGAGTTTCAATGCTTGCTTCTGTTTATATGGTTGAATGCGGAGGTAGATGTTTATAAATTTATTGAGTGTCAGATTTTATGGAATTTGTCTCATAGGTGAAGGTAGCAGTGCGATAAAATTTATAGTGGTATAGCACTGCTTTCAAAGGAATACTGAACCACTTTGTTCCAGTAGCTGTCTAAAAGGTAATAATGTGTTTTCAAAAAGAAATTTGGTTGGTAGAAAGGGAGTTTGCAGAGTAAATATGTGGCAGTAATTTTCCTTGAACTAATAATGAGTGTTAGTGGAATTGTTAGGTTTTAGGAAGCAACCCTCCACTAAGTGTGATTGATTATGTTTTCAAAAGTCTTTTATTTGGAGTTATTTAGAGGCATAGGGAGAGAATATCCTCATAATCATATTACTCCTATATTGCATTTTGTGTTTGACCCATTTGAACAAAATCACGGAGAGATTTGCTTAACCCCTTGTTTGGTTGTCTAGGACTAGAATATTCTTGGAGTGAATTAGTGAAATAATATATATATATATATATATATATTCTTTGTATCTGTTATGTTTCTGAAATGATTTTACTTCTCTTCTTATTAGATATTTCAAATATTTTAAGTGCTTTACCAGAATTTTGATAATCAGATAGACCTAGCATCTTATTACTGCTGTTGAGGCTAAGGATCCATGTAACTGACCCCAACTAGGTTGGGGATAAGTTCTATTTGACTTGAGTTGAGCTATTATCTTAGGGTCTCTATAACAATTTTCATCTTTCTTTCTCCTCCCATATTTGGTTGAAGTGAAAGTGCTAACGTATTTGCAGCCTCATTTGCAGGCTTCTTTGCAATGGATGCTACAACACTGAAGTCACAACACCGCCCTTTTTCAATTAAACTATGGCCACCTAGCCAAAACACAAGGCAATTGCTCGTGACACGTATTACAGGAAATCTCACCACAAAGTCAAGTTTCACTCAGAGGTATGGCACTCTGAGCAAAGAGGAGGCTGAGGAGAACGCTAGAAGAATTGAAGATGTTGCTTTTGTCACAGCAAACCAACATTATGAAATGGAGCCAGATGGTGATGGAGGTTCTGCTGTACAGCTTTATGCAAAGGAAAGCAGTAAGCTAATTTTGGAAGTTCTCAAGAGAGGCCCGGCACGAAAGGAGGACGGAGAAGTCCCAGTGCCTGCAGAGGTTGCTATATCACGTGATACTGTTTTTGATATATCAAAAGGGCCACGAGCTTTTATTGAGGCAGAGGAGGCTGAGGATATTCTAAAACCATTAAAGGAGCCAGGAAATTCATACACTAAGATATGCTTTAGTAATAGAAGCTTTGGTATAGAAGCAGCCCATGTTGCGGAGCCCGTTTTGGCTTCCATGAAGGATCAGTTGAAGGATGTTGATTTGTCGGATTTCATTGCTGGTAGACCAGAGACAGAAGCTCTTGAAGTTATGAATATCTTTTCTGCTGCTCTGGAAGGTAGCATTTTGAAGTCCTTGGACCTTTCAAACAATGCCTTGGGTGAGAAAGGTGTGAGAGCCTTTGGGGCACTCCTTAAATCACAGAGTTGCTTAGAGGAACTTTATCTAATGAATGACGGTATTTCTGAGGAAGCTGCACGGGCAGTTTGTGAATTGATTCCATCAACAGAGAAGCTTAGGATCCTTCATTTCCATAATAATATGACAGGAGATCAAGGGGCACTTTCCATTGCTGAAGTTGTGAAACGTTCTCCGTTACTAGAAGATTTTCGATGTTCCTCTACAAGGATAGGTGCAGAAGGAGGAATTGCCTTGTCAGAAGCACTTGAGACCTGCACTCAGTTGAAGAAACTTGACCTGCGAGACAACATGTTTGGTGTAGAAGCTGGAGTTGCTTCGAGTAAAGCTATTTCCAAGAATACAGGGTTGACTGAGGTTTATCTGAGTTATCTCAACTTGGAAAATGAGGGTGCTGTTGCCATAGTCAATTCGCTGAAGGAATCGGCCCCTGCGCTTGAAGTACTGGATATGGCTGGGAATGAAATAACAGCTGAAGCTGCTCCTGCTATATCTGCTTGTATAGCAATGAAGCAGAATCTAACCAAGTTGAACTTCGCTGAAAATGAGTTGAAGGATGAAGGTGCTATCCAGATTAGCAGGGCCTTGGAAGAAGGCCATCTTGAATTGAAGGAAGTTGATATGAGCATCAACTCCTTAGGAAGGGCTGGGGCTCGGGTCTTGGGACAAGTGGTGGTGCAGAAGCCTGAGTTTAAATTGCTGACAATCAATGGGAATTTTATCTCCAATGAAGGCATTGATGAGCTGAAGAAAATGTTTAAGAAATTCCCTGACATGCTTGGGCCCTTGGATGAGAATGATCCTGAAGGATGTGATGAAGATGAAGAATCTGGAGAGGGTGATGATGATGAGCATGACTTGGAATCCAAACTGGAGAACCTTGAAGTTAATGGAGAGGATTAGTGTTTCTCTTATTATGAAGGACCATTCGTAGATTCAATTGCAGTGGAGGATGATTAATGCAGGAGACATTCACAGTGTATTGTATGTTCTTTACAATCTTAAAATGCTGACCAGAGCTGTGGCTCAGTTTGCTGTGATTGGAACTGAAGCATTTTCCATCGGTAGGGCAGGTTTACTGCAAACTTTTCCATCCTCCGTTTTCCATTACCTATTTATCTCATCTGGACTTTGTAGGATAAGATTCTGTAGTGCATTACTAAAATAATGCTAATACTTCTTTTTTAAGTTTCTTTTGCATTAATGCATTATTGACTTCCTGCTGTTGGTTGATTTTTTTAAGTGTATTACATTAGCCTTGGACCGATTTTTCTCGGTTACAACTTACTACGTGCTAGTTATTTTAAGACGACTAGAACTATGGCATTGATATTTTATTCCGAGTCAATTATTCTCTCTACCCAATTTTCTTCACTTTTCCGGTTAGAATCAGTATGGCTTCTCTGATACCGTACCAATTGGTGCTTCATTTGTCACCAGATGCATGATTTTTGATAACTCTCTTCGGTGAGTTCATCACAAATTTCATTTAATTAATTAATTAATTAATTATTGCTCGTTAATTTTTAAAGAATCAATAAAATACTGATGTCCACATGCTGCTGCTATTTCTGGACGAGGGGTAAAACCTTGATGTGTTTTAATGTACTTGCTACTGCCAGGTAGGCATCCAACTTCAAAAAAATTGGCCCTTGAAAAGCCAGAATAAAAATCAAAGGCACAGTTGATGAATTAGGAAAGCATAACATTCTAGCTAAAATTACAGTAGGATAAATAGAAGATTGCCACAGCTTTGCATTCCTCGTCTAATCTGAAGCAGTCCCTATGGAAAGCCAATAGAAACAAGGAGGGGAGCATTTCATAAATTGGTTAATGTTACATCAGCTTCTGACTTGTGCAGGCGAAGTTGCAGATGCTTGAACAGAAATGAAGTGGGCCTCATCGAGGAGCAACCAGTTGGACAGGTGATTTCTCAGGCCACCGGTCATTCAAGCTTCATGTGCAACAGATCATGGAATTTTATTAGTAACTCAAACCCAGCCATTTCCTCTTCCATTGGAATTATACCCTCTGGAATCAGATGATGAACTTTGGACTGCATATCTAGACCTCTTCTTCTTATGGGTATTCCATGAAAATACGTGCCCACTCCAATTGCTTCCTCTGATAACTTGATGTTGAGATTTTTCTACACCCTGATATTCAGGGGTCTCAGTAACTGCTCCATCAGGCTTGGATCTCCTTGGGGCTGAACCAAAAGTATCCTCACTTGTCCCGTCGCTTGCTGTAGGCATGATTTCATTCCTCAATCCCATAGCTTTTTTGTCTGTTCCTGCACTAGTACTAGCTGATTCATTGCCCTCAGACGGAGGATGGTCCCGTCTCCTTCCTTTAATCGATAGCTTTGATACATCTTGACCGCTTTCCACAGCCTTCATCCATTGTAAATCGCTCAATGTATCAGCATAAGTTACCTCCTTCCTCCTCCGCTTTCCTAAGACAGCAGTATTATTGGGATCAAACCCTTTGGGTTTATCTTCCTTATCAGGCGCAGGATATGCCCATTCAGGTACCTCATGTTCTTCCATGAGACGAGATCTATAATTCTCTTTTTGCCTTCTCTCCTTATCCATCTCCTCAAAAATTCGGAACTCTTCTGGCGATCTGGCTGCAAGGCGGTTAATTTCTCTTTCACTTGGTACATCTGTTCCAAGTGAGCTTGTTCCTCTGCGCATGATCTCTTCCAACATCTCCCTTCTGTCCTGAGCTGCACAGGTAATGATGGATCCACCTCAATCAAGTGCTCAATTCATCCGAAAAATTAAAAAAAGGGACCTAACAGGCAATAGCTGATGAAAATTTCTAATAAATTGAATGAATGACATTAGTATACCTGTGGAAGTTGTGTTAAAAAGTCCTGCCTGTATAACTTTGGCATCAATTCCCATCTTCTGTTTTGCACGTTCCAAAATTACCTCTTCTATTGATCCAACACTAACCAACACAAAGACCCTAACTTCCTTCTTTTGTCCAATACGATGTGCACGATCTTCTGCTTGTTGGTCCATTTGAGGATTCCAATCACTATCAAATATTATTACCGTGTCAGCTGTTTGTAAATTCAACCCAAGCCCTCCAGCACGAGTGCTCAAGAGAAACATGAAGTAAGGAGAGTCTGGAGCATTGAATTGCTTCAGCAATGTTCCTCTCTCCTCAGTTTTTGTTGACCCATCAAGTCTAAGATATTTATAATCATGCAGTTGCAAATAAATTTCAAGAATGTCCATAAGACGGGTCATTTGTGAGAAAAGCAGCACTCTGTGGTCAGTTGCTCGAAGTTTTGGTAGTAAACGATCAAGTAGTTCAAACTTTCCAGAAGCTCTCATGATTTCTTCTCTACGCCACATATTATATTCTCCAACAAAAAGGTATGGGTGATTACAACACTTTCTGAGCTGCATGGACAGGTTCTGTAGACTTCTTGATTTCCCAGTGCCTGCAAATTTAGTTTATAGTAGGTTAGTTTCAATGAATTGGCAATTTCCCATGGCACTTGATCATATATAACTCATTGACAAATAGCAGATATCAGCAGTACAAACCAGTATGTAGACCAACTCTGCCCATTTCAGTAACTTGTTGGTAGTAAACTTTCTGCCATGCTGACATATCACATTTCAGAATAACTTGGGATTTCCCAGGAAGGTATTTCTCCACTTCATCTTTTTTCCTTCTCAATATAAATGGTCTGATAACCTGAGAATCAAAGAGATAAATAAGAAACAGGATGTCCTACGAGAACAACGAAGACTTCTAAAAAGTCACAAGAATCACCTACATGATGCAGACGCCGAATGATCAACAACTGCTCTTCATCAGTAAGAGAAACGTCACCTCTATCTGCAAAAGGAGCATTGAACCACTCCTCAAAGTTCTGAACTGAATTGAAAATATTTGGAAGGAGAAAATTAAGCAGGGACCATAATTCCTGTAAGCTATTCTGGATTGGAGTTCCAGTTAGTAGAAGTCTACGCTGAATCTGGTAGCTGCAACAAGTTAAAATTCAATCAGAAAGCCTTATTCGCACTCTTTAAAGACATGCCAAAACTTTACAGCCAAATCTATAAAAGAAAGGAACAACCACGTCACAGTTAAGTAAGAAGCATTTTAACATTAGACCCAAAGTAGTCCGACCTTTCCCCGGACCTGCATAGCAGGAGATTCATGCCCAGGCTGCCCTTTTTAATCTTATCAAGTGAAAAAAAGAAAATAAAAAATAAAAAATTAAAAAACATTATAATCTGCCTGCAACTTGCAACGCAAAGAGTGGTTTTGTCCTAAAGACTAGACTGCCTGTGACACAATTAAGCTCTACAGATGAGGTAAAGAGGAAACAACAAAAGCTGGCTTAGATAGAGTAGGTATCATCATTGGAGAAGACATGGAACTTTAAACAAAAGCACAATATTACAGTTGTGCATGGTGAAAAGAAAAAGAACGACACAGAAAGAGAACCAAAAATAACTAGATGACCAAAAGGAAAGCTCTTCACAACAAGTTTACATTTTAAATGCAAAATAAAGCAGGCTTGTGCAAAGAAGCACTGTACCCAGAGACAAGAGTTCGCGCAAGAGCACACTCGTGATTCTTTAATCGATGCCCTTCATCAACGATCATGTAATGCCAGGGTATTTTTTTCAAAAATGCTTTATCTCTCATGATTAGATCATAGTGTGTGATTAGCACATCAAAATTTCCATCTCTTGATAACTGTTCTCTTAATGCCTTTCTTTCATCTAGACGTCCATCATAAAGAATAGCTTTAATCCTGCACAAAGGGAAAAAGTATTAGCTACTACAGACTAAATACTACAAGGCATACATGTGTGCACACAATGTGTAGACACCCAAAGAAAGACAAAATGTATACAGGCACACCCCAAGGGATTCTAAAATGTAAAATCAAGGAATGCTTTCCACATACTCATCCTCGGGAATCCAAGTTGAGAATTCAGTGATCCAATTGGGTAGTACAGCCTTTGGAGCCACTATCAAGTGCGGCCCAGAAACACCTTTTTTCTCCTTCAGATATGCAATCAATGAAATAGTTTGTATTGTTTTTCCCAACCCCATCTCATCTGCTAAAATTCCATTCAAATTGTTGTTGAACAAAGAAAGCATCCATTGAAGCCCTTCTAATTGGTATGTCCTTAATCGTCCACCTTGAAGCATGGCTGGCTGCTCAGTTACCTATATTACAATATAAATTAGTTAGATCTGTTTGTTGCCAACAGTTCATAGATGCAAGCACCAGAAAATATTTACATAACAAAAGAAGGCTGGTCTTCTCAGTTCAAGCTACGTGACAAGGGTGAGTAAGCTCAAGCAGATACTAGAAGGGTTTCCCATTAATTTCACCTAATACCCAGTTATGGCAGTTTAGGATTTTTATTCTATGGAACACAAGTGACATTGAGGTTCGTTTATATGCTTTTGTAGGCAGTATCCATATTGATTATGGGATAAGTAAATGTTAATTTCAATTTTTATAAATGGCTGAATTTGTAACAGCAACATAGCATCTTCTACAGTTTGCTGCAAAGCGAGGGTTTTGTAGTAATTTAACAAGCCTGTATCTTATAGGAACTTTTACGTCTTAATTTTCATTTTCTTAAATTCCAAACAAATTCTTTAGCATTTACTAGAAGTTCTGGATTTAGGCTCCAAATAAAAGAACAAGAAAGAGCCTTAGGTTAAATCATTCTTTTGTTTGAAAATGAAATGATGCAGAAAAAAAGGCTGCACTGTTTACCTGCTCCTGAATTGAATGAATAGCTGAGTTATACTGCCTCTGACCTTCAAGTAAATCACTATTGTCATCATTGCGATCAGAGTCAATGATGTCTGCATCTTCCTCAGGTGTATCCCCTGGGCTTTCGTTCCTTGAAGGATCCAACTCGGGAGAATCAGTTTCCGAATCTTTTAAGGGTTCAATACCATCTGAAGGCTTTGCATCTTTCTGACGCTGAACTGCAGCCCCCAAATTAACTAGGAGCTTATTTGTTTCTTCAAGAAGCATTGTAAGTCGTTCATTTTTGCTCTCCTTTACTAATCTCATATAAGCTTCTTGATCATCAGCCTTCAAGGCTTGGAACCTCAGTTTTTCAGCCCGAGTAGCACGTTGCCTTTGCCTCCCATGCCATGCCTACAGCACCAGTAAAAGGTCCGTTTGCAATATGATATGCCAAATAGAAATGATCAATCGAGCTAATAAAAAATCATCACATATACTGTCTTCTGGCAATGAGAACATATGTCTCAAAGAAGTTGTATAAAGTTGCTTCTTTTAGCTGTATGACTATCGTTAGATATAAGGAAGATCCACAAATACCTATAGAATTTGTAATTATTATATAATTCCATTAACCAAGTGATACCTAGGATATGACAGCATTAATAAGGATGCTAAAGATTATAAATTGTTTCTATTTTTATTTTTCTCATTCTTAGTTTTGTTTTATTTTATGGGTTAATGGGACACATATCCTCAATGTCCAAGACTATAAGAGTATATAAGCTTCTAATTTATTTGTCAGAAGTATCATATCATATACTTTCCTTTAAGTTCAAATATATATATAAGCACGAAATGAAACATAAAGAAGGGAAAAACAAAGAGGCAACACCTGGACACCGTCATTCCTTTGCTTCCTACGTTTAAGGGAAGCCTGAACTTGCAATTGGAATTCCCGGACTGTATTAAGTATTTCAGTAAAAAATTTTCTTTTTCTAGTCTCTATATGGTTCCTTTCTTCTTCTTCTAACCTTGAAAGCCTCTGCACAAATAAATTTTCGTCACTTCAGCATCACACAACATATAACTGCATGTTTTTTTTTTTTTTCCTTTCAAATTATGTAATAAATCTAATTATTCAAGGCTTACTGCTAGAATTGCAGTATAGGATCAATTGATGAGGTGGGGCAGAGATTCCACCATCTAAAATCTAGAGGCCCAGATTTGCAATTTTTTTCTTTTAGATGTAAAGATGTGCATAAAAAAGAAAAGGAAGAACAAGAAGAAAACAAAATAACCTCTGCATCCCGTTTCTTTCTGAATTGATCATCAGCTTCTGTAGCAAAAGCATCTCCCACACCATATAAAGGGCGTCGCAATCTCATCATACCCCAGTCAAACAATTGCTTATCAGGAGATGTACAATTCAAGCGAAGCCAATACTCTGAACTCACTTCAGATCGTACTTTCTTTTGCAGCTCTGCAAGCTGCCAGAAAAAAGGTCCTTGCCCACAAGGACAAAACAAATGTCATCCCTCAACTCACAAATGAAACAAATGAGCATAATCATCCAATAAACATCAGGCAGAAAAGCTTCTTTAGCAGCAAATCTACTAAAATACAAAAAGAGAAATTAGTCCCTCATAATTTAGATAAATTCAGTTTACTTCACAGGCCTTTGAAAACTTATCCATGAAATCAATCCAAGAATTAGAATTTAGTTCATGACGAATTATCACCCAATCAGTCAATAAAACTCATGAAGAAGTATCATTCCACAATAAAACCACTAAATGATGTCTTCTCATCAATTCGGATGAAAGCTTTCACTCTCTCAACTAAAAACTTACGGGCAAGCACAAACTTGACATACTTTTTACCGGCAACTTTAACAAAATCAAGTTTACCTTTAGTCCATAAAGTTCAAGTAAGCACTTCGTCTGCAGGTCCTCACCTCTGGTTGAAGGCAGTTCTGGCACAAAACATAAATAATTTCAGTAAACCTTTCCAGAGAATTCTTTTTGTTTTAAATCACAACCTAACTTAATCTAAAAAGATCCTTCGAGAAATAAGGAAATTAGCCTACCTTACTGGAAAAAGTATCATAACAAAACAATTGGGACTCAACTGTAAACAGCTACAGATTTCTAAATCTTTTACCTAAACAAGCATTAATACTACCGTTGCTTAATCATAAAAACAGAAACATGCATACAGAATGATTAAGATATTAAGAATTCCCCTAATTAAGCTGAATGATTCACTAGGAAAAGATTTTTTAAGAAAGATGACCTTCCAGTTCATGTACGCGATGAAGAATATGGCCTTGATATCGTTTTTCCCTTGATTCCATCAACAAAGAACCTGACATGCAATTAGACCTTTGCTTTGATAGTGCATCCTCAAATTCCATCATCAAATCTCCCCCAACCAGGATCCCATGGTTATCCTGCTGCACCAATATTTAATCAACATTCAACGAGAAATTCAAACTGCTAGATTTTCACAGGCAAATTCCCACTCAAATAAAATATTGTTCAATTGAGTCTGGAAAAATGTTTGGAATTTCACTGCAAAATGTTACCACAAACTCCATGCTTAATTAATCTCATCTAAAATTCATTCCACACCAGGAAAAAATTCAGCAAACAAGGACGCTTCACCTTAATAAGGGACGAGTTCCTTCATAAACTATTCTCTCCATTTCATTAAATTTGACACTTCTTGGCTTTTTTCTTGTTCCATTTATATGACACTTTTAGAAAATAACGATAGCATTAGTTATTTTATTTTAACTTTAACATTGTCTAAATATCTTTACTAAACTTTCTCTCTCTTAGTTACGGAAAATTAATAAAAGGGACTCTAGTCAATTATCTTTTTTTTTTTTTTTCTAAATTGAGATGATTCAATTACTTCTTAATTTTTGTGTACAGTTAGAAAGTGTCAAATTTAATGAAAGGGAGGGAGTACTAAATAACATCAAGAACAAACAGAAAGGTCGAACAAGTACCAAAAGTTTTTAAGGAACCCAAAAGAGAAAAAAAAAAAAAAAAAAAAGCTTTATAAGCTTAATAACTGCACGGATATTAGAATCAAATGCACCACTTAAATACATAGCAGCTAGTTAACAAATGCAAAGAACGAATAAGAGCCATCAAGCACGAAGGAACCTAACCTCTCACAAACGCTCCTAATTGCATGAATTCAATTGAGAATATTACAATGGCAAGAACTAATGAGCAGACAAGAAAAGAAAAGATAACAAGAACTGATGCACAGATAAACCCCAATCCAAAATTCCCAAATTCCCAAGAACCTATTATCCCCAACAACCCTAACCTCAAAACTCGCCTCACAGGAAAACAAAAATCGAGAACCAAAATCTTAAATTTCTCACAAAAACACGGAAGTCGAAGACCTGAAACATACAATTCAGATAAGGGTACCCTAATTACGCAGCCCAACTCTTCAAATTCACAAATCCATCCAAACTCGACTTCAAAACCCCTTCAATCAACAAATCTCAGCACAAAAAAAAAAAAAAAAAAAAAAAAAAAAAAAAAAAAAAAAACAAAACACGGAAGTCGACAGACTGAAACTACAATTTCAGATAAGGTACCCTACATTACGCAGCCAACTCTTTCAAATTTCAGCAAAATCCATCCAAACTTGCCTTCAAAACCCCTTCATCAAACAAATCTCAGCCACAAACCCAAAGAAAAAAAAAAAAAAAAAAAAAAAAAAAAAAAAAAAAAAAAAAAAAAAAAAAAAAAAAAAAAAAAAAAAAAGCAAAAGGTTATCTCAAGAAGACGTACCAATCCGCTCTCACCATGGGCCGCACTGCCAAGACTGCCATTGTCGGCATTTTGATCATCAGAATAGATAGAGCGGACGGTATTGAAGAGGTCAGGAGGAAGAGGGAGGTCACGAGACACGAAGTTAAGGGCACAGATCAGAGACTGTGTCTTGACTAAGTGGTCTGAAGAGGTTTGTGGCTCCTGGTGGTGTTGGTTTTGGTGATGGTCTTGCTGAGCCACCATGGCGGGAATGATTTCAACGGTCTTTTCCCGTAACCGTTATTGTTTTGAATAGGAAGGATTTATAAAGGATAAATAAACAAAGACTACAAACACTGGCTGAGTGGCTGGTTGGTTCACTCTTTATAATTCGCTTCTATCTTTCGCTTTGCCAAAAACCTTCTCTTCGGCGTTTCTCTCTCTTTTGGTCGTGTTAAGGGAGAGAGAGTGGGCGTCGAATTTACGAGTGGGGTTTTATTTCTTTATATTTGTTTCTAACCAAACACGCCTTTACTTTTTTTTAAGATGCCAAAAATACCCCCACTACTAGCCTTTGAAATATAATTTCAAATCTATATATATTTGAGTGTGAAAGAGATGATTCTAAATATTATTAATTAATAAATTTACTTTTTATCTAATAATATTATTATTACCATATATAGTTTTTTTTTAAGGATAAGAGTCCAAGATGAAGAAAATTATAAGAGATGAATATGATGAAATGTAATACGATATAATCGATTCATTTCTAATATAATATTTATATTGGATATTTAATTATATTACATTACATTTTATTACAACTCAACTAATTACTTTTCAAATTTATTTAAATTTTTTAGATGTTAATAAATTTAGGAAAGAAACTTTTAATTTGGAATTAAAATTTACTAGGATAAAAATATTACAAATCCAATCTTATACGAGAATAAGTTTATTCGTCATTAGATTTATTTCAATATAATTTTAAAATCTAATAATAAATGAGCCCGTTCTATCTTTTGATTTGAATTTCGGATAGTTTAAGGTGTAAATATGTAATAATAGCAATATGAATAAAAATAATTTTGTATTCTAATATAAAATTTCTGATTTGATATTCTATTTCATAAAAAATTAAAAGAAGATTATTCTTGCATATAAAGAAGCTTATTTTACAGTTGATTGCAGGAACCTCAGGTTGGGATTGCCGAGACCTTGAAGGAAGGAGTGCGAGTTCGAGTTGCTTCACTCTCTTCTGGTTGTTTTGGCACATTCCAGAGCAGCACGCCACCGCCATAGCATAATAATAGCAGGTTGTGTGTGAAACGCTGAACCTGCGAAATGAGGCAAATTAAAATGGCAATTCCAGATAAGAATGAGAAGGCATTTGGATACCAAAAAAGGCCATGGCTTTTTATCACTATGATCGCCTGTCTACATATGGACCGTTGATCATCTTTCCAATTATGAAAGCCTAGAACCTTCAAAACAAGTTGTTCTTCGAGAAGATTGTAGTTTTCTCTTATTGATACTACCGGCGGCGGAACCAGAAAAAATAATTAGAGGGAAAAAAAAATTTAAATTTAGAGGGATAATATCGAAAAAAAATATTATTTTATAGATAAAAAGTAAAATTATAAAATATATATTTATAATATTCCTCTCTAAATCATTCTTTTCAGAGTAAAAAATGACAATCTATATATTCATATCCACTGTCTGATGACCTAATGTATAAAAAATAACAACTATAGAAGAATTAATGCACATTTTTATGCTTACACGTGTTAAATTTTGGAAAGAATAGAAGCTAATATATTTATATCCACTCTCTAATGATCTAATAAACTGTAAATAACAGTTTCAATACATATTTATGTGCTTACACGTGGTAAATCGGTTCACTTAAGAACGTTAACGCTTCCCAAATTCCAAGATTCACTGCCCGAATCAATTTTTCATAGCAGAAAAATGGAAGCCAAATGAAAGCTGATTTATTATATCACAAATTGATGATTCGACATACTATAAATAACAGTTACGCAAGAATTTAATACATATTTATATGCTTAAATGTACTAAACCACTTCACTTTAGTATATTAATGTTTCCTTAAACGACAACATCCTCTTTACAAATCAATTTTTTCGGAGTAAAAAGAATAAAAATTGACATATTTATATTTACGGTCCGGTGACCTAATATAACATAAATAATACTAAGTATATAAAATTCAATATATAAATGCTTAGTTATAGTAAAGTGATTTCATTTAATTTGAGTATGTTATTTAATACATATTTATGTGCTTACACATTATAAACCGTTTCATTTGAGTATATTAATGTTTTCCGGAATTACAACATTCTCTTTCTAAATCAATTTTTTCAAAGCAAAAAAAAATGAAAGTAGACATATTTATTCACGGCATGGTGACGTAATATACCATAAATAATAAGTAAATAAAATTCAATATATATGCTTATTTGTAAAAAAACCGATTCAATTGAGTATATTATTTAATACATATTTATGTACTTACATATAAACCGGTTCGTTTGAGTATATTAATATTTTCCCGAATGCTAACATTCTTTTCGAAGCAAAAAGAATAAAAGTTAGACATATTTATATTCACGATCCGGTGACGTAACATACCATAAGTAATACTTAAAAACAATTCAATATATATACTTAATTACTTGTTGTAAACCGAGCATTTGAGTATGTTAATATTTATCGGATCGCAACATTCCCTTTCTGAATCAATTTTTTCAAAGAAATAACAAAAGCTACTATACTTATGTCATATATACAAGAAAAGATACAATTTTTGCAAAAAAAGAATGAAAGCTACTATATTTATAACATATGTATGAGAAAAGATAAGAAAACAAGTACATAAAGAAAATAACATATATAAACCCTAGCAGCTATAACAAGCTCTTACGTTATAGTTTATATAAATGAAAAGCACAATAAAGATAAGGTGGAGAAGAAGGTAAACAACTCCAACAGTAAGTTTCTTAGCATCTTCAAACAAAAAAGTCAAAGCTAAACATAGTAAAATTCCTAAAATTGCCTTGGACAAAGGAGACTTGACAAAGTTTTCCATGTTCAAGCCTCTCTTCTACATTGAAAATTAGTATTATAGATTGTCATTTCCCTCATTCCTCTATTCTACATGGAAGAATTCATATATTTATGTGCTTACTGTGGTAAAATGATTCATTTAGTTACATGGGATCAAATAAAATTAAAAACGATCTATGAGCATTTATTTAAATTCGACAAAAATTCTAAAAAATGAATCTATATGTCTCACTTCTGATTAGTATAATTAAATAAGTAATATCTCTTAGATAACGAAATGTTTTCCGGTCAACATTCTCTCTCTAAATCAAATTCTTTTCGACAAAAAAAAAAAAAAAAAAAAAAAAAAACTTAGATAACGAATGTTTTCCGGTCAACATTCTCTCTCTAATCAAATTCTTATGTCGACAAAAAAAAAAAAAAAAAAAAAAAAAAAAAAAAAAAAAAAAAAAAAAAAAGCTGATATAATCATAACAGATAAAGAAATGATAAGCAAACAAGTAAAAACCAGTAAACAGCATCTATAAAACTTAGCATCTGTAACAAGCTCTTACACTATATATTTCCAAAAGAAAAAAAAAAAGCACAACAAAGACAAGGTGGAGATGAAGATAGACAACTACAACAGTAAGCTTCTTAGCATCTCCAAACACACAAGTCAAAGCTAAACATAATAAAACTCTTAAAATTGACACATTCTTGAACCTTCAAGTCTCTCTTCTTCTACTGCTTAGTCTATATCATTCATTCCCCTTATGCTAGCAGGTGAAATAAGGCTTTCAGTGTACACAGTGGCCTTATTGTACCTTCCATCTGGAATGCCATGGACATGAACATCTTGATATTTCACTCCATCATACATTACAAACCACTTGCGTCTCACAGAAACCAGAAGTTTACCACTCTTGGTGAAGCATATTGGATGCAAACGGTAATAAATTCGAAAATGAGATTCTTGATTTGATATTTTGGGGATACTCATAATTTTGGTCCAAATAATCTCTTTCACCACTCCACTGTTTTCTTCCTTCTCCTCTTTCATAACCCAAAGAGACTGGTCATACTGGCGAAAGGCACAAAGGGAATTTCCCCAAAGCAACAAATTCAATTCAGCAACTACGATGACTTCTTCCTCTTCCTGAAACCAAGTATGTCGGGAAGTGGATTTATCAAAAGGAGGAGGAGGGATTTCCATGAATGTGTCATTTGATAGATTCAGACATAATATTTTGTCTGCAAATTTGCGAGTTTTACTAGCAGCCCAGAATAAACATCCATTTGCAGGAACCCCATCATAGAAAACATGGTAACCCAATCCTCCAATATTTTTCCACGAGTTTTTTTTAACTGAAAAAACATGAGCCTGTTTTTCACAGACACTAACCACTTTGAAATCATCCATGCTTGAATCGAAGCCGAGCCCGCATACTCCTTCACAGATACCTAGTTCTTCAGGAAGAGGCAAAATCCTATAGTCGCCAATAGATGGATTCCATAGCACCAGAGTGCTTTTATTATTAGTATTATTTTGTTGAATGGCTAAACAGAACATGCCATAGCAGCAATCAGTCTTGATCTGAAAAGATTTTCCTTTAATTAAAGGAAAATCGACCTCCATAGCTGACCCAAAAGCATCTTCTTGATACCCACCACCAAAAGAAAACAGTTTAGAGTCTGATCCTCCAATTTCTCTGCACTGTTTCTTGTTATTATAAGAGAGAAAGACATTGCTCTGGCTATGGGGACAGTAAGTAAGAGGATCACAGTTGAGATGGCGATAGAGGAGCCAGTAAGGGAATCTAGAGTGAGTAATGAAATAAAGCCAAGGCTTCGAGACGCACCTGAATCGGACCAGAGATTTGAGCGGCAGTCGAGAGAGGATATCAGTGATGATATCAGCAGGAAGATTTTTGGCTGGCACTGCCATGTCTAGGATCTATATATCAGAGCTTTGTAGTTATAAAACTTCTTTAATACCGGTGTCAATATATAGTGATGAAGGAGGAGGAAACAACGAAGAAATTGGTAAATTGGTTATATATCATGAGCTCTCTATAAAAGTCCTAACCTTCTTTCTTGCAAATGTTTGACTATTGAGAGAGACTTAAATTTCGGAAAGTCTTGCATTTAAGGAAAAAAGAAAGGTAACAGGTCAGATAAACCGTTTCTGGAGCTATGCCTTCCTTCGAAAGCTAAAATAATTAAAAATATTTCTTATTTGTCAAAAACTGACATATATGAAGTTAGTTTTGAAACACCAACTATTATAATTAACCACCAAATGGCTAAACCTAGGCTCGTTGTTCAACATAGAGTAAAAATAAACCTAGTTTGATTTTCACTTAAATGGAAGGTTAAATCATAATTGTTACTTTTTTTTTTTCTAATACGTTCTTAAAATAATTTTTTTAAGAATATGAAAGATTAATGTTTTAATTAATAATTTATTTTAAGATTTGATTATTAATAGTAACACTAGTAGTATATGAATAAAAAATAAACTGTTATTCTCATTTAACTTAAAGATGAGAAATAAAAGTGAGCTTTTTTTTTTTTTTTTAAATAACCAGACGGTATAGTATAAAAGCTTTTACCCTTCTTAAAAATGCATTTATCATAGATCAAATTTATATTATCACCGTTGTCTCTTATTAAAACAAACTCAGGTCCACAAGCACACAAATAACAACTTGTATCATTAGGAGTGGACCTGGATGCCTAGCTACTAAACCGGTCACTCTTAAGACATTTTTCTTTTTAATTGTAAATTAACCTGTACTTACCAAATATACTTTAATTATGAATTAACCTGTACTTACCAAATATAATTATAAATTAACCTGTACTTACTAAATATATTTTAATTATAAATTAACCTGCATTTACCGAATATACGAGCACATCATATTCCAATAACGTATGCCATATGAAAAACAATTTACCTAGACTCAATTTAGTTTAGCTATGAACTAAATTAATTAAAATAAAAAATTTTAAAAATCTTTCTACCTTATTCATTTTTTTTTCAATGAATCACACTTTTATTTTTTAAAAAATTATTTTTTTATTAATTTCATATCGTCAATCCATCAAAGAATGGTTTGAATGAAGTTTTTTTCAAAAAAAAAAAAAAAAAAAAAAAAAAAAAAAAAAATAATTTTTTATTAATTTCAATATGTCAATCCACAAATGAATGGTTATGAATGAAGTTAAAAAAAAAAAAAAAAAAAAAAAAAAAAAAAAGAGGTTTTAAAGGCGCTGGTTTTATGCTGCGATACATATACATATGCTCAACGAAACGACGCGTTGAACACTGTCAAAAGTCGCTCGGTATTTTCGGTGACAGGTAAAGCGGATTAGTCATTTCCATGCAGGCGACAAAAATTTCAAAGTACTCCGTGAAACAAAACCCTTCAATAACAGCAGAAGTACAGAGAAAAAAAAAACCTCCAACGAAAAAGGCCCATTCAGACTTACAGAGTAAAACAAAAGAGCAACAGTTCAATACACAGTACAGAAGTCATATAGGAGGGCAGTAATACCTCTGAATCTCTTTTCTGCTCCACCACAAAACAAACTTATATTTATTACAGGTTATCCTTGCAGTTAGTATGGACAAGAAAATCAAAGTTTAGCGAGAGGGTGAGGATGAATTGGGCCACTGAAATTTTCAAGGAAAAACGTCAAAAATTATAAAAGGCAAAATTTGCAACTTTTCAGCTTAAGCCAGGCCAATATTCATACTTTTGATGAATATTGATTGCTTCGCCACCCGTACTGCACCTGGACAAGGACTGCGAGCATCCAGGCCAGAATGACCATTAAATTTAGCCAATTGCAGGCTAATTTTAACATTGAATTCTTTGCAGTGCTCGGTTGATTGGTTCTTGGAAATATTGAAGTGATATGAAAATTGCTTCCTGTTACAAAGACAAATTCAAATCATAATCACATCTACTAGCAGACAATGTATTTCTAGTAGACAAGAAATAAACCAAGTACAACCTCTGTTCGAATTGTTCGACTTCCTTGATGAGGACAGGTGTTCAAGTATGAATCAAAAACCTCTCGAACTTTTTTGCCCTTCAAGAAGAATAAACACCACAGTTTCAACAATTCTTTTACCTTACCAGATACTACAGCTAAAAAATATGCCAAATATGTGTGAGAGGAAGTTTTGTTGAGTTTGTACTCATAAACAACATTTTATGCTATCAAAATCAAATAAAAAATGAAGAGGATGAATTGCGATGTTCTGATCCAAGAGGGAAAACAGGGGGAAAATATAGGCGGACGAGAAACGAGAAATAATAGTTGCATATTCTGTAAAAATGTATGCTTAAATATATACGAAACAGGAAAGGGGCATTTTCCAATAATAATTCTAATATATTTATTTTGAACAGAGAGTACCTTTAAGTTACTGTCTTCTTCAATGCTTTCTTCCAATCCCGCAAGCCCACCGAAAGCAATCAATAAATGTCTTCCAAATTGTTCATGCAATCAGAAGACTAAAGTTGGATGAAAGGTGCGTGCTTAAAATGCACTCATTACTTACTACCAAATAAAATTGCTTAGAATTGGACCAAACGTAGTCCAATTTCTAGGACTAAAAGGAACAAAAAGATATGCCACAGAAAGGTCCATATTCAGCCTACTGATTGCTGAAAGCCCTTGGAATTATAAATGGGTACAACTATCTATATGAAGTTATGTTAAAGACCTGCCATCAGATAAAATCATACCTGAAATTTGGTAAGAAAAGCTCTGATGAGTTAATAATCTCACCATGCTCCGACGTACCAATCAAATGATCATAGCCACCCTATGAAAACACATTGAAATTGATCAAGGCTTTATGTAAATTGTCAACAGAAAACTCACTACAATAGGATCAAAGCATCAATACCTTGTAGGGGCAGTTATTAAACACTGAACTGATATTAGAAGCATACCGCACTCTATATCCCCAGTACATTCCAGCTTCCTCCCTGGGCTTGGACAACGAGACAACCTGGCGTGGTAAATCTAGATATATGCCAAAAAAAAAAAAAAAACGAACAACCTGCGTGTTAATCTCAGATTATGGCCAAAAAAAAAAAAAATGACTTGATGAGTGGATCGTCTTTTACTGGCAACATAGTGGCTTAGGAACTAATTAAACACGATGGCAATACAACAGAAAAGAAAAAACAAAGTATTATTCTGAAGAGAGAGGTAGAGGAGAAAAGAGAAAAAAGAAGGGGGGGGAGTTTGTTGAGAAACATGGGCCTAAAACTGGAGTGTTTTAAGAAATGAAACAAAGGGGCGCGATTAATGTGATTTAATATAATCTACCTTGAAATTGTGTAAACAAAAACTAAGAGTAGGAAAAGGGGGGGGTTTGTTGAGAACATGGGCCTAAATGGAGTGTTAGAAATGAACAAAGGGGCGATATAATGTGATTAATATATCTACCTTGAAAAGTTGTGTAAAAAAACTAAAGTAGGAAAATAATATATATTTTGCTAAATAGACTGGTGAATAAATCAGGCAAGGTTCAAAACTCTGTAAAAGAAAGCCGAATATAAACTTATTACCAGCATCCAAATTGCGGTTGGTTCCCATTGCTACAGTTACTCTTATGCCAGGTTCAAGTACTTGATCAATAACAACATTCTGCATAATTTAGCTTCAAATCTGTAAAACACATTAAATTCACTAAAGACTTTTTGCAACCTAGACTTCAAAAGGAAAATAATAAAAACACATTTGGCCTGCAGAAAAAAATGTGCAGCAGGCATGAAGCTGGAAAGAGGAGAAAAATAAGCATTTTGATAATTATGCTTTGTTATTCCATATGCCAAAGAAGTTAATTGTAATATTCAAAAACGGCTACCTGAAGATAATGGCACAGGTGAGCACAGAATAAATGAATGTGCATTAAACAGTGAAAATAACACAGAAGCGAAAGGCCAAAGCAAAGAGGACTTTATGATGCAGACTTGCATCACTTTACTTTGCTAAATCAAGCTTGGTTATATTTTTGTGTATGATAAATATCTAAAACTGAAAAATAGACTCAAGCTACTTAGAAGCTTACTAAAACCTACATCCTCATAATCAGCTCAAAGGTTAGAGCCTTAGAGGTTCACAGAAAAGGAGGACGGTAGCTTGCTAGTTAGCAAAATCAACAGAGTGACCAGACTAATGAAAAATCATCCAGAAACTATCCGAGTCTTGCCATATTTTGAATGAGAGAAAACCGGTAGGAAGTTGCAATACCAAATTAGAAGTTAGCCTTGGCAATTATTCTATTGATCAAAGCAACTTTCTAAGCTCCACGTAGAATAGAAGAGAGACACAAACTATTTATTAGAAAAGGAAGAATGTAAGGACCAAATTATTTATAAACATAATAAAAAAAAGAGGAAAAAAACAAATTAAAAAAAACAAACTCCAACAGATTGTTACCTTACTCAAACCCACATCAACTAGCGTTCCCACAAAGTTCGGAGCCTTTCCATTTAGTGTAACTCCTATAAAATTATTATAAAATATCAAATGGTTGGCCTAAAATGGAGAGACAAATAAAACTCGAACGCAGACACAATCAGTGCCAGAGATGAAGCTAAGAGTTCCAGAATATACACTTGTACAAAGATCTAAAATATTTCCAAATGTTTCTAAAATCAACAACCTTCCCGTCTTTCACAATAATAATGTTTGTATTAACTAACCAGGAAAACTATGCCAAACAGTTTGAAATTTTTAAAACCTAAAATTTCATTCACCTTATACAAGAAAAAGAACAAGGCAACCCCTGAAACGAGTGGAAGAAAAAAAAAAAAATTCAGAAGTTTACCCTCTCTAAATGTAGCCCATTCATGCTTGCGCAAATGGTGTGGAGCATCAAGCGGAGGCAAGAGACCCTATGAAAAAAATTAAAGTGCACAATTATAACTAACTTCAATTCATTCCACCAACAATCAACAAATGAAACAAAATTCAAGTTATAAACCAACTGGTATCTGACCACAAATCTCAGGCTATTATGCTTTGGGAAAAGAGCTTTTCTTAAGTACTGTGGAGTCTCGAGATAACGCAAGATCCTGATGAGAAAAGCAGCACCACTTTCATTCTCATCAGAGTTATTGCTCGACTTCAAAGTGGGATCCTCATTCTCTGAAATATTACAGTCAAACACCACCAGCTGCTCACACAATAATAGTTAATCGCTACTCTCCATCAGCAAAATAGATAATCGATACACAAATGGCAATTAGAGAATATCTGCATAAAAAGAAAATTCAACAATAATTTTTGAGACTAAAGCAGTGAAGTGAAAAGCAGTGCCCAGACCTCATCGATTCGAAATATAGTAGCGGCACGAGCAATCTGACCAGCCAACTGAAGAAAAGAAAAAATCAATAATATACGGAGAATGATAATGATAATAGATTAAAGAGAGCTAGATAAATAGTGTAGATAGTTGTACTCGGGTTGCCAGTTCGAGAGATTGAGCGTTGTTGATGATGGAACCAGGGACAGCTATGCTCACTGTAGGTGTCTCTTTCGTTTCGTTCTCATCTTTCACTGTCTCATTTCTTTCTTTATTTTTGTTCTTTTTTATCTTCCTTTGAGGATCGCCATTAACAAGGTCGAACTTGTTTGCTGCTTGGTGGTTTTCCGCTTCCGCTTCTGCTCTTTTCTTCTTCCCCATTTTCTTTTTGGTTTTGCTGGGGGTTTAAGAACACGCGTTTGGGAGAGGGTTTGTAGCGTGTTAATAAATGTATTACTTCCACCATGGCGATTACCACAGTTTTTCTTTTTTCTCAGTTCTCACCGTATTTTCATTTTTGCATTTCTTTTACTATTAAGGAGGTTAAATTTCTTTTTTACTGCGATTAAATTTCCACTTTCAACTCCTCGTCTTTCAAAAAGAATACACTTCGGAATTCATTAATCATTCCTACCCAAAATATGTACGAAACATAATCAAAAACATTTTTAATATAATATTTATACTGAAGATATCTCTGATTATATTGCATTATGTCCTATTACGTCTTATTAAACATAATATAATAATTTAAATCAATTAATTAATGTGTATATACAGCAACATCAACCAAACAAAATCAATTCAAATGTAGTAGTCATTGTGCAAGTGTATTTGACTGAAGCATGTAATTCCCTCAATGAAATATAAATTGATCCCAGGTAACATGGATTGTACATATTCTCTCAAGTTACTGCATTGTATTTCACTTTGGTTTATCTGTAATCAAAAGATGGTTAGACATTCCTAAATTTCTGTATAAGCTTATACCAGATTTCGTCTCAAAGCTTTATTCTATCAAAAAATCCATTTGCTTCCGCATCTTCTGATACTCTATTAAACACCAACCTCCACAATTTTCGCTGTTAGTCGAAATCCTACCTACTCCATATAGCATCCTCCTCATCTGACCTATATTTGCTTTTCGTGAATCCATTTCAAGCTTTGGCACTACGACCTGCATCATACACATTTAGGCAGCTTCCAGCTCCAATATCAGAACGAACTTTCGTGTACACATCCATTTGACAGGCACCAAGCAGAAGATTTATGCCCATGACAACTTGAAAGAATTGAAACGGAAGAACATAATTTGTACACTTTAAAAACTCATAATTTATATTAAGATACAGCTTTACAAGAAGATATTCTAGATTTGCTGTCAAAATCCAAGTAAATTATGGAGGTGTTATCCTTTGTCCGCAGTGTTCTAGCTTCACTCAATAAAAAATTAGCAACCTTCTCAGCAGAATTCTCTCCATCCGAAAGGTATTTCTCCTTTGTCTGTGCAGATCCAAAAATCCATGTCATTGAAAGAAAAATTTTCCAGAAATTCAAAGCAGATAGTTGTTTTTAACTGTTGAGGAACATTCACCTGAAGCACAAGTTGAACTGCCTTTTTAACACCAATGACATCCCAAAAGCCATCACTGCAATTTTGCAGAATAAAGGTTAATCCTTCGAACTACAAACACTATGATTAACCTCTAGATGGTCATATTCAAGAAATAACTTTTCAGCGGCCTAAACATCCATAGCATATCAAAGAGAATGTAATTTACAAAACAATGAAATGCCATTTATTGCTGAAGCAAGGACATTAATCAGAAATAGAATCACCTTGCCAACAGTGCGAAGGTGCTGCTTGCTCGATCTATATGCACAGCTTTGCTTATGTAAGGTTCTGAACTGAATCGGGCATCCTGCTGTTTCAAAAATTTGTCTCCAAGCATCCGAGCGAGGTTCAAGCCTGAACCAAGGGAGAGAACAGAAGTAATTATCAACTTGACACTGACATTCGGTCTTTCATACTAATTAGTTATTCATATATATATATATATATATCTTTGCCTAACCACAAAGACGTGTTTCCCCATCTTTCAATGGTTCTCCTGTTTCATTGATTCGAAGCCTTTCAGAACAACTAGTTATTCTATGGTCTTCCGTCATCTTAATCTGCTTCCCATCAACACTGAAAATCACATCAAGCTGTAAATATGGTATTAAGGAATAATTACAATAGAAAAATTTTCATTTTTAACCACAAGAATATGTCCAAATTATGAGGATTTAGCGAATGACAATTTACAAGCAGGACACTAACATGAAAACAATAGTTCCACTTATATTAAAACAGTTCACTCACTTGATACTCTACCAGGAAAAATAGTAAACAACACAGTATCTAACTGCCTAAAATGACCATTACTTGAAAAATTAGCAGCTTAGGACCACTTTCAGCCAACTTGTCCACCAAAGACATATATGAGACTCCAAACAACACAACACAAGAAATACAAAAGAAGAATATGAACCGTACTTCATGACACAAGCTGAATCCCCAACATTGGCACACTGAGCAAAGAGATTTTCGTCATCATCAGCCCAAACCAGGAGCAATGTTGCAGTACAGCCCTGCAAAGAATTGATTGTTGTAATTTGAAAATTGTATATGTTCAAATATCAACCAGTTTACTAAATGAATCAGAATAACAAAATATTTTCTAGGGTAGTACTTGCAAAACTGTACAATATCCCAACAGCATATTAATAATCTAATTTAAACTAGATTATCAGAATAAAGATCTTTTTTACACCCTCTAAACTGACAGGTTACCAGAGCGGAATCTACATAGATATCACTCTGGTCTGAATTCATGCCAGCTGGATTGAAGGATTCCTAAAATCCATGAAATTGTGCACGCTTTTGGGTAGCTAATTCATGGATGTATCATAATTGTGAAAACCACACGAACTAAATCTAGACCCTCTACCATGGTCAGGTAGAGAACCTAACCAAGGCAGACACTTCATTATCAAGAAACGTACTTTCTTCTCTTTTCAGTTATAACAATGTTGCAACTTTGTTATATTTTGACAGCCACCTGAAATATTGATACAAGGTTGAGTACTAGTTTAGTCTATGTTGTATAATAGCAAACAGAAGAAAGAAAAGGAAGAATGAGAAAACGCTCCGGATACGTTTTCCACGGTCCCCTTTAACCAGTTGATGTAGTTTTATATTCCTCCCACAGGCATAGTGCAAGTCCTACCCATGATCCAAGCCTGTCTTGGAAAGAAGGATCCCTTCACAACTTCTTCTTTTAGAAGGAAATTTAGTAACTAATTTTATAATTTATACCTGATTAGGTTCTTTGGCATTCCATATTTCAATAAGACTATTTGGCAATTTTCCATTTCTCTTTCACCATATAAGGCCATAGTCTCTTAAGGGACATGACCTCTACATTAGTTGGTATCAAAAAAAGAAAAAAAGAAAAAAAAAAAAAAGATGAAACTTAGTGCAAAATCTCGCTCACCAACTTATCAACCATTTTCCCAAAACTGTTCCATTTTTCATATTATATTTTCTAATTATCAATGAGCACATATTGCTAAATTCAAGTAAACCAAATAGTGAAGCATTACATTCAGAATGTGCTACTAAAAATAACAAATACGGCTTTTAGTTGGCACTTGCCAACCTGTATCATGAAGCCATCTTTAAATTTTGGCAGTCTGGTACAGTCTCTCTGTGTTTCTCTTGCAAAAGAAAGGACTCATCTTTTTCAGAACCAAATATAATGATAATAATACAATGAACTAGTTTACAGAAATTGGATTTCGCTCTCAAATTTCAAGCCTTCAAATAGACAATAATTCTTTTTCTATCTCCTGTTTATTTTGTCACTTTAAGGGATTGACTCAAAAATATAGAAAAAGTGTCAAATTGAATTCAATAAATTTAGGTTCAACTTTATATGAGCTCTTTAATGTCCACAATTCCCTCAATCACTTGATGGAACTTGTTCAAAGCAAGAGAAAACTAGTTTATATCTTTCAGAAGCATCCCATAAAACCTTTAGAAGCATGCAAGGGAAACTTTCAATTAAGACTTATGACATTTGCACACAAAAGAAGATAATAAATAACGCCAAGGGAAAACCTCGTAATAATTATTCATGGAAGCTTCTGTTTGAGAAAACGCAACTCTGAGGACTTCTGAGGCATCATGTTGTGATAAAACCCTTTCCCTTGTTAGTGAATCCGATAAAATACCAGCAACCTTCTCAGGAAGCATTCTGGAGTAAAAAAAATGATTAAACAATAAGTACTATACTACACATGAAAGCATAAGCAGGAAACAAAAACAAATTAGGGTGATTTATTTTATATATTCATATAAATCTATCATAAAAAAAGGGTAAAAAGAAGATCTTTATTTAAAATGCAAGATGAACAAAACTGATGCCCAAGTAGCCAAAGGATGAAATCAATAATTACTAAGCATACTTAATATGCATAATCAGTCTGTCAAAGTGAGGAACAGCAGAAAAAGAAAATTATAGGGTAATGTACATAAGGGAAAGTGTTCATCTGAGAATTTAAGCATCAAATCAATCACAATCTGAAAACAAACTTGGCCAGCCACCTTTTTCAACTAGCAACAAATAACACTTCAAAGGTGTTTGCTTCTACTGCTAAAGATACGAAACAAAAAGAAGTAAGATTTCAATCAAAAACAAGGTAAAACATTAAGACTGAAGTTAGCATACTAACTTGCTAGCAGATCTGGCAGCTGCTACTCCTCCATGCCCATCGCAAATACCAAAAACTCCAAACTGTGGAACAGGGACTTTGGTTGTTTATTTTTTCAAGGAAAACAAATTTAATGTTCATTACAATTCAAACTCAATAAATGTTTAACCTGGTCAATGCCAGGAAGAGGCCACTGATAATAGCACACATCTTCCATTGCAAGCTTCTTTCCTCCTCGACGCAAAGCCATGGGATCTGATGCCACACCTACACCAAAAGGTGTCTCGTTCTGAGATTTAGATGAAACATGAACCTGCCAGAAAGCATATATATGGATTCATCAATTAGAAAATATAACATTAACAATAATTTCATAACAAAAAAGTTTATACATCCTGTTGGACTTCTGCTAGATTTAGGTGAAATTGTTATTCATTAACATGAAAACAGAAAATGATATGTGACACTTTATGCAAAACAATGAAAAATGATCAGTTTTACTTTTATTTATTTACGTATGTGTTTTGGCGAAAAAGATGCATCATGAATATCAGTAACAAACTATGTTTGAATGTCATCTAATTGGAGAAAATCTTTATCCAGGTACCTTAAGAATCCATGATCCTAGAAAATTCAATCAATTGTGGACATTTAAAGTAATCTAGAAATCCAACATAATACAATCCATAGATGTAAAAATATAACTTGATAAAAAAGACAGTTTGACTTACACATATATTTGAGGTTGTGCCAAGTGTTATTATATCTCCATTAGTTAGATCAACTGGATCACCCCAGTGCCTACTTCCAGAATCAGGATGGTTGATTGGGTGAGAATTTAGAAGTGTTCCATTTAGGCTACCCATGTCTACCAGTTCCCATTTTTTCTTCTGAAACAAAAATAGAAGTCTATTAGAATCAGTGCATCATAAACATGAAAGATCATAAAGTCAAATAAATATAATGTATCTACCAACGACTTACATCCATATTCCAGTTAATCATCGCATGCTTCCCAGACACCTCAGAGTCCTTCAACAACAAGTCACTAGAAACCCTCCCAAGGGTGAGTGGAAGCCTTGAAGAACTTGTTGACTGTATAGAACAACGGAGCCCACGAGAAGGACCTGAGATGACCTCCAAAGAGAGGCAGCTTCCTGCACTTCTAACAGAAAAATATGATGACATGTTTTCCACATTTAGACAAATGAAAGTAACTATCCAGAATTAGCCTCTTTCTCAGAAGTGAAAGGACAAGCAATTACTTTGATCATTGATAATCTTAGGCACTGATTCCAGAAGATCATCTTTTTCTGGACCAGATCTCGAGATAGGAGTTTCATCTTCTTGTTCAATATGTGTCTGCACTTCATCTAGGCGCCCTGTTGGAAATATACGCTTAAGGGTTTGACCAACTCGAATATCCTCTCCATGTTCTGAAACTACATCTAAAACCAAGATATCTCCTGGAATATAAGAATATAAAAAAGAAGAGAAATTATTTTACCCAACCAGCAAAACAAATTAAAAGCATAATAGCCTAGAGAAATACACGATGTAAAATACAATACTACCTTGTACCAAATGGGGCGGTGCAGAAGGAAGCCTCTGTTTATGAACAAGTCCATGTGGCCGGGGCAAGCGCAATGGTCCTTCATTTTGATAATATGCTCCCTCTACATCATAATTTCTTCCCAATTCATTGCTTTCCACTTCTTCCGAAACAAGGGGCTTGTCTAATTCACCAACCTAAAGAGATGGATGTTAGGAAGTGAGAAAAACAATGCACCTAATGGCATATAGAAACGCATGTGCAATCATATCAACATTTGCAATTAAAGAATAAATCCTCACCCTTGCATTCATAGTGATTACAAATATGGATGAGATACATATATCATAAACGTTGTGTAACATTTTCACATAGAATTGTATTGCCCTTTAACACTATAAAGCTTTATATAATATTCTACAAATGTAGAATGTGCACCAAAACACAACTAAGATATTGAAAACACATTCATTATACAGATTATATTACCATATAAAGCACTTGGAAACAAAAATCAGTAACCACTCTAAAGTCCAATTTACTTGCCTTAAACATTTATTATGAATATTTTGAAGGTATAATAAAAGTCGCTAACGGCTTGCCGCATATGCCTTCTTTAAATACATCCTCACGTTTGCCTTTTATCCACAAAATTGAGGTTAAAGAAATATTAGAAATATGCAAAGTTTCCCCAAAAGAAATTGATGTCCCACTGTTATTATAATTTTATATAAAAATCACTTCTACAAAAAGCGCGCCGTCATTGACAAAAATGAGCAAGTTCATAAATACATTATGATAAATTAAGTATACGGATCCCAAATTTCATTCGCTTAAGCACTATTTAACACTCCCTGAGGCGCAAAACTAGGAAAGCAACAAATTCTGGACAATACATAGATGCTTACTGCATTGCACCTGAGCTGAAAGCAAATGATTGCATGGAGATATGGATTAACCAGCATCAATTGACAAATCCTCCTTAAGCTAATGACAATGTGCAAGGACAAGTTCCTGTGTCATTTAAACCTATTTTTCAAACAGAATCGTAAGAACCGAATGACTCACCAACATGATACCAAATTCATCACCTCAAACTCACCCAAACAAAGAAGATCGACCATAACGATCAAAACTCAAATTGAAAGATTAAAAAATTAGCGGCAAAATCAAATGCCACACCTCCGATGCAATCACTCAAAAGATTCAATAGTAAAACCATCGCCTGCCTCTCTTTCAGCTTCTCAAAATTCAATTGAACTGGATTGAAACACATAGCTATATCATCAAACAAAGCGACCGTTATACAAACCCCTGACATTCACTTTCTCCTTTCCCACGATTTCTTACTACCAAATAGGACATCACATTATAGACGATAAAAAAATCTAGGTGTAGAATATGAAGAGAAAATAGAATTGGATTGAATAAGGAATGATAAGAGGGGGTACCTTGAGGGTGCGAGAACGGGAAGAGAAGAAAAAGCGCCATGGTTTACAGGCGAAGAGGAGGAAGACGAGGATCAAAAGCAGCATAAGGAGGAGAACACCGACAATGCTCTCTAGCAACGTCATCGCCATCGTCGTCTCGTTCTCTCTCTTGTTGTCTCTCTACAGATTAGAGATTTGGTCCTGATTTCCGAGAAACTCGCTTTGAAATGGTCGCACATTGCATTTCACACTCCCTTTTTATTTTCTTTCCCCATTTCTATTTGTTTCTTTCTATTAATGTGTAATTTATACTAATATACGTAATATTTATTTATGAAAATTTTCTTTTCTATTTATATACTTTTTGTTTTTTTTTTTTAATGGGTTTGGGAAAGAGAATATTACTGGAAGGTTTGTGCTCACTTTTTAGACGATTTTTTACCATTAAATTAATATATATATATATATCACTTCAGAGGAATATAATTAAATTTCCTTCCAATTAAAAGATAAATATACTGTTAAATTTTTTTTTTCCATATTTTTCTAGAGGACTGATAAAATAAAATATGTCAATTTAATTCTAAAATAAGATTAATATCCGAGAAAAGATAAGAGAATACCCGCGAAATATATAAAAAATTAAATAAAAGTACCTTTCATAACAAGTTCCAATTAATATAATCTAAAAAATTATTATTAATATAATATAATTTTTATTCAATGTTTTCCTTACATATTTTAAAGGTAAATTACTATATATCAACTCCTTACAATTTAACTAAAAATAATACTTGGTCTTTACTGTTTGGAAAATTCACGTGAAGTGCTTGAGATTTGGTTCTACTGAACTAAATCGGATCTGTTCCAAAAATTGAACCGATGTGACTCATTTCTTTTGGTTTGATTAATTTTGTAAAAAATGGATTACCATTCGGTTTGATCAGTATAACATTGTTTTTGTTTCAAATCGATTTTATACATAAATGCAATTGATTTTTTATGCACAAATTATGTGATTTTATTTGAAAAACCTGAATCGATATGGTTTTTTTGATACCAAACCAACTTCTACAATGTTGTGTCCCATTTGATTATCATGTAAACACATTTGGTCAGATCAAATCAAATCAAATCAATTCGATTTGGTCTGGTTCAACTAAACCCAGTGCTAATCTCGAAGTGTATGTCACACTCTTGTCAAGGTCACGTGCATGGGGTTACATATGATTTGGTGTGGGGCTGACTACGAGAGAAAGCTAAAGAATGAGATGAGGGTCCAGTGTAAGCAACCGCATGGACGGGTGGGATATTCTAGGCTCTTTGCTTTTTATTTATGTTAATCCTTATTCTCATCCACTTTGACAATAACCTTTGCTCTTTCCACAAAGATTAAAAAAATATCAAAATTTATTGATTCTCTAGATATACGTGATATAATATTTAAATTATCTTTTTTATATGTAAATATAAAAATAAAATATACTTAATAAATATGGATAAAATTAAAAAAAATAATTAATATAGTTTTAAAATTTTAAATGAACACTTGAAATAAAATAAGCTTAGGTAAAATATTTATACATTGCCGTTAAAGTGAAAGTGAGGGCGTATTTTTGAATTCTGATATAGTATTTGTCTACGAGTGTCACTGGATTTCAAGTGTTTGGGCTTTGAAATAAATTTTGTTAATGATTTTGGGCCCATGAAATTTGAGGCTTTGAAATCACATGTGCTCCATGGGCCTCAAATCATGATTTTGGGTTGGGTTGGGTTGGGCTCTTCCTTCACCCCATGTGATTGTGAGGTTTCTGCTATTTGGCAACATATGCTACGCTGTGCTTCTAAAACACAAGGGGGAAAAAGCACACTTATCTTGAAATTGAGGAACTAATTAATTCAAAAAAATTAATTAACAATTAAAATATCCATAATTAATAATCATTTGCAAATAAAGGGTAATTAGAACTTAGAAGACAAGTTACACAATTAAAGCTTCCACTCTCTCATACCAAAGTTGGTGTGCTCAAATTCTGATATCCTTCAGCCATTCCTCTCGATGTCAAAGGCATAATTTTCCCAATACAGAGTTATGAAATTTGTTGACCGCTTGAACATGATTATTATCAGACAGTGACAAGAATTTATAAGAAAATGAAATGAATATGGAAAGTGAAATTCAGATTTAAGATTCCTTCCGGAGAAAATTCAATATTTTTTTTTTTTTATAAAAAATCCACCAATATGCATAGATTTTTATTAAAGGTGCCAGATACGACTATAAATTTTTTAGATTCTGGTATCTACTTAGTCTCTGATTTTGGTTTTCGCTTAGTCTCTTCCATAGACAACGAAAGATTAAAGACGAAGATGGAATATTCCTATAATTTCAGGAAAAATGACAGGTATAACCTGATATTTATGGAATAAATTTTTTTTTTCTCTATATATTTTGAGGAATAATCTTATTAGACTATAAGCAATATATGTATGTCTTAAGTCATCTTGACAATCAATTTTTTATTCTAATATCATAATTAAAGAGAGAAAGTAGATTTTAATTTCTATATTCCAAACAACATTCAAAAGCTTTGATGCATTTTTGTAATTTTCAATTATCACTTAGTCAACAGGCAATAGCTTTTCAGAAATTAAATAGATGACGAGGTGTGAAGAAGGTCAACAACTATGCTGCCAAAAACTGAAAAATCAATCCATCAAATTTTCAAGAAACAATTATCATCGTTCCCCACTAAATTGAGACATGTAGATGCTTCACAACGTGCTGTGGGTGTGCCACTCTTTAAGTGGTCAACAATGTCGTTTTCTGCTAGAAGAAATAGAAAAGAAGACATTAACCTAATTAATTCGTACCACCAACTTTTACCATAATTCATGCCACCGGCAACCCTTCAAGAATCATAAGTCAACACCTTGTATGTGCCCCCACCATTCATGTTTCTTTCATGTCTAATTCACAAAGTTGACTCTAAAATTGGGTGGATTATATTTGTAGCTACTTAAATTTCATAGGGAGTTCAATCACAATCTTAAATTTTCACATTTTAAATAAAAATCTTTACAAGTGTTTCAATTATAATCCTACACAGGGTCATGATGGGTCTATTGAAAAATTCGTTAATTAACAAACTTTCTTTCGTTACTTTATTTTTTATCTATGAGAGGCCCAATGGACTAGAGTATCAATAAGCTTCCTTTCTTTACTTTGTTTTTTATCCATAAAAGGCCCAACGGATTAGAATATTGATTCAATTCCATACTGGATTGGAAAGGCCAAAGCAGTTATGTCATTCAGATAAAATGGAGAAATTTATAGAAAGTCACCCATTCTAGATATGAATTTCCCTTAAGCTTCCTTTCTTTATTTTGTTTTTTATCCATGAAAGGCCTAACGGACTAGAGTATCGATTCAATTCCATACTGGATTGGAAAGGCCAATGCATTTATGTCATTCAGATAAAATAGAGAAATTCATAGAAAGTCACCAATTCTAGAATTTCCCTTAAGCGAGCACACTTAATTTCAGAGTTCTTCTAATTCTTCAGGAATTTCACCAAAAAAGGTGTCTCTGATAATTAGTTCTCTTTTTTGATATATGGTCTGATTAATTCATATAACTCACATTCAACTACCCTAACTAACCTGTCATCCTAGAAACTAGCCAAGAGTTTTTACTCTACTCACTTTTTTTTAATGGAATACAATAGTATTATCAATTATAAAAAGATAACAAATATTGTGGAATAGTTCCACACACTTGGGAGCCAAGAGTTTTTACTCTACTCACTTTTTTTTAATGGAATACGGTGGTATTATCAATTATAAAAAGATAACAAATATTGTGGAATAGTTCCACACACTTGGGAGCGAACATATGAATAAAAAGCTCTAACTAATATGTGAGCTTCTCTATTAGCTTGTTTCCTCTCACCTAAGAGCTTTACCCTTCCTTTTAGGATCACTTTGTCGGGTCTAGATGTCACAATATTCACCAAATTAAAAATAACTAAACTCGAGATTTTTCACTCTCTACATCTTGTAGAGATAGGAAGATCAATCAATCACATGCTCAAGTCGCATAATTTGAACTCTTAATTTTGTATGTTAGTTGCTTTTAGAAATACGGTTGCTGAAAAGCTACCATAGCTCCACCTGTTGCCAAGGATTTGTCTTTTTTGGAGACTTAATCCACAAGTTTTCTCACATTAATAAGTAATTATTTAAACTAATATCCATTAAATATTTAATATTCCCTTTGTCTATTCACGCCTTTATACTAATATTAATTTTATTACATATTCATCAATGTATATAGTGATTTCAAATGTCATCATCACTTAAAAAAAAAATAGAAAAAAATAAAAATTTTATTAATTTAACAAATTAACATGCACTTGCAGGCTGAATTCAGCAAACTTTTCAACATCATCCACCTCTACATATATAGATTAGCATGAAAATGATAGATTAATTATTTTAATTCTGTTTAATCATGATTTATCCCCAAGAGCGGCAGTACTAATCATGCATGCCAGTTGATCTGACGGATCAGATCGACTAGACAATCACATGTCCAGTCACTGTCTCTAAACCAACCTTCACCAGCTTGATGTTTCATTCCCACCTTAAAGTTTTTTCATGGGCTCGATGCACATAATTATATAATTAATTTACTTTTATTCAACCTTCTTTTTTTTTTTTTTTAGATAATTAACAATATTTTAAAATGAAAATGAATTATCAGAACTGAACTCGTTATAATCTCTGATGAGCTTTACATATTTTTAACCAAGAATTACTGTATACATTGTACAGCCAAATTTAGAAGAGAGTGAAAACAAAAATTTAAGTCGTAAGTGTAGAATATTAAACTCATTAATTATCACTCACTGGGTTAAAGAAATGATTTTATTACTGGTTATGAGCCCAATGCCACCTTGTAATTAGCCATTAACTCCATGACAAGTTTGCATGGATTACGTATGCGTCCTTTAATGTTTTGTTGTATGTTGTTATAATAAATTAATTCTAAGTTGAGAGATTAATAAATAAAATAAAATTAAAGTATGTAAGTAAAGGAAAGAAAAGGTGGCACTAAAATGGTCAAAAAGGTATGCATATATAGTGCTTTTTTGTTTAAATGCTTGGGTAAGCCATGAACTGGATTCTTGTCTTAGTTTGCAAAAGTCTAATAAACAATTTATTATCATGGAGGAAAAACCAAAGGGCTAACTTTAGGGTTCACTTAAGGCCAAAGGGACATGACGCATTCTTAGTTAATGATTCTCCATTAACTTAATACATAATCAAACAAAAGTTGATGGATTCTGATGCAAATTTCTTTCTCTAAATATATACTAATCAATTAAGTGGGATTAATTAGGGTTCTTTAAACAAAATCAATTGAAGCACAGATAGATAAATTAATCCTGATGCTTTCTCCATTTTTTATCTCACATACTCATATACATAATTGTTAATTAATGCTGGCTCACTGATAACTAAAGAAGCTTTTTGTAGTAGAAAGGTTTCAAAAAGCATGCTCGTTTAGAGCTGCCAAAGGTTATCTAGTTTCTTTATTAGAGTTTTTAGGGTCACACTTTAGGGATTAGTTAGGAACACGGCTAATCTTTGATTCACGTTTCAGATTATCCGCTACGTTCCAGGTTAATTTTTGCACAATTACCCAGTAAATGAAACTTTCTGCTTCGTCGAACAAACATATATTTTTTGCTGTTTAAACAAAATATCTGTACTCTTAATCGCCTTTTGATCATCTTAATTAATGTGGGTATTCAAAATCTTGCTCCTTTAATTTAAAGCTCCTGCACAATTACCCACAACTTTAAGAATGAAAAAGGAAAAGGAAAAAGAAAACACCATCGGGCACTGGTATATATATTTGGATCTGTTTGTGAGCTGTAGCAGGATTACCTTTTGAAGGACTTTTCCGCTGACGAGAGATATGGAGTTCAGGTCACCGATGCTTAAAAGGGATGATATGTTTTCAAGTTGTTATTATGCGAATTCCTTCAAATTTATTTATTAGGCGAATTAGGCTGTACTCTACACTGTCTTTAGAGAATGTTTTATTTATATATAGTGCGTGCGTGCGTAAACAATATCAACTTGCCCAGCGAAACTGTCCTAAAGAATATCAGCATTTGCAGGAATACCTACTTATGAACTGTCTCCATTAATTAATTTATAGTAATTACATATTATGGTTTTTATCAGATATTCGCAACAAAGATTTATTATGATAGAGATGTTAGTCAAATCTTACTAGCTTTTAAGGAATCCTATATATCATATATTCGATGAAGGCGCTTTGTATTGATTAATTATTTTCAATCCTAACTGCAATTTGCATTGTAAAGATTCCTTAATTTTAGTTTATGTTTTAATCATATCAACATTATTAAATCTTGATACTCTCTTTTCAATTAATGATCAAAATGGCAGGATGTATAGCACTTGCAGGAATTTTTTACATGGTGAGGCAAGAGGGTTCTTGCCTTGCTAATGAAATTCCTCTTTTTCATTTTAATTTTATAAAAAAGAAATTGTAATGTGTTTTAGAACTCGCAAACTACATAAATCAACCCTTGAATTTCATAGTACCATCAACTTTTAATTTGATATATAGAACGCTTCAAAAATATATGAATGCATTTTGCCTCAGTTGAAAACTTTTGACTTGCAAGATATTTTGTTCTGGGCGTTGATGGTTCGTTAGAATTACTAAATGCCTTCTATCTTAATTGGATACCGAATTATATATTATAAATTGTTAATCATTTGCATGATTTAATCAAATCCTTTTGTTGTTATTATGAAGCAGCATGACAAAATAATACAAACCAAAGAAAAAATCTGTGTAAAATCATAGCAATTGTTGGCATATACTTTGGTATAAATCCTTCTCTGTTCCCACTACTCTCTACGGTTTAGTTTAATTGGGAAAGTAATGGTAGAAACTTTACTAGTATTGTAAAGTCAGCATCAATCATTTTCTAGAACAATGGAAGAAATTAATTATCAGAAATACATTGAAAAATTAAATAATTAATTATGCAATCACATCATTTTTAAAAATAATGATAAGAAGAAGAACGAACCTACGTTCTTATCTTTCTAATACATTGTTTTGATAGGAGAACTAGAATGTAGTGGAGGTCCTGCTTATATATATATATCAGCAAATAAATTTTTTAATATTATTAAAAAAGAAAAAATTAGAAAAAAATTTAAGTAATTCAGAAATTTAACCCAGATTAGATCGACTTACTAAATGTATTATATTCTTAATTGGTAGAGGAAATTAATAAAGAATATTGATCTGATTATAGAAATTTATGAAATGAATATTTATTTAGAAATTTAATTAGCTTAATAATCATATGAAATTGGTTACAATAATTAAATAAATCCTATTAAGTTTAGCAGAATGTGCAAATAATTAAAAATTAATTTTTTATCCATCTAGTAAAAGATACACAAATTTCAATTTTATCCCTATATTGAGACTAAATCTCTTCCCCGAGTGAATTTAAATGAAGAATTTTTCATCATGACTAATTAACTTGTATGGTTGAAGAAATTAAAATTTAATTCATTAATCTGAAAAGTAAATTTTTTTTTATGAACTAATTTGAAAAGTAAAATTTGAAAAAAATTGATTTCTTTTTTTTTTCTTGTTGTATTACAAGTTTAAAACAGCAAGAGCTATGTACCAAGATATAGCTTAGTAGTAAGTATATATACGACTCAGGAATAAATCTGGATTTGAATCCTCTCTTTTTCAGTACTCAAAAAAAAAAAAAAAAAAATTATTTAGCCAAAACAAGTTCATGCATGTGTGATCACTAACCGCGAAAAGGCAACGCGGACAGCTTTTCGCACAGTACAAGTACCTGTTAATGCTGATGCTTATTACTGGTGGTGGTGCAAGTTGCAATTCCTTCTTTTACTCTAAACGGTGCAACGAATCCTTCTAAACTTAGAAGTTCTCTCACAGTCTTTTAACCTTTTTATTAATTAGCAGCTAATCAACTTTTATAGGCTAGTGAATTGAAACTTGAGGCATTAGTTTAAACATTTTTAGGGTAGGTCATTTGTTGTCTATCCCACATGGTTTGGAGTAGTGCAAGTGCTTCTTCTTCCTTTTGTTTATTTATTTATTTATACAGCAAACAAACCCGTTGATGATCTTTTTGTGTGAGAGAGAGAGAGTGTGAGTGAGAGAGTGAGAGGATTCACAGATTAGCACCTAGCCGACAAAACTAAAGGGGACATTAGTGGACGATCACTTCTTTCTTTTTCAAAGAGCTTTTAACATGTCTTCATAACTTGACCGTACAATTAGTGATGGTTTAACGAAGTTACTTATTTTTTTGTTAATGGAAGCCCACACCCTAAACAGAATTAATGACGTTAACTAAACATCAATCCAACCTAGAATGTGTTTGGAGTATCTTAGTGGAATGTGTTAACGTATGAGATATATAAGTTAATGTGTTCTCTCAGAATTGTCATGATTTTATATTATATAATAAAAAAAATAATTAACTACAGACTCAATAGAGTTAGTATGTTTTGTTCATATGTTATGTATGTATTTAAAAAAAAAAAATTAAAAAGACAAATTCAATAGACTCCCTAGTGTAGTGATGTTCTTCTAATGTTGGGGCACATGGGAACTCGTCCTTTAGCACCCACAATTCGTCGCTAATAAAATGTATATTTATATGGAATATATGATTTATTATGTTTTGTTAAAATTGTCAATATCCCAATATGTGTATTTTTTTTAAAAAAATTAATATTCCTATTCTTGTTTTATAATTATTATTCTTTATTCGATAATTCTAATAATATTTTTTTCTTAATTTGATATTGAAATTTAAATTTCTAAAATTTTTGAGATGAATTTAATGTTATTAAATTGGTTAATTCTAATAGTATCTTGAAATGTAGCTAAAAAGTATTAAACCATATACTAAAAATGTTAAAGAAAGAAAATGTTAATATATTAAAAAATTATGTGAATTTGAAAATAATGATGATGTTTGAATAATTGACAAGTAAACATAAGGTAATGTATGAGGTGGGGACTGGCACTCTCTTTAAATCTATGGTGGGGCATGCATGCTCCATCCATGGAGCTCTCTGTCTGGTCGGGGTAGCCGGTCGCCTTGGAGTTGGAACAATTCCTTTTTTTTCCCTTCTCAAACATAATCATATCATTTATCCACCAACCATGCATTCCTAAATAAAATTCATTTTTCACTCTATATAATATAATGTTGATATATTGTTTTATTTTGGATTAATTAAATTTATCTATTTGTTTTCCTACATTAATAAATATCCTTACATTAATTATGTACAGATGATGCACTAAATAACTATTCATAGTCCACTTAAATAGTTGGTCGACAAAAAATGGTGTGCATTAATGGGATAAAGGGTGTGGACCGATTTTTGTTCTTGTTTATTTAAATTTTATTCCCTTGTAATGGAAAATAAATCAACCTACATTTTGACTCTCAATGCATTTTTTATTTTCTTTCTTTAAATTTTAATTAACCAAAGTTTAGACTCTCAAGACATAATAAATCATACTACTGCATAAAAACATTGGATGGTGTTTGTGTTGTTTGCTTAGAGAAAAATAGAAAGAAAGCCAGAGAGAGCAGAGCAGGCCATCACTATCAAAGTATCAAGAAATATATGAGAGAATCATTTGTGTTTCTGGCTTTTTGTTGGTTTTCTTTTGGAAGGAAAGAAAAATGGAATAGCAAATCTGGTAATTCTTGGAGCAATTTACACCCCATCTGTCTCTCTCCTCAACTACATTATGTCATGTTCATGTGAAGACATTCTTAATATACTCCTAAAATTCTGTCCATGACCATGTAAGAAAATGATATCAGGGGTTGATTTTAATTTTTTTTTATTCATTTTCTCAAATTTCAAAATTTAAAATTAAGTCAAAAACGATAATACTATAATAATAATTATAATAAGGACCTCCTTTAGCTCTCCCACATATTATATTTTTTTTATTCTCCTTTTCGGTGTGTGGCAGATTAAGAATTGAATATTTCAAGTGGTGCGAGGCCCCCCTTTCCTCTCTCTGCCTCACTACTTGTGTCGCTCGCTCCGCTTTTCGGAGACTACAAATTCACAGCCTGACCCTCACTTATCTTTCATGTTCCATCTCTTCTCTTATTTCCTTCTCCTTATTTTTCTCTCCCGATAACCAAAAATCTCTTCTACTTCAACATCAAACCTTGACTCCTCTGCTTTCCTCTGTTTTTGCTCTGCCTCCATATACTTCTGTGGAGGAGTTCTTTTACTGCTGCTTCTTTTTATTTTATTTTATTTCTTTGATTTTGATTTCTAATATTGTGTATTACGTAAATTGTTTATTACAATGGCAACTGTAGTTTATCAAGGTTTACAATCTTGTCTTGAATCTCAACTTGTAGAGTCAAGAACATTGAGGCTTAGATTATCTTCACCTAAACCTCAATTCTATGAATCTCTTGAATTAGCCTTAAAAACTTGTTCTTTAGAGTCTAACACCAAAGAACTTAGTGAAAAGCGCCATGAAGAAGAAAAACATAAATCTGATATGGGTGGGTGGAGCTTTCTCCAAGTTTTATCAGACACTAGTGTAAGTAAAAAAGAACCATTAATGGAGAAAGAGAAGAATACATATGTCCATCCTCTAATGAAGCGTTACCCATCAACGCTTAGTGAGAAGAGCTTGGAATTATGTACCGAAAATTTGGGAAGTGAAAGTGGTACTGATATTGTTGATGACAGCATTTTCTCATTGTCTTCTTCGCTGGAGTCAGAAGAAGAAGAAGCAATAGTAAATTGTCAAACAAGGGAGCAACAAAATCCTCATCAACTTTTGGGAGCTAAGAAAGCGAATTCTCGTAGTTTTCCGCCTCCCTTGACAACGATGAGTGGATCGGAATTTCTTCGAGTTAGGTCCCACCGGGAAGATGGAAGGTTAATAATCAAGGCTGTGAAGGCCCCATTACCACCAGCTTATTTCCAAGCTGAAAGAAGCCATGGCCGCCTTCGACTAAGTTTTGTCAAAGATGCTGCGTCTAAATTTGACTCTTTTGGAGAAGTAGCTTCAGCTTCCAAAGAAGAAAATAGGCAGACAGAAAATGACGTGAATTATGATGAAGAAGAAGAAATGGAAGAGGAATTTGAAGAAGAAGAAGAAGAAGAAGAAGAGGAGGAATTTGAAACAGAGGAAGGAAATGTTTCCTTCTGTGATGGAAAAGAAGGGGTGGAAGGAAATCATTTGACAAATGTTGTTGGGGCTGAAATGGGAAGGCCAAGCAGGTGCAAAGAAGGTGAAGTAGTACTAGACAATAATAAAGGATTGTTAAATTGGGAGACTTTTTGGGTGGCTACTTCTTAAAGTTTTATTTTGGATCTCTCTTTTTTTTCTCTATTACTAGAATCAATTTTTACAATTCTTGGTTTGTCCCTTTCCCTTTTTGCTCTTCTTTTTTTTTTTTTTTTTTTTTTTTTTTTGAGATCTCTCTTTTTTTTCTCTTATTACTAGAAATCAATTTACAATTCTTGGTTTGTCCCTTCCCTTTTTTGCTCTTCTTTTTTTTTTTTTTTTTATAGAATATTTAATGAGTAAAAAAAAAAAAAAAAAAAAAAAAAAAAAAAACATGTTTGTGGTAGGTAGTTATTATCGTTATTGGACAATGCTTCATCCTTTCCCATAAAAATAATCTTACTATATATAGTTATATTGGTTAGGTGAAAATAAAGGCATTACATTGATGAGCAAGCAAACACAAATGCATTACATTTAGCATTTACAGGTTCCTCCGCTACTACTTCTAACCTTCTTTTTAAAAATAAAATATTTGAAATATAATTTTTTTATCATAGAGACTAAACCGGTCCATATCAAATATATTTACCAAATCAATGAAAATAGTATTAACCTATTCCCTTCTTATTTTTTTTTTTTTAGTATATGTCAGACATACTTTCAACATAATTTTTATTTTCATTGTTTTGGTTCACATATGAAACTATAAATTAAATTTAGACTGATCTATCCTTCTTTTAATATTTAAAAAGTGATATTTTTTTTAAATGGCATTTAATTTTTGGTTTGGTTATGAGAAATTGTTACAAAGGCTAGTAGGTACTTATTTTCTATTTATTTAAATAATGGATAACAAATATTTTTGATCCACTTATGATTTGCATAGGAAAATATTTGCCGACACTAAACATATATTCATTTATCATGCATCCATTCAATAATTGATTGTTTATCTATTTTTTTTCTTTACCGAAAAGATGGCACAATTTTATTAGCTTCAATTATCATTATTAAATTTATCGGATGTATATATCCGGTCTGAGTAAGTATATATATCCGGTCTGAGTAAGTATTTTCCACCTATTATTTTTTTTATATAGTTCATAAATATTCAAACTTAATACACAATCCATCATTATTCTCTGAAATTAAAAAAAAAAAAAGATTTAAAAGAATATGTTAAGTCTTTGATGCTGTAATAGTTGAACATCAAGGAATGACCTGGAACCCTAACATGGTAAGTTTTCCATCATATCATGATGAAGAAGGAAAAAGAACCGTCAAGAACTTATAACCATGTGCTAACATCGACCATTTTCCAAAAGTATGAGCCTTGTTTTTTTTCTTTTGGCTGTAGAATATTTTACCAACAGTCGCTACTAAACTATTTACTTAATGAAGGTAGCATGCATATGATTTTGTCTTGGTAAAATAATGTATTAGTGAAGTCACAATGCGTGTTTGACCTAACCCTAAACTTTCATTTTCAATCAATTGCAAGAATCAAGTTCAAGATTTTATATTAACAAAGTCTGTGTCACTAAACATGAATGTTATTGGAGGTCGGACCATTACTATTTACTAATTATACTTTAATTCATGTAATTTATTTAAATAATATTATTTTTAACCATCTGTTGTCCAAAATTTATTAACCCGATTAATCTAGATTTGCATCGGATTAGTCCAGAAAGAGTATTTATAAGGTAACCGTATCCAGGGCTTAAACCTTTTAATAAAAGAAAAGAGAATCTTACTACATCATCTCACCTTTTAAAATTCAAGCAATATATATTATTATCAATAATTTTTATGTTATTAAAATTAGATTATATATTAGAATGGAATTCCAATTTCATCTTTTATTCACAATTTCAACGCGTGCTGGAAAAAAATTTCAATAAAAATGGCCCCCCGTATACTAATAATCTACGTGGAAGCATTGTCTGATTGGTAAAATAGTATTGGATGGCGTTAAGTCGTAGGATTAAGCTATTTTTCTAATATCTACTACTTCAATGTTTTCAACTAAAATTCAAAATCTTATCCTTTCCAATACAAATCAGCAGTAGGTGTGGTTGTGTACATACAATCCGTACGTTGGGAGTCGGACAAAAATCTTTGTACACAATATATGCAACCACAGCGATTGTCATCCACGGTCCAAGCCTATAGATGTTGCTCTCATCAACAAGACTTAAGAGCACAACCAAACAACACCATTTAAATTATTCGGATTTGATTCATGAAAAAACACTTATGAAAAAGAATATGTAATAAATTTCGAAATAAAAATAATCTCACCCTCAGTAACGGTATAGAATACTCGATGAGAAATTAAAAAAGAAAAAGAAAAAAAAATAAATTTCACTAATTTGAATTTAAACTCACAACTTAAGCCAAAGCTGCCCATGAAAATAAAGGTGTTTAAAGTACGAGTGCAAGTTGGGGGGAAGCTTTTGTACGAAATACGAATCACTGCCAAATCCACTTGTGGGTGATGAATGCTGTCTAGTAGCTATCTGGGCGAGGTATTACTCTCTTCAGCCATGGCAGTCTCTAACATATATATACAAAATTATAGATACAGCGACCTGCAGAGATTATTATTATCTGTGTATGTATGTATGTATTTTGGAGTCTTGTTCACTGTTCAGTCTTCATGTCCATAGCTAGATATGTAAATTTGGTTTTATGGCAAATTCTGCAAAAAAATCGTAGGCGATTCTTCTTGCAGTAAATACGTTATGGTCCTCAATTCAACACGTGAATGCTTCCTACTTGTGGTCAATGTTTGAAAGTTAGATACCAATCAATCTTTTGGATAGTTATAAATTTCTTTTCTTATTCTCTGCAATATCATTTTAGATTTTAATGCATCTTTTTTTTATTATTAAAAATAAATTGAAGTGCAATAATTATGCCGATATAAACAGGTATCTTCGCAAGGTATGATAAGGTTAAAATCTTTTCAATAGCGACGTACAATTTATCGTGTAATGAGTAAAATTCATATGAAAATATCTCATTTTTTAGTGATGATTTCGTCTGTTAATGGATAAGACTTATCTCCGCTTGGTATATAAATAGTTTCGTAAATGGATTGTTCACAAGAACAAAATATGGGATGGATAAAACCCTTTCAATAGTGATAATTTTAAATTTTAATTCCTGATACTAAGTAAAGTTTGGTTGAGAATCCAGTACATGATGTAGTTGGCTGTTAACCAATCCTTATGCAGTCCGCCACAATACATTATATCGTTCCTACATGCCAAAAGTGACACACATGCATAAATAAAGGAAAGGTTTACAAGAAAATTATTTTTTAAAAAATAGAAAAGAGCAAAAGAAATTTTCTCTGTGTCCACAAACTGATCAGTGGATGAAAATTATATAAAATTATAAATGGCCAAAACCCCTCTCCTAATTACAAAAAATTAAGAAACAAAATAGCTGATGCCACTAGAAAAGTAGGGAAAAAAAAAATATATATAAAAGAGTCATTTTAAAGGGCTTAAAATGTTCATGAATGGGTTCTTTTCCTCTTTAAGTATATCCACCATGTATGCAATCCACGAAGCCACCAAATTTGATATGATCCATAAGCATGTTTAAAGACAAGCAAAGATAGCTTTCTGTTGCATTTGAAAGAAATTAGGTAAAGTTATATATATGTAATGAGGACCATTTGCTTAAAAGTTCCATTTTCTTTAGCTTTCTATGGATTTCTTGGTAGCTAAGGACTCCAAAGATTATACTTTATATACCTTCTGCTCCTTTTTCGGGTGCATTTCTAATGCTTTGAGTTCCATTATTTCTGTAAAATAAAATCTTTGAAAACCAATAATTATTTCCTTTTTCAAATAAAATCTATCAAAAAGAGATCTTTCTCTAATTTACGTATATTAATCTATTTAATGATTGATTTGATAATATCAATCAAGTTACTTTAAAATAAAAGTTAAGAGTTTGAACAATGAAAATAATATTTTTGTAAAATCGAAGAAAAACGTGTAAATCGATTTTTTCTAGAGCGCGCAAATGTGAAATGCTTTCCGTGCTTGCCATTGGATCACACTTCAATTTAAGCCTTGAAAAATTTTGTTCAATATATTATAATGAGAGAGCTACATTCATAACTGTGTGGTTCTTTTAATCATAAATTTCCTAGTTATAATAACCTGAAATCATGTTGTGACAACGAAAAAATAATGGGATAAAGTGAGTCCAGAAATAATGCAATTTCAACAAAATGAAAGGAAAATCAAAATTGGAGGGAAGAATAAGAATGGGTTGAAGAATATAAATATATTTATAAAAAATAAAAAATGTAGGTTAAAAAGAAAAATGAAGGGGTTATGCGTTTTTGTGGGTCTACTAAAAACATGGCGTCACAAGCAAAAGGATCCAATCTCAGTCGTGAAAAGCCAGTCATCATCTACCTTAGACCCCACACTCATATCCACATATCCACCCTCTCCCAACCTTTTGCACACATATATATATTTATACACCAGTCTTAATTAAGCTACATTACAGGAAAATTGACCTGCTCATTCTTTGGATATGGATAATAGACTAGGGCAACAACCCCTCAATCATACACACGACGTACTATCTATTATTAGAACATCTCTTTCATTTTTTTCCCCTAAGGAAGGTAAATTAATAGCAACAGAGTGCTATATACACACACGCGCATACATTTATCGTCATGCTCAAACGAAAATAATAACAACTTCAGGTTTCAAATAAATTATCTTACAAGTAAAATTCACCTGAATAGAATTAACTTTTGCTAATATAATCGTCTCATATATTTGTGTTTTACGTTCCAATTTTATGCATGATGAATTATATTGGCATAAATGGACATGTGTATAAATTTAAATGATACAAAGATGAAACTATCAAATACAAGTTATGTGACTTCCACGACTTGTAATCGACGAACATATATATGTTGTTTATTTAGAAAAACGTGTACACTTGTATATGCACATAAATGTAATATGGAAATCAAACATAGCCTCATTGTTTTTTTTTTTTTTTTTTAAATTAATTTATTAGAATTAAAACCATAATTGTGGTTAGAAAATAATCGTGACATCCTGATAGTTATAGATGGGGTGAAAGTGGTACAATTCAGAATCCACATATATGAAAAGAAATTGTGAATCTCTTCAGTCAATGGCTATCCATATCATCCACCTCACCAATTGTCCCTTTCTTTTCAATGCAAATCCTTCCCATAAATTGCTTTTGGTTGCACAGTAAAAACTGAAAACCCATGTTTGATTACTGTGCACTATGTCCATATTTCTTTATATGTGCTCAATATATATATATATACAAAGTACTTTTATATGTATACAAAGCACTTAATGAGAAGTTTACCAGACGAAGAAACAATAAGATAAGGACTTGTTTGAACCATTGAAAGAGTCCATAAAGTGGGCTTTCAATTAACACCACTAGAGTTCCTATGTGCTTATCCATTTGATTTCTTTTGTTTTAAACCACCTCTATCTGGACTTTATTATCAAGAACCGGCTAATTCGACTCAGGGTTTAATCACAATTACGGCTATTCGCTCCTCTCTGTAGATATGTTAAGTGAGGATCGAATCCGAAAGCTTTTTCCATATGTCTAGCTTACGTTGCCAACTGAACCTCAGCTCATAGGTTGATTTGATTTCATTTTTAAATAGCAGCAGAATCCTATTTCAAAAACATGGAAACCCCTCATTTGATTTCATCTTTCTGTTATATATATCTCATGAATTATTACATATACACATCAAGTTATAGTGTAGTGGCAAGTGTATATATGACCAGATAACAAATTCAGGTTTGATTTCCCTTACCCCGATAAAAGAAAAATGAATTATTAAAAATCATCCAAAGTTTATTTTTCCTTTTTTTTTTCTTGTAATTAATATTTTAAACATTTTTTCTCTGTTTTAATTAAGACTTCCTTAATTGAATTGATATCGAGATTAACTTTTTGGGAATAATTGGTGGGACATTCATGTCATTTAAATGGACAACAAAGGAAAAGTGCGATTGATACTATCAAGCTACCTAAAATTTAAAAGAATATTCAATGGAATCATGGTATTTTATATGATATATTTAATTTTATAGTCATCATATTTATTATTGATGACTCAATCTCAGCTGTATATAGTTTTGGTTGGCCGAATAGAAAATCATAATGTTTAGGATTTCAGGTTTTCAACCGCCCGAATTTTTAATTTTCAGGATTTTAATTGTCTGAAAAATGCAGTTTATTTTTATTATCCAATCGTTTGTTGGTAAATTATAAAAAATTTATCAAATTTGTTCATTTCGGGTAAAAAAAAGAAAACTTTTAGTACAAAAAATCAACCTTAAAAAGCAACTTTGAAAAGGGCCAAATTTAGGCGTATGTCCTCTCGAACAGGTAGCATATAAACAATGAAAAGGAGGGGATGTTTTTATCTTTCTTTCTTTAAATTTTCATCTTTGCTAATGATGATTTGTGTCTGATATTTTTCTGATCTTTTTCATGATAATGTTTGATTTCCCAGAATCCAGGTCTTTCACGTTTAGAGATTCTCTTTATTTTATACTATAAAGGAAAAAAAAAAAAAAAAGAGAAAAAGACGTTGTCCAATACTCAAATTCCACACAGACATATATCCTTTCAATCACTTTTAGTTGTCTGATTTTTGTGGCTCTTGATTACTTTCTCAGCTGCATGCAATTAATATTCAACAAATTGAAATCAAAAGGCCTATCTTTTAGTTGATGTTTTTTTGACCTGAAAATAAATAAAAAAAAAAATTAAAAACTGGGATATCAACAGGAGAGGAGATTACATTGAATTGGAGAAAGGGAACAAGAAGAATTTATTTATTTATTTATTTATTTATTTTTTGATAGAAAACTATGGGAAGGGAAGACAAGTCCTAATGTCCTATCCTGTACATGCAATTAGGTAACATGAGAAGAATAAGGGCGGCCGGCTCCCTTAATTCATGATTTCTTTTTTATTATTACATTCTTAATCATTTTCTTACCAAACTCATGCTCTTTTTGACTTCTTAATTTTTCTATAATTAATGATTTAAATGAAATAAATGTCTGCATGGTGACATGTTTCACATATCCATCCATTTAATTATTACACTATTGTACATGCTTGTTTCTTTTTTTTTTCCCTTTGAATATTCTTTTATAACACTAAATACATTCTGATGGGTAATTACATTTTACATTTTACATTTTAGCTTAGTTATTCGTACACACTTGTAACTTAGAGCTATTGTTGGTAACGTTTTAAATTTGAAATTTCATAATTTCAAACTTGGTACTGATTCTTTCTAAGTTAAATTTATTTATTAAGATGGAAATAACATATTATATATTTCTTTTTTTAAAAAGAAAATAAGACGGGAGGTATTTTGCTAAAATGTTAGTACAAGAGGTCAAAAATCTGTGTGGTGGAAACTTGAACCTCGTGACGAAACTCTCATCTCTCAAGTCTCACAAGTGATAAGGCAGCCATCCACGAATCTCGGCTTAGACCATTGAAACCAAGTAAATACCTGGTGTCGGTATGGCCTGAACATTGAAATTCCTTTAGTAGTATCTTTCAAGAGCAACAACATTTATATTCTTTGATTGCAAGAAATTTGACATTTTTTGACCAAAACAGAAAACTATGTCGCCTGCCTTTACATTACCATATCTACAAATCAAACAGTGGGGGCAGTTGGGCAACCTAACTTTGTAGTCACTTGTAGAGAAATTCAAAAAAAAAAAAAAAAAAAAAAATAGACCCATTGAAACCAAGTAAATACCCCTGGTTGGTACGGTATGGCCTGAACATCTGAAAATTCGCTTTAGTAGTCATCTTTCAGAGAAGCAACAACATCTTATGATTCTTCTGATTGCAAAGAAAGTTTGACAATTTTTGAGCCAAACGAACAGAAAACCTCATGTCGGGCCTGCCTTTAACAATATACCGAATATCTTAACACGAATATCCAACAAAGTCGGGGGCAGCTTTTGGGCAACCTGAGCACCTAACTTTGCTAGTCACTTGTAGAAGAAATTCGAAAAAAAAAAAAAAAAAAAAAAAAAAAAAGCCTTGGCAAGCGCACATAACGAAATGGCAGACAAGTTTAAATGTTAATTAATGGGCCAGGCTAGGCTCGGCTCTTGGGCAACCCCAGCCCAAAATAAGGACAAAGAAAACCCGTATCTTTAGGTACTCAAGAAACCTTGTACCGTTCATCGTTATCGGTTTTGGTTATTGTTATCAATTTAAGAGTTTCAACCACAAATGAAAAAGATCCTCTTATTCGAACTTCAATGGGTGGAAGGAAACCATCAAAAAGCATAAAATGATACTGCCTCAATATCAATGTTTCTCTTTTTTGGGGCTCTGAAGCCAGCAACGGGGCAGAGATACGTAAAAATATACTGTTACCTCATCAATTGTCTTTTGTGGCTGGAAACCACAAGGCCGCAGAGAACCTACAATCGAACCTGTGGGGAGCTGGCTATTTTTCAGCTTATGAGACACGCAATTTCCAACAAATAAATCGAATACATAACATGCAATAACTCACGCATGGACCAAATCATACAGTTTTTCCATCCAGCGCAATAAGTACAGACAATTACAAGGGACGAAAGATAGCGTGTATCTTATTTTTTCAGGGCAACACAAAATTGTAAGCCGATCCTCTGCCTGTTCGAACTCATAACACTTATCCTTGTGGTGAGTAATGTCTTTCCACCTAACACCTGCCTGGCGGCAACCATCTCGCTCGCAAGTAACAACACGAACTATACACTTTAAACAAAAATCATATCGTTACAGGCAGCGGCCTGATAAGTTACAATCATACATCTTCTCAAACGTCTAAGGTAGCTGAAAGCAGTTGAAGCATTTTTTCCCAAGCACCCTTCGTTTCTTTGTTTCAATGGAAATTAGAACACTTTGAAATGATAAAGTAAGCGGCCACTATGCAATAAAATAGAATTGGTAAGATCATTCCTAGCGACCCAACCATAGTGAAATTATTCTATGATAATGGAGAGGAATCAAACGTAACTTTTTTTATTTTTTATTTTGTCTCTCTTTTTTTTTTTTTATATTATTTTTTGTTCCTGTTTTGTTTTTCTTTAAGCTCAGTCTCGATCACAGCCTCTTTCTCTTTTGTTCCAATATTTTTCTTTGCCGTCTTCAGAAAAGGCCTCATGACTGGAAAATTAGGAAATCCTTATTCGAGTTGCTGTTACAAGAACATGATTCTTTCCACAAACTTTAAACCTAAAAGAAACAGGCACACCGAGCCAAAAACCAAGCATACCTTGAGGAGTACGAAATAGTATCGCCTGCGCTGGGAATCGCCAAGAATGCAGCTTCTTCTTCCAGCTCATGTTGAGTGGATGAATTTTGGCAATAACCTCGTCATGGCACTCTCTCCATATTTGGATACTCTGAATCTCTGCCACTACCAGCGACTAGCACACAGTTTTAACCCGTACTGCCAGAGAGTCTTCTGGCTGGGTAAACCGTTTAGCGGTTCGAGCCTTACTTTTTAGAGGGTAAGCTAGAGTATTATGTAATGTTTTGCATTATTTTTTTCCTACGGCAGCATTTGGGAGGAGCCCGTATTGCTTTCAATGTGATTGTAGAAGCATACTTCATAATGAGGGGCGGTTTGCAAGCGAGCTATTCAATTTCATCATTAGCCTGTATTCGCAGTTTACCAGAAACACGTGTTACAAACTTTATGCGACGCACTTGTCCAGCAACAGCGCACAAAGCAATTAGGGTGAAAAACAAAGCTTTTTCATCGTCATTACTGTCTAGTTTAGATAGGAAACTTGATCAACATAGAACAATACAGCTGGACCTAAATAAACTACGAATGTTCACATGTACTCATTCCTGCTGATCCGGAAATTTGCCAGTAGCTGGGCATTCACAAAGACTTGCAAGGCCCTCCGAAACCAAAGATTCTCGGTCACGCTTCTTCGTCCGAAAAAGGCTCCTATAATCTTCTTCTGACTTCCAGCTAAAACCTTTTTCCTTCATGCAATCTCTCAAGCTGGATGATTCGGTCCACATGGACACATGTGAACGTCCCATAACACTGTGTGGGTTTATCAGAACTTTCGCTACAACAGGCTTCCAGCACAATAATCCTTTGATTGATGCAACGCAGAAGCCAGAAAAATTAAATTCCACCCGCTCGCTCTTGCATTCGGCTGGACTCTCTTCGGCATCGAACTTGCAGTTGAAAACAAAGCTTTTATCAGTCCACTTATGTCTAGTTAAGAATAGGAAACTTGATACCTAGACATAAGTGGACTAATAAATAAGAATGTTCATGATCATTCCTTGATGGAATTTGCATACTGCATTCACAAAATTGAAGGCCTCCGAAAACAAAATTGTACCTTCTCGTCCAAAAAGGCTCTAATTTTTGACTCAGTAACTTCTTCATCATCTTCAGCTGATATTGGTCCACATGGAAATGTGAAGTCATACTTTGGTTTATCAGATTCTACAAGGCTTCCAGCAATATCTTTGATTGATTGACCAGAAGAGAAATTAATTCCACCTCTCCTTGATGCTGGACTTTCGTCGAACTTGCATGGCCAGTCATCCATGGGTTCACACATAGGATTGAAGCTCTGATTAAAATAAACAAATTTTCCTATTATTATTGAAGGAAAATTTCAAAGTACAAAAATATGAACTGTGTGATAAAACCAAAAAGAGCGCATCACCTTATTTAGATCAGCAGATACAAAGACAGACTTGAACTTAGCCGATGCACTTATCGCAAAATCATCTTTATCATCTATTTGACACATATCGTCATCAAAATTGACTTCACCCCAATAGGATCCTGATTCTGGTATATGCTCGGGACATACAGTCGAATACCTTATGCTGCCCATTTCACAAACATCCTTCAAGCCTGCACAGGCTGACCTTCTAATCACGGGGTTTATACTGCACCATAAATACATGTTCAATTGTCAACATAGTAGAGAACACAACTGACGAAAAAGTACAAAATTAAATTACTGACGAGTTTTTAAGATTCATCCCAGCAGCTGCCATCAGATTCCCGGATTCCTGAAAATAACAAAGATCCAATGAATGACAGATGCTAAGTAAAAAAAAAGAAAGAGTATAGAAGTCAATATCTAAGCATATTTACCCTAACTGAATTGCGGAATACTAAATGAGGTTCATGATACTCCCCAGTGACAAATGGATGCTGCACAATTTAGAGAACAATACAACCAAGTCAAAAGTCTTCTTCATTTAAATAAGTACAACCTCAAAGTAATCTTCACTTTCATCTTGCAAAATACATGATGCTAGCATGTATTCCAAGTATGTAAATTAATGTATCCAAGCAGCTTATGGAACAAAAGATTTGATAAGCAAATTAAACTTCACAAAAGAATTACCTGCAACAAGTCTGATGCTGTAGACCTTAAGTTTGGCTCCCTGCCGCCATGCCAAGAGTCATAATGAGATTATGATAAAGAAAAATTGACTAAAAGAAAATGTAAATATTTCATTTCAAAATTCATAAATGATTAATGCATAATATAATTTCCACCTAAAATTTTATAGTAATCCAACTAAAATCAACAAATTGATGGCCTCTTTCAAAAGAAATGAAATAGGAAAACATAGGAAGACAAAAAATAAATAGAAATTTTGACTTACTTCTGCAAACATTTCAGTAGAAAGTCCTTTGCCTCAATGGAGAGGTGGTCAGGAATAGGAGGATGAGATTTGGTAGTTCCAATATGGAAGAGGGCAGCAACCTGAAAAGATAACCCTTCTTAGATTGCAAAAGTAATAGAAAAACAGCATGTGAACTTCAGCATTATAATTACTTCTTAAATATGAAGCCAATACAATGGATAAAAAAATACAGCAAATGTCATCAAATGGGTACCTCTTGATATTGCTGGCTCCATGGAGGTTTTCCTGTGGCCATCTCAATCACGGTACATCCAACACTCCATATATCAGCAGAGCTAAGAAATTGAATATCAAAACTAATAAGCTTTGAGAATGAAAAGCTGTGCCCAGCCATGAATTGCATAGGTGCATAACATAATAAATAAATTTCATTCACTGAAAATTCTTATACTATTCAAACTACAACATTTGACCTCAACACCAATGGACTATCTTGTGATTCATTATTCCATTTTTTTAAACCAAGCAATTAATTATTTCAACATTTATTTTAATTCACAATTACCTCTGATGGACTCTATATCCATTTTAAGGGAACTATTTAGCAGAAGCTTGTCACAACATTGACTATAATTTGGAAAAAGAGTAGCAAAATATTGACTAGAGTAGCTTCTAGAACTAAAGATATGAATTATCTGATATCAATACAAGAGTGAGAGTTGCTAGTCTACTAACATTGACTGCAGTAGCTTCTAGTATTGTAGTTGTGGTCTAAATTAAAAGCTCAAAATAATGAATATCATTATATGTCTGCCTCATGACAATTACAGGATATCAACTTAAAGGAAAAGGAAATAAATGCTCTTACAAGCTATGCCCAGTCTGGAGAATAACTTCAGGAGCCATCCAGTATGGAGTACCCTTCATTGACTTGGCACCATTTATAGTAGCCTGTAGAACATAGTAACCTCAGTGATGATGCCCACCAAAACTCTCCAGACAATACCACAATCTGAAAATAAGAAAAAGTGATATGGATACCAGTTCGACTACTTTCTTGGATGCTCCAAAGTCGGCGAGTTTAATGCACCCCTTGTTATCAACCAGAATGTTTGCCCCCTGAAGTGTTGTCAAATAGTAGATGAGAGAAAGAAAGGAATCTCCTAAATATAGTGTGCATAAGGAACAAAGCAATACCTTTATATCCCTGTGCATGATACCATTCTTATGAAGGTATTCCAGCCCCAATAAAAGCTGTTTTGTATACATTCTTAGAACCTGCTTGTTCAACAATATTAGAAATGCCAGCTCTCACCAGCATCTGAAATACCTACATTCATAAATTTCAAAGCTACTAATCAACTTACAGACTCAGGGAAGGATCCAAATTTGCCCAAAAGTGATGATATGGATCCACCCGGAACAAATTCCAGCAGAATGTTCAACGAGTCATCCTCTCTAGCAGTTCCCAAATATCTCTAAAAAACAAGGGGAGCAAAATAATTTAACAAGCAATAACCAATCAAATCACTGGAACTATAAACTCAAATATCATACTCACAACAATATTTGGATGTGAAAGATTCTTGAGAAGCTTCACTTCTTCCTCAAGCTCCCTTATGTGAGCCTGTTCCAAATTCAAAAAAAAGATAGGCAAAATCCATGAGAACACTTGCTTCAAGAGTTCAAGTAAAAATTATGTAATTTCCAATCATAAACACGTCTATTCAATTAACTAAGCTGCCGCTTCAGTTAGTGTTCCCAATTGTAAAGCAAAGGCTAGTTTTTTATACCAAATTTATATCCACAATAACTAAATTAAAAATTCAATCTTTACCTGCGTTTTCTCCTTTGAAGCACTGTTGGCCGCTATCAAAACCTATGCAACCAAAATTGAAACACAATTAACATCAAATCATATAAAAAAAGCAAAAAAGAGATTTTATGTTTTTCGACTAACTTGTTTAACAGCGAGAAGCTCTCCAGAATCAAGATTCATTCCCATATAAACACGACCAAACGCACCGCATCCAATTAACTCTCCTTTTCGCCATCGGATCGGAGGCGTATCGTCCTTTTTACAAGGAGGAAGCGCTGGCAGTGGCGGCGGCGGTTTAGAGAATATTCGAGATTTCCGAATACTGGAACCGATCTTCTCTACTATGCCGCTGAATCCTCCATCTTCACCAGAAGTGGATTTTAACACCAAGGATCGGCGAACCGATCCAAAAAGGTCTTGCATTTGGTGGAATGCTTGTCCTTAGGGTTTTGGTTTTGGAAATGGAGAAGTGTGTTGGTTAGTTTGAAAGAGAAGGCAGAGAAAAAAGAGACGTTGGAGAGAGGGCAGCTGTGAGTGAAATTTTGAAGGGAGGGAAAAGGGGAGGTGTGGGATCTATTTTCAAAATTAAAGAAATGAAATAAAATGATTGGTGCGTTCTTTGCGTTTTGTGTCTCCTCTCTTGTAATTTTCGCATATTTATTTGTATGACTATAATTTTTGTTTTATTTTGCATATTTGTCCTCGAATGTTAAAATATGTGAATTGAAATATAAAAATGAAATTTCATTTCAAGTCTAAGATTTGTATATATTTACCATTGTGATATTCATGAAACAATTTATGTGCATCTAAATTTTTTATTTTTATAAAAGAGCACCAAACGCCGTCAACTGACCGTTCACCCTAATCCATACCGTTTAAGACAATGAGAAAGAAGCAATTTTACGTTTCCGGTTCCCAAAAAGATACATCAATAACAATTTGTATGCATGTACATCCACATCACTTTCAGTTCCTTCAGCTAATACAGTGCACGGTAATAGTAGTATTTTTAACCAGGACTCCTAACTTGGACAGATATTTTAGCATCCTCTCCAACCTTATAACTTGCCTCTTGCTTGCTTATATATTTGTTACTTTCTGGATATTTGGAATTGGAAGACATACTTCGATATTTGCTTTGAAAAAAGAAATGGCTTTTGATATGGAGTCCTTGTCAGAGGCAACATCAGGAGCCATTGGTTCTCTGGTTAGTACCACCATCCTCTACCCTCTTGATACCTGCAAAACAAAGTATCAAGCTGAACTTAAAGCCACTGACCGTCAACAAAAGTACAGGTAATTTTTTTTTTTTTGGGGTCCTACTTCTGAACTCTAATGTCCTACTCGATTGGTGTCTGTCTTTCTAGTTCCCGTATATCTGCGTGGTGTGTTGGTTCTGTTGGTATGGTTTATTATACTCTAATTTCGTGCTCGGCTGTAAATTTGAAGATTATCAACTATGTATTTATGGCACGACTCATGTGCTGCTGCTGTGCAGTATAATTTGTTTTGTTTATGAATTAATCAGCTCAGTTATGTTGACTGATAGTGTATTGATTTTCATTAGAGGTAAAGGGTTTTTATTTGCTAATTCCTCTTAGCTTATTGAAGAATTATAGGGGCAATACCTTCATTATGTTCATAAAAGAAACAATTGAGATGTTATACTTGCATCGTGGAATTTAGTGTAAGATATGGGGATTCTTGGATTCATTTTTTCCTTGCAAGTGGCTTTTGGAATCAAAAAAGAAAAAAAAAAAGAATTTAGTTGCTTGATTGAGGCTTTGTTTAGGGAAGATTGCAAATAACGAATGGCTGTGACTTATGCAGGAATATTTCTGATGTTTTTTGGGAGGCAATTTCTTCTGGTCAGGTTCTTTCACTGTACCAGGGCCTTGGAACGAAGAATTTGCAGGCTTTTATTTCACAGTTTGTGTATTTCTATGGGTACAGCTTCTTTAAGCGGTTGTACTTGAAGAAAAGTGGGAATAAAAGGATTGGCACAAAGGCAAACTTGATAATTGCTGCAGCTGCTGGGGCTTGTACTGTCGTAGTCACACAGGTGAATCAAATGTTGATGTGTCTTCTATTTTATGCTTTATGAGGACATATTTAAGATTAGACTACTTTTATACTGGGGTTTCTTTTGTATCACATGATGTCTTAATTTTGTTGGTTGAGAAATAAGAAGGAAGTGCAATTTTTCTCTAGAGAATGATCATTGATAATGTAGGTAATCACTTTTAGAGTCGCCTAATTCATTGCAGCTTTTGGTTGCTGTTTGAATTCTAATACAAGGCACCCTAATCCCTGTTTTTGTTTTACAGCCTTTGGATACAGCATCCTCAAGAATGCAAACCAGTGCTTTTGGGAAGTCCAAAGGAATCTGGAAAACCCTTTATGAGGAAACATGGAGTGAGGCATTTGATGGTCTTGGCATATCTCTTCTTCTGACATCAAACCCATCCATTCAGGTATCTTCTTGACTATATATGCATATTTTGAGAAGGAAAAGCAGGTTTTGAATCCATATCCATAGTTGGGAGGGTGTGTATCTCTGGAATAGGTATTTTTTGGATGAGGAAAATGAAAGACTGAGATTTTACCATCTGATTGATTCTGATGGATTTGGATTGTACTTTCATTTTTTATCAAATTTCAGGAAAGACTATTAGATTTTTAGGCGACTCCGGCTAGGAGTGATTTGAATTTTGAGAATTTACCAAAAAACAAGCTGAAGTAGACTTCTATGTTTTACAGTACACAGTATTTGATCAGTTGAAACAAAGACTTTTGACGAAGCAGCTCAACAGAAGATCTGATATAGATTCATCCCCGCAGGCTCTTTCTGCCTTTTCCGCTTTTATTCTGGGTGCAGTTTCAAAGTGTATTGCTACTTGCATTACGTACCCAGCTATCAGGTGCATAGTCAATTCATCCCTTTATCATTTCTCATTGTTCTTTTAATATGTTATACTATCCATCTTCTGATGCAATGTTAAGTGAAATGGATGTGAAAGTATGAAATCCCTCTCATTCAAGGCATCATCCAACCCTGAACTATAGAAGTTTCGAACATTTGGCAGGTGTAAAGTGATGATTCAAGCTGCAGATTCAGAGGAAAATGGACTTCGGGACGTTCAACTAAAAACCAGAAAGACAATTTTGGGTGCAATATATGCAATTTGGAAAAGGGAAGGCTTGTTGGGTTTCTTCAAAGGGTTGCCAGCCCAGAACTTGAAGACAGTGCTAAGCGGAGCTTTGCTTCTCATGATAAAAGAGAAAATTGCAAAGACGACATGGGTCATAATACTTGCACTTAGAAGGTATATGTTCGTCACACCCTCCAGAATCAAGAGTGTGTGATTGCAGTGAGAATTAATACATGGAGCTCCTGTCAAGAAAGAGGCTCCACTACATATGGCCATTTGTTGGAGGAAATATTCTTTTAGATGCAATAAAATGCAGCAGCTATTGGATTACTGGAAACCAAGTTTGTTTCCAAGTGAGGTTATTGAGCACACCCAGTTTGCAGCAAAGAAGGGATTTTTAAAATTCTTAATACTCCTGTTCAAATCAATATTTTACAATGGAATAATTTTGTAATGACCCCGAAGTGAAAATATCATTGATTCTTTCCATTGGCCAAACTTTGTCTTAATCTTGACTTTGGACTTGACATAATTTGAGATGACCAGCTAAATTTTGACACGTGATCGCTTTACTTTGCTGATAAAGATAGACAGTGATAGGGAATATGGAATAACCTTTGGCTCTTGGTTAGGCCTAAAAGGTGTAAATTTGGATCAATAAAATAAACTCAGTAGAGCTGGAAAGGAACCAGAAATGTATGAAGCACATTTATTATGAAGATGATATCAAGTGCTTGCTAAACTGGAATTGCATCTGATAAAAGATACAATGCTCTGATCTTTTGTTCATCTTCGTGAGACATAAAAATGATCATTACATAGCAAACAACAGTAATGGAGAAGGCAAGATGATATAGCAGCCCTAGATATCCAGTTATAAAGGAATTTATAATGTTTTACTAAAAGGAAACAGGTGTAATTGGAAAAATTTATCCTTGCCCCACAACTACAAAACGCAAAACATGAATCGGAGACACCCTCTAATCAATTGCCTTCCGCAGCAGAATATTAGTGCAATGAAAGGGTAACCAGCCATTTAGTTTACAAGAAGAAGAGAGAACCCACCGGCAGAACCAATAATTGAGAGAAAAGACCAATCTTGGTTGTCAGGCTGCCTGCACTATCACTATTAGGCGCTGCATTTTCAAAGTTTCCTTCAGGCGTGCTAGTAGTCAGAACAACAACAATCCAGTTACCATCAGAACCAATCCCGACTCCAGTATATTTAGTATCATTGAGATTACCCGAGTACTGAGTCCGTGTGAAGTTAGTAAGTACAAGACTTGGATCCAAGTTGGGAACACAAGCAGGCATTGAAACTCCATCCCTCGTGTTGGAAATATTCAAATGGCATTTGGCCAAAATGCTTTCATAATTAGGGAACTGAGGTTCAGTGCCTGATACTGTGTTGGAGCCTGTGGTGTTTGTACAAGGCTGATCCTTAAATTGATCAGCTAGTTCGTCAGCAAGGCATTCTGCATTGTCATTCTTTGTAAGGGTAGTCAAATTCAAGGATTTCCTGTAACTGTTGATGCCCTCGAGGAGTGTATCCTCCTCTGCAGGTAAATCATGTAGTGGAGATGTTAGTGTTTGTATATCAATTGGTGTTGGAGGGAAAACATTTGACGCAAATGAATTACAATTGAGTAATGTGGTTTTTGCCACTTTAGACTCAGCAAATTTTAGCCACAGAAGAAATAGAGAAATCAATATGACTGAGGGGAAAATGCCACAGACTTCATGGGAGAATTAAGTCAACAATTCTTTTGCATTCTGAACATGCAGCAAAACTAGCTTTTCCGATGGAAAATGTAGGGCACTCAAAAAATTCTTTAGACAACCTTTTTTATGTACGCTAACCAAATTTAGTATGCTAGTTCTTGTACATGTTGTAAGCAGAAATTACATGCACAAAAACAATACCAGCGATGCATTAACAACCAGAACAGTTGTGGTACAAGGAAAAGTAAAAATATCCCTCATTGGAAAAACATAGAATCTATGGATGATTCTTCCCCAACCAAACCTCACGCAACCTCACACTTTCTCCATTTTCCGGTTCCTAGGTAACTTCTAATTCCAGGTTTCTATGCAGCAACCAATTTTTAGGAGCACTCAAGTAAAAGCCATGCCTAGTTAGGTGGTTCTAATTCCAAGTTTATAAGCAGCAATCCCAATGTTTAAGAGCACTCAAGTCGAAGCCACAAAACAACATTTATAAAAATATCAACAAAAACATTATGATCTACGGGTGATATTTCCGATTGTTTTATTGATGTATCTTGGATTGGCTATGATTAGATATTGACTCAATAGCCTTTCAGTAATAAAAATTTAAACTAAAGTACTTGCATAATATGCCCTCAAATCTCTTGTTTTAGTAAGCTTATATCTACACAGAATCAATCATACAACATAACTACACCAATTACAAAAAAACCTGCAAATATAGTTTAAGCAAAATCACACACGCACACACACAACAAGAATCAGCGATCAGATCTCAATAAACTCGAGATTTGAAGATAGTGCACGAAAAGAACAGGCGGAAACTAAAGAAACAAAAAGAAAGTACAGGTTTCTTGAAAAGTGTTATAAAGAAAACTGCGAAACAAACTATAATGTTGAAATGCTTACCATCGCATTTGACTTGCTGATTGATAAAAAGAAAGGAGAAGAGAAAGAATAGGAGGAGCAGACAGAGTCTTGAAGATGCCATTGCTAATGAATCAAGAAGTTACAGAGAGTCGGTGATGGGTCTTAAAAACTTGAAGAGGAAGTAGGAATGCAATAGCTTTCTTCCTATAAAAGAGTTTTACTGTGCAGATACCTCCATTTCTTTATCCTGACGCATTTTCCAACTCAATTCCACGACGTCGTTTCGCATTCTCTTACAAGAATCAACACCACGACTTGTCAGTCCCTGTCACGTTCCACTCGTTTTCGTCCACGGCGTCAGACGGTCAACTAACTACCAGCCAGACGCCATCGATAAACATCCGTTAAGTTGCTGGAGCAAATATTTTGGGCATCGAAACAGTCAGCGATAAACGTCCGTTAAGTCGCTGGAGCGAAGATTTTGGGCCTTGAAACAGTTTGTTTGGATGTAGCAGTCACAGGTCACAATGATAATATGTTTATACATACATTAATAGGACTTTTCCTTTTTTAGAATATCACGACATTAATACTTTTTACCGTTTTCCTTTCTTAGAATATCACGACATTTATATTTTTACTGTTATGAAACCCACTAGGCGTCCTACATCAGGCTCGTTAACTTTAATTTTAATATTATACAATTAATTAATTTAAGCAAAAGCTATTTTGCATCCATACCTTCAGAGACATTCCTGTCTTCTATCATAATCAACATTGATTTTCATTGGTAAAACAAAAAAATAAAAAACCCTGATTTTAGAACCTCTGGTTCAAAAGACAAATTGAAGAATAGTATTCCTTAAATTTTAGAAAAACTTCAATAATATCGGAAAAAAATTCTTCCTAATATCGATAATAATGCCTGCAAAATTTCTCAGTCTAACTTTCTCAGGTACAAAAAAATCAAGATAACTAAAGCAACACAGACAATAGCATCTAATTCATTCTCCTAATGAGCTCATTGATATAATTCTCACGACTTCCAGCATCACCACCCTCCACATAATGGTTTCTTTTCTTCTTCAAACCTCCAGAAGGAGCACTCAGCTTAAACGGCCAGAGAAAATTATTTGCCTCCTTAAAATGAGGTCCCACAGTCATTATCTCATGAATCAAATCTTCCACACAAATAATTCCGTAGCTTCCGAGAGTCTGCAGTTATAGATGAGATAATACATCAACAAGATGGCCAACTTCAAAAGGAGATGTAAACCAAGTGATGAAATTTTATGCTACCTGTTCAATGATTGAATTATCAGTCAGTGCAATCCTCTGCTTGTTCACCTTCCCATAACCCCTCTTGTAGATCAACTCTCTCACACTTTTAAGATTAGGATATCTACAAAATACACCAAATTGATATAATCAAAATTGTGAAGAAATGGAATTATTCAGTCAGTAATGTATCTATAGAAAGAATTCTTCATCCATGAATAAATCACCATGTTTACCAGTTCAATATACTTTTTACACATACAACTTCACTAGGCTTTAAGCTGTATGACCTAGGATGGCAACTGATAAGAACCTCCAGAGCATGTACATTTTCTTTTAAAAGATGATATTGATCAATGTGTCTTACCCATAAGTCACATATGGTTCAACCCTATGCAGCATGTTCACGGTTGCTTTGTTCACTTTCAAAAACACGCCATTAAAAATCTGTAAAGGAAAATTTAGCAGTTAAATGCACTTCCAAACATTTGGGGGTTCAATATAAAATGTCCAAATGCATATATACCTGCCTCAGACGCAGAAGTTGCAAAATTTTTCTTGTCATTGGATTCATAGCATTGATACTGTCAAGAAGCAAAAATGATTTCAGGAAAAAAAAGGATATCATCAATTAACAGAGAGGAAAAAATTGCAAAAAACTGCATGTTTCAAATGCAAATACTATTATATTAAGCTTACCCACGGATACGGATGATGAAGAGCAGTTTGGCCTCTGGTTCAACATAAAACCCTCCTTTCAGTTTGGCCTCTCTTTTCAATGCTATCAATTCTCTTTCCTGTAATAAATAATCAGAATAAAATACATCATCAATAACATATGGACTAAAAGATGACATTTCAATCACAAGACAGTAAACAACGAAACTACTTTAGTTTCGCATGAATTTTTGTTTCATACCTGTTCTCTATATTCATTAACATATTTCTCAGCCCTCTTGTAGATAACCACTCTATTTTCAGCATTTTTTTGCTTCCTCAATTTGAGCTCTTGGCTCTTTGCCAAAGCCCATTCATCGCTTCTCTTCCTTTTCTTTAAGACAGATTCAGGGATAAAAGCTGCTGCCTTAGTTTCTTCAACCATTTCTGATCACAACCAGTCACAATAATCCCCAAGGTGACAGTTAAAATCCAGATAACCAGATTCTAGAACAGTTCAAACACTGACATAAAAATTAAGAAATACAGAAAACTAAGATCATAGCGACAGTTAAAAGGAAACCCTCTTCTGGCCTTCCAAATAGAAGCATGACCATCAAGTCATAAAATTGGATGAAGCCATAGATAGTGCAGTCTTCCTCACTGAGAAATGTGGAAATGGAAGCTCCCAAATACATAAGAACGATATATCTATGTTGGTCACAATGTCAAGATTAAGCCTCTGATATGCTAAATTAACCGACAAGATGAATAGAATAACCATCTCATTTAATCCGCAATTTCTAATCAAGATTCAAATTTGTTGTATCCCAAAACGACTAAATCAAACAAACACCAGAATCCAACCACTGCCTCTTGAACTAAAAATTATTCCAAGAAGAAAAAGATAAATCTAGAAGAAAACAATGCATAGCATAGGGCTAAAGGGAAACGTACGTAAAAAATCTTTTTCTGGATTAATAATCACAGCATAAATAACATTAGACCAGCATGCAAGTGTGACCGTAATAGCAAACAATTCAAGGTGCATAATTTCACAAAATCACTGCAATTTGAAAAATACAAAACGAAACACAAACAAACGCAGAACAAACTTGGATGAATAAATTCACAAAACAAATTTACATCGAAACGAAGATCAAGATTAGGTGAAGAGCACGTACTGACTACAGGAATCCAACCAGTCCTTGAGACGCAATCGAACAGCAGCAGCTGAGAAAGAAGGAACAAAGTGCATATAAATAGAATATCAAAATGACATATGAGGAATTTCAATCCCCTTCCAAACGACACCGTTAGTATATTTCGACTTGGTTGTTTGGTCATTTCACTAAAAAAAAAAAACTAGGGTTTGATAGCCGGATCACTTCCGGCATGAAAATTGAACGGTCACGATCAGTTAAAGCGCCGAGCCCAGCATCAAGCACTGGGCCCATGAGTATAACTAGTTATGGGCCAGATTGGATCTGAAATCTGATCCGTCATTTGTTTATAAATTAAAGCCTGCAGCCCATTTGAAAACCAAATCCGCTTGGGTGGATGGGACTATCCCCTTGACTATTCTTAAATTTAAATTCTAACCTTAAATATAAAATTGAAGTAAAATATAGATTAAATTTGCATAAATTTAGTCTACAGGTCTAACTGTGGACAAACCAATTAAAATAGAAAAATTTTAACTTTACATGATTAGATGTGCATTCGTTTTAATAAAAAAATATTTTTTTATTTATTTGATTTATAAATGAATTTATAGAGTGAATCTAAACAAAATCAATATCGTAAAATATAGTTTATTTTTTGGTTTCATCCAGGTTGAAAATTTTCAAATGGCGCACAACGAGCTATGAAACAAATGCTTCCCGTCGAATATTCATGCCATTGTTTGGCGTGTGAATGAAAAATCTTGAAGGAGCAGGAGCAACTCTTAAGAATATTCGTAATTAGTCACAAAGCGTTTGGTCATTTTAGGAAATACATTCTTGCTTCCAAATAGAAACACAAAAAATTGGTGGATGCAATTGAATTTGGATAACGTGGCATCCATCCACCAATAGCATGAATCTCACGTAAACAACTCCCTGTTCCGTAAAAAATTTCGCACTGTTCTTCCTTCATATACAAGATTTTCATTGTTTTATTTTCCAACTCTCTCCTTGAGTTTCCAGGAAAATGGCAGTATCGGCAGATTGCCGGTTCTCCATCTCAGCCGCCGGCCGCCAGCTACATGGTGCAGCAGGATTATTGGCAGGGAGGCACTCAAGACTTGTCAAGTATGGTGATGGAGAGTTAATGGGAAATAAACTGAAGCTAAGCATACTTCATAATCAAAGAACTAGTAGTAATATTAAGACTATAAAGAAACATGTTTCTATGTCTCTTACTACTAGTGTACTTGGCGAGGCCAAGGTTAGAACAGCTCCTTTCTTTCTTGTATAAACATAAATGTATATCAGTTCTTGAATGACCCACAGCTTTTTTTTTCCTGTAGAAATATGTATTTAACAGAATAATATTCAAAATTCATATTTTTTATGAATTTTATCCCATGCACTTTTTTTTTAGAACATGATGTGAGCCGCTAGTTTGATGAAATTGGGTTTTAAATTACACTTTTATGATGTTTTTGCATATGTATATAAGTTGAGGGACCTGGAGATGGAAAAGAGGGATCCAAAGACAGTTGTGGCAATTATTCTAGGAGGAGGAGCCGGTACTCGTCTTTTCCCTCTCACTAAGCGCAGAGCCAAACCTGCTGTAAGTTCTTATCTTATCTTTCATCACATTATTCATGATCATTTTATTTTTACCAAATAGTCTTTTCTAGTTTTTAGTCTTCGAATAGCTGTCTTTTGCATTTTTTGCAGAGAGGTTGTTTGCGGGGCTCATTAAGAAATTCTAAGAATAGAAACCATTTTGTATTTCCACATTTTTATACGGTGGCAAACAAACGTACACTAGTTTAATAAGAGTATAAAAATTGTAGGTGCCAATTGGAGGTGCATACAGGCTTATAGATGTGCCAATGAGCAACTGCATTAACAGTGGAATCAACAAAGTCTACATTCTCACTCAATTTAACTCAGCATCACTTAACAGACATCTCGCTCGTGCTTATAACTTTGGCAATGGAATCAATTTTGGAGATGGCTTTGTTGAGGTAATTACTTATTGACTTCACAAAGGTACACTATCTTTAACGAAAATGGGAGTTCAAGGGTGCTTTTGCTAATTGCTACTGTATATTAGGTTTTGGCAGCCACTCAGACTCCCGGTGAAGAAGGCAAAAGGTGGTTCCAAGGCACTGCTGATGCTGTCAGACAGTTTCATTGGCTCTTTGAGGTAGTATTCTTCAATTATTGAACAATTTAGAACAAGAAACAATCCAAAAGCTATGGTTTTTTGCCTCGCATTTCGATTATATCTAGTAATCCATTATGGAATTTAATGTAACCTAATCAAATGCATTTTTGGTTCAAATATTTATCAGTCTTTATGTTGCAGGATCCAAGAAGTAAGGCAATTGAGGATGTGTTGATTCTATCGGGAGATCACTTGTACAGGATGGACTACATGGACTTTGTGCAGGTTTGAGACCAAATGTCTGCACATTAAACTTAGAATAAATATGGAGATAGTGTTTATAATTCTCTAATTATTGAACTCTTTACTGGCAGAGCCACAGACAGAGTGGTGCAGATATCACTATCTCTTGTTTGCCAATGGATGACAGGTAGTAGGTCATAAATTTTTCTATTTGTCGGACAATATTCTTGAAATTTTGAGAACTTGCTGGGTTTTCATGATAGCCGTGCCTCAGACTTTGGTCTAATGAAGATAGACAATAAAGGAAGAGTTCTTTCATTCAGTGAAAAGCCTAAAGGAGATGATCTAAAGGCAATTGTGAGTTTCTGCTTCGTTTTAAATTTCTATTTTTGAATTGAAAAAATAAACCCAGAATTACTATGCTAAGTTGACTACACACTTTAGGCAGTTGACACCACAGTATTGGGGCTTTCAAAAGAAGAGGCTGTAAAGAAACCATACATTGCTTCAATGGGAGTTTATGTCTTCAAGAAGGAGATACTTCTGAATATTTTAAGGTATTGTTTATCTGTAATGATCTATAATTATGAATTAACACAAACATTAACATCACTAAAAGGACTGGTAATTAATGTTTGATTTAGATGGCGTTTTCCAACTGCTAATGATTTCGGATCAGAGATAATCCCAGCCTCTGCAAAAGAATATTACATTAAGGTCTGCTTTTAACTTTTTATGGCTTCTTTGGAGTTTAAATTGCCTAAAAATGAAATTTAAGAATGGAGTTTCTGAACAGGCTTATCTCTTCAATGATTATTGGGAAGACATAGGAACTATCAGATCCTTCTTTGAGGCAAATCTTGCACTTACTGAGCATGTGAGTAGCAGCATTTTTCTTTTCCATTCATCAGTTCATCTTGATAGGGTACTCAAACTATTGCTTTCAGCCTCCAAGGTTCAGTTTCTACGACGCAGCAAAGCCAACGTACACATCAAGAAGAAACCTACCGCCATCAAAGATTGACAATTGCAAGGTCAGTAATTTTCTTCGTTTGGCTCTTCTCTTGAAGCAATTCTCCATTAGTTGGAATTCAACACCAGGTTTTCTGATTTTCGCTTCTTGTTTCATCTCTGTTGTGCAGCTCGTTGATTCAATCATATCTCATGGAAGTTTCTTAACAAATTCATTCATAGAACACAGCGTTGTCGGTATCAGATCTCGAATAAACTCCAATGTCCACTTAAAGGTCAGTTGGATTTTCTCATTCAGGTTCTCTATAATGAACTTTTTTTGTTTATTTGTAAATTGAGGTTTTGCCTTTATATGGTTAACCAAATGCAGGACACTGTGATGCTTGGTGCTGACTTCTATGAAACTGATGCCGAAATATCAGCACTACTAGCTGGGGGAAGAGTACCTATTGGAATAGGAGAAAATACGAGAATCAGGTAATAAGCTTTAAGTCTTCTTGCCTTGTCTTCTAAAAATGGTTTCTTCTGTCTAATGGCATGCTTCTATCATGTTCTATAGAGAATGCATCATTGATAAGAATGCCAGAATTGGGACAAATGTTGTTATTGCCAACTCAGAGGTATGGTTCTGCAGACCACTTTTTTCAGATAATTTCAGTATCGAACTGAATGGTAAACCGTGTATCTTTCATAAAAATTGAGTTATCTGGGTATTGAACTTGTTAATCTTTAGTCTAATGAGTGGGATTTGCAGGGGATAAAAGAGGCTGATAGATCTTCAGAAGGCTTCTACATTCGATCTGGTGTTACCATTATATTAAAGAACTCAGTTATTGAAGATGGTTTTGTAATATAATTCATCTATCACCCCTTTCATAATCCCCTTTTTTGGTGTTGATCAGGATAATAAGAAAACAAGAAGATAAGAACACAGATTTGAATTCATCATAAATTAAAGGTGATAATAACAGCAGTTTTCATTCTTGAAGCCAATGACGCAAATCAAGATATGATTATCCTGCGAGCACAAAATCCTTCTGCCTGTAGGCGTAAATAACTCCAATCAAAGTAAAGCTATTTTTCATTTAGAAATATTAAAGATGAAAACTTTAGAACCAGGATATCACTTTAAGGAACCCACAAAGTATCAGTTTAATTGAAAGATCAATGTCATTCTCAAAAGAATACAACTTTGATGTCTAAAATACACTCTTTCTTTTTTCGTCAAGAAAAACTGCGACATTCATCGTAGAAATGCAAGCAACAACCTTAGGGGCATTTAAGGCATATCACAAATTTGAAATCCCACGTTTTCCCTTTTTGTCATGGTGGCTGTTGGCTTTGGCTAGCCAAAAGAACACGTTTCACGGCCCAAGCGCCCACCCCAATTTCTCTCTTTTTCTTCCTTTATTTTTTCTTTTTTGCCTTCTTTCTTTCCCAGCTGGCCTTTATGAGATAAATAAATTACATGCAAATCAATTGGCATCACTATATACCTTCCAGCAAGGTTTTCTTCCCCCATTACTTTATATTAAACGTCCTTTCCATTGATTTTCCACTTATTGCAAGAAGTAAATTCCTATTGATGTGTTTCATTCAGATAAAAATAAGAAATTGAAGGATGGATGCAGAAGCAAGCAGCCAGTTAATTTAATGAAATGAATCAACATTATAACTCCAAAACAAGTTCTTCACAGTTAAACATCAGTTCATTTTCATATCTTTGCAAAACAAAGCGCTCTTCTGATATGATAATATTGGTAACATAGCATTTTTCATCCGAAAAAGGTTTTCTACCTGTTCTTCCTGAACGATGAAGATAGTCAACAGCACTTTTTGGCAAATCAAAGTTGTATATGTGAGTGGTTTGTGGAAGGTCAACCCCCCGGGCAGCTATATCTGTTGCTACAAGAACATAGCCTCCTCCCTGCTTCAGTTCCTGTGCACAAATGATAATAATAATAAATAAATAAATAATAATAATAACAACAAAACAAGCAATATAGACTTGGAACAAGAATTTCCCCATACAAATTTGCAATTCATTATTTTTTCTTGGAATTTTATTTGACTGTTTCTTTAATGCCAGGCAGCATGAATGATGGATTACAATGACTAGAAAATTTAGTAAAGATCACATAATTATAGTTACATCAATTCAACAGGTCATTTAGAGACAATAGGAATTAAAAGGACTTCTTTTTTCATTTCATTTGAATCTTAAAATAACATGTTGAATATATCATAATAAACAAAAGCTTTATTAAAGAAATTTAAAATATCAATTCCATATTGATTATATATTATATAATTCTAATTTATATAATTGTTTTTTATAAATTTATAATTAATTTGTAACTATTTTCTAGCATATAAAAGAAGGCAAAAATGCCAACAACCTCCATCCATCGCTCAGACAATTGGGAATTGGAGAGCACTTACTGATAATGAAGCCGCTCGTGAGTTGAAATTCATGTCTTCCTCCAGAAGGAGGAGATCTGAACAGCCGTCATATGAAGATTTCAAGAAATCAATCAAAAGAGTGGTTGGTGGAGCATTTCCAGCCTTCTTTGACTTCTCAGACTGCATAAATAGAAATGCCATTAAATTAAATCATCACAGAAGCTTGTAATCTTCCATAAGGAATATATATAGTCTATCTAATAGGTCATTCCTGATGTTATTAAGATACAATTTAGATATGAAATGCTGCCTGCTATTTTTTTCATGCCATGTGGAAGGCACTATAATTACTTGAATGACATGAGACAAGTTCACAATTTAACCAGAAAATGTCAGTTTTACTGTGGAAAAGGCCAGCATATCACTTCTCATAACTATTATCCGGCAAAGCAAAGTTGCCAAATTACAGAAACTGAAATTCAACAGCAGAAATTCATCCCATTCTCATGATAAAATTCAATCCCTTCACCAATTTTCCAAACTAACATATTGAGTCAGACATGATTATACAAACCTGCTCACCGACAAAAATAATGGCAGACTTTGGCGCATCAGAATGTAATAGAGAAAGCAACATTTGATGCCTCTGGTTTTTACTGCATATCTGTTAAGTAGAGCAGCATTAGCACATTAAAACAAAAATACTGTGAAATATGCTTGCTTTGACTAAACAAGGAAACTATGAAAATTTTCTTACCAAAAACCTATGCAGCAGGCGAGATGGCATGGGCTCAATTGGATTGACATGGACATGAACTACATTACCCTGTAAACCATATGGAAAATGTAAGTGACTTTGGTAGCAACATTGTATCTTCAATCAAGAACCATTTCCAAACAAACCTTGGTCCATTTCTGCTGTATGCAGTCATGCATAAATCGTCTGTGCTGAGGGATGGATGCACTAGCAAAAATAGTCTGTCGGTTCTTGCATGATGAATATGATGTCAAAAGCTTTCGGAGGGAACTGACTTGTTTTGAAGAGTTGAACATGAAATCCACCTAGCCAAAGAATGAAAATAGAATGTCTTTCCTTCAGAACTATTTATCCACAAGGGCTTTTACTCTCAAAACAATTACCTAAGAAATGAACGTGTATGTTAACTATGACGCAGCAGGAAAATGCACTCTAATACAAGCTACAGAGATTATTAATCCCAAAAGTGTCCAGAAAGAAATTTCAAACTCATACTGAAAGCACCAGCAAAGTAAACAGAAGAATTACCTCGTCAATAACCAGCACCTGTAATGCCTCAAGTTTAATTGTCTGCTTCTGAAGCATTTGGCACAAACTTGCTATTGTTGCCACAACTATTTTAGGAGGCTCTGCCTGACACAAAAAATTCTTTCTTCTTAATATCAACAACATTATGTGTGTGTGTGTGTGTGTGTGTGTGTGTGTGTCTATATATCTATATATGAAATCAACAGAAGTACACCTTTAGCCAACTCTTATGTCTTTTCAACATCCCTCCATCTAAAAGAGCCATGACAGTAACATCCATGGCTTTCGTAGCCAACATCCGAGCAACTTTAGTAACCTTGTTCACAAAGAAAGAATCAAAACTTCAGTTTTATGATAATATAGCGAATGCCTCTAAATGCAAATTTCAAGATCATCACCACCAACAAAATGCTCACTTGCATTCCGAGTTCCCGGGTAGGCACTACGATTAAGGCTTGCACGGCAGACCTTTGAGCGTTAATAACTGAATATATCAATAGCAGGTAAGCAAGCGTCTTACCAGAACCTGTCTACGTACCCAAAATTAAGAATTACATTAACATTGTAATAAACTTCGATTCTCAGATTTCTCGAGAGTAAGAGACCGAAATTAACCTGAGCATGAAGTATACAATCCCGGCGACTAAAAAGAACAGGCAAAGCTTGCCTCTGTACATCAGTTGGCACTACATATCCAACCTCTTCGGCTCTAAACATGAAACCAACTAATTAGAGTAATAATAATTGCAATTAAGCTATCTAAACTCATCGAATTTGATATTATTTTGAAGGAATTATAAAATAATTAAACTTTACCGGTCCAACATGTGATCTGATACATGACCTCTGCAAATTCCGCGGAGTGTTGAAGCATCATCCTGTTTAGTGTCGGCTTCTTCTTTGCTTAGAGGAGTAGAAGAGTCGAGAACAGCTTGCAAATGACTCAAATTGGGCGTAGAGAGTATCAGTCGGTCTCTGGAGTTAAACAAAGACGATAGATTGGGACTAGTGCTTTTTGATTTTAGAATAAAACGGTGCCGATTTCTGCTAGGTTTCGACAAGAAAAGTGCCTCTGAGAGAGAGATAAGTTGGGTTCCTGCGACAGCGGAAGCCATATCTATTCCTTGGTTAACTACCCACGCAGTGTACAGAAATAATTGTGTATAAACAACACTAAGTGTGGAAGCGGGACCCGCCTATATTTTCCACGTATAAATTTATTTATTTATTTATAGACTTTTCGAAGTCATCCGGATTCCGGAGTCGTCAGTCCATACTCGTTCCGTAAGCGTAGGGCGAACGGCGGAAAAACAAGTAAAGGTTCACTTTTTTCTAAATAACCCTTGCTTTTTTTCGAATTTGTAAAAAGTGGCCCGATTAAATAAGCTATTTAAAATTTCCCTACTTATTTTTACTAATTTTTAGCAATCATAAGTTTTTGGAAATCTGAAACATTTAATATAAAGGCATTATAGCTCGTGAGAGACGCGTGGAAAGATGAAATAGAAAAGGACCCTTGGAAGAAAAAAAGGTATGTTGGGTTGGGCCATCCACCCGCAATAAGAAAAAAAGGGTTGATTAGGTATGGTGAATAAGTGATTCCCTGGCTTGGAAGTAATTTCAAACTTCAAATCATGCTGTAAAATAACATAAATAAGCAAGAAGGAGTAATTTACAAGTCTTCCTTTGATATTAATTAAACCTATATCGTTTCAAATCTTGAACATATATGCCAAATGCAACTCATTCATCAATCACACTCTTAAATTTAATTTAAAATAATAATAAATTATTATGCCAATTCATATTTTGTACATCTTTATTCTTTTTAAACTATTTATTAAGTTAAAAAAAGTGAATATTCCTAAATTGATGGGACTAGTTACTAGTGGCTCAAATTTATACTTATTTTAAGATGGTAAATAACAAGCTGAAAACTAATATATTTTGATGGCTTTTTGCATAAATATTAAATAGTTCTTGTATTACAAAATTAGCTATCGTAATTGGATGGATGGTTGGTTTTTAAGCGAAGGATATAGCGACGGAACTTAAAAATTTTAGACTTTTAGTTGTTTGGGAGGAGGGTTATTTTAAAGAGAGGATTTATTTCATTCTTGAACTCACTAATTCCAGGCGTAGGAGAAAATTTTCATTTTTAATTTTTATATTGTACATGTTTATTTTTTAAAAACTTCAAATTGTCCTTTTTTTTAATTTTATCTTTCCAAACTAAACCAATACATTAAGGAAAAAAAAATCAGAATTGTAATAGAATAAAAAGTTTTCATAGCAAATCAACCTTACAAAATATAATAAATTAAATAAATTTATTAAAAAAATAATTAAATATATTAGAAAATCAATAATCCAAGACTAAGAAAATATCTAAAAATAAGGAACAACTAACCTTTAATAGTAAGTCAGTTTCGGTAAATATAAGAAATTAAATACATTTAAAAGGAAAATATTAAATATATTTAGTAACTATTTATGATTTAAAAGTCCTAACTTTTAATATTAAGTCAACCTTAGTAAATTTAATGAATTAAAATACATTTGTTAATAAAAAAATTAAATATATTTAGTAACTAATAATAAGGAAAACAATCTACATTAATAGTAAGTTAACTTTGCGAAATATAAAAAATATTAGATATTTTTATTTTAAGAAAAAAGTTTAGATATTTTTATCCACAAAAAGAAAATAAAATTACTACTTTTATATTGAAATTTTTTTTATTTTTTTGGAGAAAAGATTTAAGGCAAGGAATAAACGACAACAAAAAATCTGCCACAGCGAACAAAACGGCACTATCATATGGACGTGGCGATATTTACAAGAACCCCGTGGGTATGAATTGAAAATACTGTAAAATAAAAGGGGTGATATGAAAAGAATCCAATTATAAATTGATCAAACCAACTAATGTAACCAAAATTAATCAAAAGATTGATTGATTCCATCAAACCGTCTGAATCGGATTTTCCCCTTCGTTTTCTCCCTTTTCCTCCCTCCATAAATCCTTTTCTTTGATCATTTACTGCACACTTTATCTAGGGTTCCTTTCTTCGTCCTCTTCCCATTCCTCTCCCACTTCTCTCTACCAACTTACTTCTATATCTTCTTTTCCGTCTCCATCAGTTCAAAACCCTTCAGATGGCGAATTTCACTTTCTCTTCATCGTCATTATCTGGATATCCCATAATTTCAGCTGCTGCTGGCGGCGGCAGTTCTTCTTCAGGAGCTGCTTTTGACGATGATTTTGAGGAAGCTTGCAGTATCTGCCTTGAGCCTTTCACTACACAAGACCCTTCCACTGTATGATTGCATTGTCACTCTCTAATGCTTCTTTTTTTGTGCTTGATTTTTTTTTTTCCTGTTGGACTGTCAACTGAGTGCTGAAAAATTTGTTGGCTGATCCATCGATCGGTGGTCTGAATTTATAATTGATTTTCTTATCGAGGAAAGCCGAGAACGCTGAATGTATTAGTTCAAATCAGATTAAAACGAGATGATCGGTGCAAATTGTGTTATGAATTTGCAATCCATTACAGATGTTATGACTCTGTGCTGATTTCCGTGTTAGGATGTTGATAAATAATTGGGAACTAATTGTTGTCTTTAGCATCTGTTTATACAAGTATGTTTAGCTTCATCGTCGCAGATGTTCTTTTGGATATTTCTTCCCCCTTTTATAATTTTTCTTTTTATGGAAACAGATGGATGGTTGGGTGCGTAACAATGTGCTTTCCTTCAGTTATGAAGGAGGATCAATTTATTAGATTATGTTATTGGTTGTCTGGGTTCAGTTTTAGTAGAAAGAAATCTGAAAAGCCGCGTAGCTTACCCTAATTGGTTTTGGCTAAAACGTAGTGAAGTTTGTAACAATTGATGATTGATATTTTTCAAGTGATTTTTTTAGCAAAACCTACAAACTATTGATCATTGGTTTGGGTTTTGATAAAATTATTAGGTTCTCATATTTGGATATCAGATGAGACAGAATTTCTGAATTGATTAAAATTTTTGTTGAATAACTAAACTATACCACGCTTGTGGGTGGGAGTGAGAATAGTCAAGGAATTTCAAAATTTGCTAGTGTTATGGATATTTAATTATCTTACATGGTTCTTTGGTTCTAAAGTTCTTAGCAATTGAAGGTGTTTATTAATAGTTTCAATTTGTCTCTTCTGTTGTACTGTGTTTCCGGCTATGCTAATACATTATGCCAGTTCTTTATTCATGTGATTACAGAAAGAGTCTCAACCTTTTATATTTTGTTCATTGTTTCAGGTCACTGGCTGCAAACATGAATACCATCTTCAATGTATTCTTGAATGGTAGGTTCACTCAACAGTGTACTGATTTTAGATGATTATATTCTAGTACTTACAGCTCACCATTTGCTAGGCACTTTCGTTTGTTGCATGAAAATATGATGCATATAGCCACTATTAATTGGACGTGTTTCCTTGTTCAGGTCACAAAGAAGCAAAGAGTGCCCAATCTGTTGGCAGATGCTTGTCCTCAAGGAGCCTGCCTGGTATATATCTCCAAATAGCTTTCTCTATCTATGTCTCTTTGCAGATGAGCATTGTTATATTTGCAAACTTGTGCACAGATACTCTCGTTTAGTTATGCTGATGGAAACAAGCTAATTGGCTGATGCACTGATTCATGTTTCTTTGTTTCTTCTTCTACTTCGGTAGCCAAGAACTTCTAGCTGCTGTTCAGACAGAGAGGCGTTTAAGGTCAAGGAGTACATCTGCTGCTACATCTGCAAACCAACTTCATTTTCATGAGGATTTTGATGCAGAACAGGTTTTGTTGGCTTGATTTTTGAAAATGTACAGACAATTTTTTTTTTTTTTGGCAGCATAATTGGCTTTATCTGACATGAAACTTTTCAGGATTTCTACTCCAATGATTCTGATTTCGATGATCGAATTATGCAACATATAGCTGCTGCAAGTAGAGCTCATTACATTAACAGAAGGGAGAGGCAGAGGTATTCTGATCAGGGTCCCTCCCAGTTTCTCTTCTTTACCTCTCCTGCAAATGGACCTAATGCTCAGCAGATACAAACATCTGCTGAAGAAGGCCTAGATATAAATAATGGGTCATTAGGGAGTAATTCACCGACTCCTGTCATGGTATCACAACCTCTGGCATCTTTGGTCCCTCCTGTTGTGAATGTAGTATCTGGTACTGCTGTCAACAGAGATGTTCCTTCTAAAGCCAGGTATTAGTTTAGAACTGTAAGCCTTGATGCATATGATTAATTCATACGTCCCACATTTCCCTCCATTTAATTGGTATCATCCCATTCATGCATATTACAGCATAGGTTGGTCTGGTATCCCTGAAGATAAGTGGGATTAAGTCAAGGATAACGATCCAACAGATGCAGTGCCTATTCTTTTCTGTTTCTTTGTTCTTCATATTCTTCTCTTCAGTACCACAAACGCATGGTTGTTATTTTCGTTGATAGCTTCTATGGATGATTGGTTGACATTTCTTCTAATAGTCTTTTCTAGTTGATTGCTCTTGCATTTATTATCATGCTGATCACGCTCTCTCTTTCTACTTGTATTGTTTTCCTTCTCACTTATTGTTGGTTCGATATCCAGGGTTTTCTTTGGACAGCTTCCAACTGATTCTCCCCGATCACCATCTGAGGCAGCATCTCTGTCTGAGTCCATTAAATCTAAATGGCTTGCTGCTTCAGCCAGGTAGATAAACTCTTCAGCTTCTTTTTTTTTTTTTTTTTTTTTTTTTTTTTTTTTTTCCTTTTTTTTTTTTTTTTTTTTATTTTTTTTTTTTTTTTTTTTTTTTGTGTGCGGGTGCCGCGTGCTAAGGAATACCATCTGAATGCTGAATTTTTGTTGCTATAACCACAACAGATAGTAAGGAATCAATCTCTAAAGCGTATTTTTTTTTTTTTTTTTTTTTTTTTTTTTTTTTGTGTGCGCGTGCGCGTGCCCTAAGGAATACCATCTGATGCTGAATTTTGTTGCTATACCACAACAGATATAAGGAATCAATCTCTAAAGGTACCCGAGGAATAAAGGAAAAACTACTTGCACGCAATAGTTCTGTTAAGGAGCTCGGCAAAGGAGTTCAGCGGGAGATGAGTGCAGGAATTGCTGGTGTTGCGCGAATGATTGAGCGGTTAGATTTTACCTCAAAAAGAACTGGAGCCTCCAATCCAGTTTCTGGTTTTAGGGCAGGAGCACCAGACCTCTCCAAGGGTATACAAGAGAACATTATTGCTCAAGCACTTAAGAGAGAACGTGAGGAAATTGCAAATTGTGCAAGTGTAGATGCATCATCTCATGCTTTCTGCACTGTACCAGGCCAAATGGAAGCTCCCCACCCATGTACAGGTTGAGAAATCTTGACTTTTACTGCTAAAGGATATTCTTCCGCCATCTAATAGCATCTAAAAGCATAACCAGATTTCTTTACTCAAAAAGAGTATGTTCTTTTAATTACTGGATTATCTAATGGTGTCAATAGGGGTGGGGTTTTATTTCTACATCTTAAGGTTTCAATCACAGAGCTCTTTGTACTGAAGGAAGAAACACTGACCTCTTTTTTCGTTTTCCTCTCATTGCAGAGAAAGTAATTGAGGCTGTGGAGCTTAAGCCTGGTTGCTAACTCTCTTTTGACCTTTCCTTACGAAGGGGCAAGTGATGCAAGTGACGTGCTGTGAAGAAACCAATTCCCCTGTTGGTTTGCGTCCTGCATTGCTTATTTTATGCACAGTGAGGACCTTAGTTTCTTGTAGGAATTATTGTCCCAGTGAACGAAGTGTTTTTTTTGTCATGAACAACTTTTTGAGGAGTTTACGATAGCATTCTCCTCGTAAATTTGCCTATATGGATCGCTTTCGAATTATGAAAAGGAACTGTCCTACTCTGGCAATGCTCAGTACATATTTCTACTTGTATGTGATATGTTCACCGCCGTTTTATTTCTACTCTGGCAATATTCACTGCTCGGATGCGATTTGCTTGGTGATACACCCTTTAATTCTTTTTATTATTTCCTCATAAAAGACACTGAATCGAGCAGTGATCAATCAGAAACGCTTGCTCTCTTATGAAGAGCATCTCATACAAAAAATTATCAGCAACTCATTTACTTCTGAGTTATTGCTCTTATGTGTGCAAATATGATCTAGGCCAAAGAAGTCTTGCATACTTAGTTAATTCTTGGCTTTTATTGGAACTTTCAACATTTTTATGCACTGGTGCATTGTATGAGAAATTTTTAGCGAGTTCGCTCTGGATCGATTTTTATACTATATGAAATCATCGTTAAGTAGTCTGATGGCCATATACAATTTGGAATGAGGGTCTAATTATTCCTTGAAGGTATGTATCTATTATAATTATTTCACAATAAATATAATACAAATGTTGAGGTAATTACATAGATAACAACAGCACTCCTGAAACCCTACTATAACAAATGAAGACTGATTCCCTTTTATTCACTAATCTCACACAACTTGCAGTCTTATATGGTACACGCTATATCCTGCAAGATCAATAGTAGAACGCAGAAAATACCACGAAGAACATTGTCAACCATTGACATGTTACCGCCTGCAGTAAACAAGGATCATTAAATGTTTAGTCATAAATGAATAATAGCCGATATGGTTGCATGAGAAACAAATTGACGTACCATTAGGATGCAGAACTTGGCCAGTGAAGTAAGAAGAAGTCTCGCTGGACTCCAGAAACACATAAGAAGGTGCAATCTCGTAAGGCTGTTCTGCCCTGCCCAATGGGACTTCCAGATCCTAAGCTTTTGACCATTTCAGCAGGTATAGACGCTGGTTACGATGGCGTCCAAAACAGGCCCTGGAGCCACAGCATTAACACGAATTCCTTTGCCTACAAGCTGCAAAGCCAAACTTCTAGTGAAAGACACAATAGCTCCTTTAGTGGAGGTATCATCCAGTACCTCTGGTACACCACAATAAGCATCGACAGATGTCGAGTTGATAATGCTACTCCCTTCTTTCATGTGCTTCAAACAATGCCTACAGTACCAACCAACCATCAGAGTAAAATGAAGAACAATATGTGATTATTAATTGTTCATTTCTTATATATATATATATATATACATATTTTGGTTTACCTTGTCATGAAGAAATGAGAAAATATATTAGTTCTAAAAACGCTCTCAAGCCGAGGCTCTGTAATCTCTTCTATCGTTGTGGCAAAGTGTTGCTCAGCTGCATTATTCACAAGAATATCAATTCGCCCATGTTCACTTGCAACTAGATCAACAACTCTTTTACAGTTCTCATCGAACCCAACATCAGCAGCCAATGCAATAGGATCATGTGCACCAGCTACCTTCACTTTGCGTAGCATCTCAAGCGTATCATCCTTGTCCTTCTCTTCTATGCCTTTTACATAAGTAAAAGCCACAGTTGCTCCTTCTAGTGCAAAATGGTAGCATACAGCTCTTCCTATACCAGAGTCGTCCCCTGTCACCAAAGCTACCTTGTCCTGTGATTAATTACAAGCATGGATTAGTTATAAAAGCAAAACAAGGAAAAAGAGAGAGAGGAAAGGAATTTAATTACTTGGAGCTTATTGGAAGGTTTATAGTCAGGGTTTATGGCTTGAGGAAGAGGGTGCATCACATGTTCTTTCCCTGGTTGCTGCTGTTGGCTCTGTGGTGGAAACTGTTCTTCACCGCTTGCCATCCTATAAAACTACAACTCCAAATGAAGAGATATCATAGAGATTTTGCAGAAACTAATGCTTCGGCAGAGCAGCTTGCACCGGACTTGCGTACGCAAAAATATTCCTATCCTATTCCTATGTATGTGTTTGGGTAAGTCTGGGCACATGTCCTGATGAGGTTGTTGTAGGATTTTGATGCCATGTTAACTGCGACGTTGTTTTGCCCGACGATTTCCCTTGTGGCAGTTTGCAGGCCCAACACCAGTGAGCCCACTTGGAATTTATGAACGATGGACGCAATTTTTTTTTATTTTTTTATTTCCAAGGATACATGGACACAAATTTGTTTTATTTTATATAAAATTATACTTATTAAGCGATTCAAATTTAAAATTATTTTAAACACTTTAATTGATAAAGTTATATCAATTAAATACATATTAAATTATTAAAAAAATAAAATTTAATATTTTAATAATTTTATTAACTATACATTAAATTAATATTTTAAACTGTTATTGTTAGGTAAAAATATGTGAAATATTATTAGAATTAGCAATTTTAGGGTACAATACATCTCTCCCAAATTTTCGGATAGAGTAAAATTAAAGTCAAATTTAATAAATTAATTTATATATTTCGCCTATTAAAAACTGATAGCGCACACGTTTTATCATGATGTGGCCCGTAAAAGCAAGATAATATATACTGTAAAATTAATATGCATGGCACACGTTTGCCATGATTCAGGAGTATTTATGAAGTTCATTTGCACCATGCATAGTTGCTTTTAACATTTAATTTGTACCTTCTTGTTATTATTTTAAAGAAAAAAGAAAAGATGATCTTGTGTTGTCGGAACATGATCTTGATCTTGTCTTTAACTTCTTTTTTTTTCCAACGTATGTGTATTAATTAATCACGTATTTGCTTGATTGCCATTATAGACCGATGACAAGAGGATCCACTCTCTTTCAAGTATTTCTTTTCTTAGAAAATCCTTAACCATAATGGCATTATTGCATAAATAAAAACAAAATTCACAACTAAATACATCAACATATCTATAATTAGCACACTTAAAACTAAGAAAACCAATTCATCAGACATAGGCGTCAATATTATATATTCTTTATTTGAAACAACCGAGAAAAAAAAATAAAGCAATAACATTTAAAAAAATATATATCTTTTTTGGATTGATTTGGTGTATGGAACTGCCCAGGGAGTGTAAGCAAGAAATTTGTTCTTTATTTATCAAGCCCAGTCAAGCCCTTCTCACATCTTCGCAAAGAAAACTAAGCATAATTAAGTATTGATGATGGCACCACCTGCAGCAGTATATATTTATGAACAAGATGTCATCAGTACTATATATAAATAATTAAGTATTTGATGATGGCACCACTGCAAGCAGTATATATATTTATGAAACAAGATGTCATAGTACTATATATATATAATATATATATATATATATATAAATATTAAAGAATTAACTCAACAAGCACAAATTGTATGTTTCCCAAAAGTATATTAAAGAATTAACTCAACAAGCACAAATGTATGTTTCCCAAAAGTTGACACACAGTACCATTAGGATGCACAACTTGGCCAGTGATGTAGGAGGAACATTCATTGGCAGCCAAGAACACAAAAGAAGGTGCAATCTCAAAAGGCTGTCCTGCTCTGTCCATTGGGACTTCACTTCCTAAGCTTGCGACTACCTCAGCAGGCAAAGACGCCGGTTGCAATGGTGTCCACACAGGACCTGGTGCTACTCCATTCACACGTATGCCTCTTTCTATAAGATGCAAAGCCAGACTTCTTGTAAAAGATACAATGGCTCCTTTTGTGGAACTATAATCCAGCAACTCTGCATATCCTCTATAGGCTACAAGAGATGTAGTGTTTATAATACAGCTGCCTTCTTTCATGTACTTTAAAGCTTCCCTGCACCAATTGCAGTAGAAATTCAATTTCATTCATAATGTTTAACAGTTATAGTATGTATATGATCTTTTTAACATTTCTCACTTGGCCATGAAGAAATAAGAAAATATGTTAGTTCTAAACACCCGTTCAAGCCTAGCCTCAGTTATGTCTTGAATGGAGTGCGAATAGAATTGTACAGCTGTACAATTGACGAGAATATCAATCTGTCCATATTCACTCATCACTTGATCAACCACTTTCTTGCAATTTTCTTCAAATCCGACATCAGTGGGTATAGCAATAGGGTCTTTTGATCCTTCTGTCTTTATTTCGTGTAATATCTTGAGGGTATGATCCTTGTCCTTATCCTCTCGGGGTTTGACGTATGTGAAAGCCACGGTTGCACCCTCCAATGTGAAATAGTAAGCTACAGCTCTTCCTATGCCGGAATCACCTCCTGTGATCAGAGCTACCTTTCCCTGCCAAGAATAGCAAGTAATGCAAGAATTAAAAAGAAGCGAATAACATTAACGAAAAAGAATAACAGACGTGTTTTGGAATCGCACATGTAGTTTGTTGGAGGGCTTGTAATGAGGGTTTATGGATTCTGGAAGTGGGTGCATCACATATTCTAGGCCTGGCTGTCTGTCTTGAGTCTGTGGAGGAAATCGGTACCCTGGTTCTGTCAACTCCATGTCTCTGCTGCTGGAAACTGTAAATTCTCGGTTATGATCACCGGGGCCACAACAAAGAGAAATGCAATTGCAAAATGAGTGTTTCATGTGCTTTGCCATCAGCTGTGTAGATGAAGTCGGATTTATAAGTCAAGAGCCGTGATGAAGGAGTTCATCCAACTGCCTGCTATTAATGCAATGGAGACATATAACCAAATGTATACTCCTTCCATACCAACATTTTTGTTCTAGTATACTTTTTTTTTTTTTTTCGTCTATCCGAAAAATTGTAATTATTGTCGTTTTTCCTTTTCTAACATTGAATAATACTAGATACAAACAAAATTAACATATAATCTTTTAATCTTTCGATTTAATCAAATGTTTGATTAATTTTAAAAACAATTTAATATGAATCATTTAATTTTTATTGAATACTAATGCAATGGCATATTAAAAAAAAAAAAAAAAGAGTTTAATCGTTTCAATTAAAATTTCTTAATCCACGTGCAAGTCAAATAAGAATACAAATTATTAGGGAATATAAAAAGTTTTAACTTAAGAAAAATGTTTAAAAAACAATTGTTGAGGCGTGTCATATGTTTAATTATTTTCAATGAATCCATCTCAGTCCCCCTGCTAGCTGAAATTGTAAATGTGTAGATTTCAATTTTCACAACCAACCCATGGCTTTCGTGCGTGTTCCGCTATCATATCTTAAAAAATAAAAGAAGACACGTTTTGTGCAATTAAATGAAATTATCCATAAGCGTGTTTGGTTAGACAAAAAATAGCTCCAATTAGAAATGTTAGTTTGTTACAGTTAAATTAAACTTTCTGCAAATCGGATCACTACTCTACTTATGGAAATGATTTGTTAGGATACCGGCAATAAAATTACGAGAATAATAACACAGCGGAAAAATTAAAATGGGACACACAAAGATTTACGTGGTTCACCCTCAATTGTTTAGTGTCAATATGTTCTAATTTGATTTTCCTAATTGTAATCCATTTGCTTCAGTGTCCCGCCGCCTGCCTAGCTGAATTCCGTTGGATAGAATGTGCGATATGAATTTCAATCTGATTCACAGAACCAAACTCATTTGAGCTTTATCGTCGCCGAAATGTGTCTCTGCTATTTCATATCCTCATAGAAACACATAAAAGAGAGCACGTAGATTGTGAATGGCAAATTAAATTGGAAAGATTATCCATAAGCGTTGGTTTGAAAAAAAGATAGCTTCCAATTTTAGAATTTAGTTTGTGTAGCAAGTTAAATTAAACATTTCTGCAACCAATGGGTAATTACAACTACCTCTACTTATGGAAATGATTTGTTAGATACCGGACAATATTAATTTACGCCAGTAACCTCAATACACAGCAGCAGGAAGAAAACTCAATACCAAATGGGAGGAACACCCAACAAGAAAAGCACATTTACGTGGTTCCACCCCTCAATTGTTGTCAGCATAGGCTACAGTATCCATAGGGATCCAGAGCTCGCGAAAGTAATTATTTCTGTCCTACTCACTCTATCAAAATTAAATAGGAGACTTATCTATCACACGCACGCTACATTCATCATAAACTAAAGTGGCAGCCACTCACCTAACAAAGTAGACTTTTCCACAAAAACAACACGTCTCGTACGTTTAATCTTACCTATATTCTCTACTAAGCTTGCCTATCTGTAGTTTTCTAAAAGGGTAAACCCTTTTCTAATAACTATAAACTCTTGTCAAAGGATTATCTTTTCCGCTTTCTTCTACTATGATTATATTATCTTGCATATCATGACTTTCGTCGTATGTTTGGCTCCAACACGTGGCAAGGAAAGCGGGAGGCAAAGCGTGTGCTCTTGAATCCTATCTTAATACGGAGGAGAGTTGAGGGGCGAATATGCAGCCTTATCACTGCGAGTACGCCTTATAAGGGAATGAGCTAGCTATTCGCACAAACCTTTGTGAAGATAGCTGACAATCTCACACGCTCTTAAGATGAGCTTGCTTCACTCAACCTAAGCGCTATTGAATTGGGTGCATCCACTTGTTTCTCTTCCGCGTATGGCTTAAATTTTGACTGGCAAGTAATAACCGCTACTGTTTTTATATATCCGTTATTCAACTCGAGTATTAATTTAGTGTGATTCTACTGGATTTCAAAATCTAAAGTGGGCCTCAGGTACCTACTTCTATCCAGCAGTGAGAGATTAAGACAGGGTCAGATATTGCTTCCACTGATGTCGGATTGAAGAGAACACAAATCTTGCAACACGACCAAAAAGCAAATCGGTTCGCGCCTTGCACACGTGGCTCACAATGTGAGGGGATGCAGTAAAACTATGGCCGATACATTCCCCATCATGCCCCTGGGATTGAAAACTAAAATTCGGTGCAATATAATCAATATCTTTCCGTCTTGTTATTTGTGGAAAGAAAGATTCGTCTATAGTTATACATATCTCTGTTTCCAGTCTCTTTAATTCTCACTGTATGGATCGTCTTCAAATGGCTACGTAACTTGGCATGTCGATCTCCCTAGTAGGCTGACAAATCCCCTGAGTGTTTCCAATGATTTATATACATATCACTATATCATTTTTACATTGTTTTGTCCTTGATTCCTTAATAGTGCGAAAGGTAGGGAGATAGTTCACCAAGATTGTGGAATTAGACACTATGGAAGCTTTATCCCGCAGAAAATACTAAAATATATCGTTCATTGATGGACATCTACCGAGTTTCGATTCAAGAACGTTCTTTAACATCCAACATGGTTACACTTGTGGAATGATTGATTTCTACTGGCGATTGGTGCGGGAGCTAGTACTGGAAGGCAGCTGTTTATAACTACATCTCTTGTAGGCTATGAGGATTGCCAGATTGCTGGATTTATAAGTTTCCACAAGGGGCCATGGTAATCTTTTACCCAAGAAAGTCCTGGCTTGCATCTTATAGAAGAGCCATACGTGTGAATGGAGTAGCACCAGGTCCTGTTGTGGACACCAATTGCAACCGGCGTCTTGCCTGCTGAGGTAGTCGCAAGCTTAGAAGTGAAGTCCATGGACAGAGCAGGACAGCCTTTTGAGATTGCCACCTTCTTTTGTGTTCTTGGCTGCCAATGAATGTTCCTCTACATCACTGGCCAAGTTGTTGTGCATCCTATGGTACTGTGTGTCAACTTTTTGGGAAACATACATTTGGTCTTGTTGAGTTAATTCTTTAATATATATATATATATATTATTAGTATATATATATAGTAACTGATGACAATCTTGTTCATAAATATATACTGCTGCAGGTGGTGCCATCACAATACTTAATTATGCTTAGTTTTTCTTTGCGAAGATGTGAGAAGGGCTTTGACTGGCTTGGATAATTAAGAAAATTCTTGCTTACTCCTGGCAGTTTCCA